TCGTTGGTTTCTCATTTTCTGGGGTATATCAACTCTCCTTTTGGACGTCTTCACATCAGGCCATTGTGAATTATCTTCTTGCCAACTGGGTCCCTGCTTCAAAGGACTGGGAAGCAATGCTTCCCTTAACCCAGTCGGTGAAGGACTGTGCTTCTTGGTGGACTCGTCGGGTGAATGTCCTTCAAGGGATTCCTCTTCGCAGGTCGTGTCCCAACATGGCCCTGTACACGGATGCGTCCATGACGTTTGGGGCACTTTCCTGGACGGCCATGTCCGGTCCGGGGAGTGGGCCGGGGAACAACTCTCAGAGCACCACAGTAGTGTCTTTGAGATGAGAGCAGTCTTGTTGGCTCTGCCAGCTCTTCGGAAGAGGTTGCAGTCACAAGTTGTTATATGTCTGGCGACGGACAACTCTACAGTTGACGCGTATCTGGAGAAGTAGGGGGTACCAAATCTCACGTTCTGTGTGCTCTGGCTATATGGGTTCTTCTGCTCTGTCAGGAGATGCAATTGACAATCCAGGTCAAGCATCTGCCGGGCAGTCTGAACATCTTGGCCGATATCCTTTCCAGACGTCGGCAGCCGATCTTGACAGAGTGGCAGCTGAGACCCTCGGTGTTCCGGGCGGTTTGTCAGGCTTGGAACAGACCTCAAACAGATCTGTTTGCTATAGCTCTGAACAATCAGTTGCCAACTTATGTCTCGCCGGTCCCCGATCCAAAGGCTTGGGCACGGTATGAATGCTTACGCATTTCCCCCGTTCAATCAGGTTGGCAGGGTGCTTCAGAAGTTTCGAGAGCATTCTTATTCTCTTCTTCTAGTAGCTACCGTGACGCTGAAACAGCCCTGGTTCCATGATTCGCTGGCTCTTCTGGTGGATGCTGCCTCCCAGTCGAGATCTGCTTCGGCAACCTCGGTCCAAGACGGTGCATCATCGTCCTCAGATCCTCCACAGATGGAGGCTATCACAGGAGTCCTCGCTCAGACAGTTTTTTTTCTGAGGACGTGTCTGAAAGCATCGCGCGATCAATCAGGTCTTCTTCTTCTGCCATCTACCAATCCAGATGGCGAATCTTCCGTGATTGGTGTGGTGAGAGTCAGATTGAGCCATTCCAGGTGTCTGTTCAGGTGATTTTCTTCTGTCTTTTTTTCAGAGATTGCAATCTTGCGCTGGAACTATTGCTGGCTATCGCTCTGTTTTAGCCAGTGTTTTCACTTTTCATGGCAGACCGGAAGTTCGCACAGCTTCTTCCCTGTCAGCCTTGTTTTATCTTGATTTGAATGCATTCACTGTTGGTGCGTTTATAACTTTCTCTGATAATCTGTTCCAATCCCTTACAACTCTGAAACTGAATGACTTTTTTTCTACATTCTACTGGCGCTAGGCGCCGGTGTTTATGTCGGGGCTTTGATTATGTTCACTTGTCCTCTTCCGTTCTATTTGTTCAAACATGTATATGCCTGTAATTGTATCTATTCCATTCAGGATTCCGTAGACTTGGACCATATTGAATCTTTTCCTTCTATATTGTTGAGATTTCAATTTTTGAACTTTGATTTGTGCGTCAGTAATTTCGTTTTTGTTTTTTACATATTCAAACCAATTTTTAGCTTACCTAGTGAGCTTATGCCGTGGCGCAGCGTCCGTCGCCGTCGTCAACATTTTCTTTTAAACCTATCTCCTCCTTATCGCCAAAGAGGATTTCAACCGATGCCCTGAAGGGGAACTTAGATAAATTTGCTTTAAAACGCATCTCCTACTTAACGCCAGTGAGGATTTCAACCAAATTTAGTCTGAAGCATCAGTAGGAGAGGGCAATCATTCTTAAATAAATGAGGTTGGTTCGACCCCTGGGGCCAGGGGGGCGGGGCCCTGAAGGGGAACTTAGCTAAATTTGCTTTAAAACGCATCTCCTCCTAAACGCCAAAGAGGATTTCAACCAAATTTGGTCTGAAGCATCTCTAGGGGAGGGCAATCATTTCTTAAATAAATGAGGTCGGTTCGACCCCTGGGGCCAGGGGTGCGGGACCTTAGCTAAATTAGCTTTAGAACGCATTTCCTACTTAACACTAGTGAGGATTTCAACCTAATTTAGTCTTAAGCATCAGTAGGGGAGGGCAATCATTTCTTGAATAAATGAGGTTGGTTCAACCCCTGTGGCCTGGGGGCGGGGCCCTGAAGGGGAACTTAGCTAAATTTGCTTTAAAACGTATCTCCTCCTAAACGGAAGAGAGGATTTCAACCAAATTTAGTCTAAAGCATCACTAGGGGAGGACAATCATTTCTTTAATAAATGAGGTTGGTTCGACCCCTGGGGACAGGGGGGCGGGGCCCTGAAGGGGAACTAAGCTAAATTTGCTTTAAACGCATCTCCTCCTAAACACCAGAGAGGATTTCAACCAAATTTGCTCTGTAACTTCATTGAGGAAGGGCAATCATTTCCTAAATAAATGAGACTCGTTCGACCCCTGGGGCTAGGTAGACCGGGCCCCAAAGAGGAATTTGTTGCTTTAAGACGCCAATACCCACTAATTGCCTGAGTGGATTGTACAATATTTGGTCAAAAACATTATTGAGGAAGAACAAACATTTCTTAACTGAACGAGATTGATTTAACCCCTGTGGTCCTAAGAAATGGTACAGCTAGATTATCATATTCTATGGTGAAGTTAAAAATTGGTTTCTAGATTTATAAAAGATTATAGTTGAATGAAAATTAAAGTATTGTCTAATTACACCCTGTACTATGACATATTACTTAATTCGAAATCTGTTAACATGGCAACTCAATGGAGGCCTCTGTTTAGTTGAAAGTCGGATATTGTAGTCCCAGTTGGGTTAGAACATAGATCTTGCCTGGTTTTGAGGAAATTTCACATACAGATGTGCTAATGCATTCAGTTGTAATGACTTAAATATAAAACCAGGTGAGCGATACAGGTCCAATGGACCTCTTGTTCCTTTTTGTTTTCAATGCCGATATTACAAAGTCTCATTAATCCAAGATTTTCTCGTTTTCCAGGGTCTAGCTTTGTTCAACGGTATATATGTATCATCATGTCGACAAAGTATTCCCATGATTTTCCCAGAATCCATGTATTCCATTTGTTCTTCCCAATTTACGTTTTCTAAATCTTGTTGCTTGAGGTCATAGTTTCCTCTGTAGTAGCCATATCGTTTTTCTTCTGTTCTTGTTTGTGATATATATCACCCTATGTTAACAATGATTGTTACGTCATCACTCTTTCCTATAGGTGCACTAATGAGTAAGTCTTTTACCATCTCTTCCTCGTTCGTGAATACTAGACCTAATGTAAATGGTGTCTGGTCTTGTCTGAATCAAGCGTGTACAGTTTGGTTTGGTTTGTTTGTGTTTTATGTCCTATTAACAGCTATGGTCATTTAAGGACATCCAAGGTTTTGATAGTGGAGGAAAGCCTGAGTTCCCGGAGAAAAACCAATGATCAAGTACCTGGCGACTGCCCCACGTAGGTCTCGAACCCGCGATCCAGTGTTGGAGGGCTAGTGGTAGATGTGTGATACACTTGAAAATGCCCTATCTATTATGGTGTGTAAGCTTTTAGAAGGCTACCTGGAGGACTACGGTATATACATCCAATTGCCAGCATATTGTTACCTTGCAGTCTTTAAATAGCTGCATACATCCCTCATTTAAATCCCCCTGCAGCTCTTTATTAGTGTTAACTATGGCCCCTCGACCCTCATTCAATCTATTTGTGAAGCAGTCATATTCCACTGTCAAATTCACACATAACTAATTTCTCGGGGTTGTCCTTTGGTAGAGTTTCCGTCAGTGCAACAATATATGGCCTCTCTGTGTCGATAACAGACTCCCAACTCATGTCTTTTGCTAAGAAGACAATCCACACTATTGTATACAATTTGAAAATGTGTTACCATCTGTGTGCTACTATTTACATCACTGTACATGTGCTAGTTAAAACTCGACTCTCGACAATTTGCCTGGGCGATTTCTGTCATTGTCAGAGTACGACTGTGAGCTATGGGATGGTTCACGGTTCCCAGATCGATGCAGATGAAATAGAAAAGGGCCAATTGCATGGAAGCTCCACGCGTCGTCACGGGAATGCCATCCTATGCAAGCAGAGAATCCCCTACTTCGAAACTGGATGGGAAACATAAGATCAAAGAAGAAAATGCAGAAAACGTTACCTATATTTTAAATTAATTAATGATTTGACCCCAACTTTTTACCTACATGATATTCCCCCACTTCAAGTATTCCGAGTTATCTTCTCCTGTGAGTAGGTATTGATTGTTACGTCATTGCAATCTCCCAAAAAGTTTTCAGGATTACAAAAACTGTAGAGTAGTGATTGACTTACAGAACTATTTACAGAAAAACCTTCTTCTCTAAGAGCGCAATGGCTCACCTGGTCAGAATACAAACATTCTAATACATTCAAACTATTGATTGGTGTTGCGCCTAATGGACTTGTAAATTTTATCTCTTGTCTTTGGTGTGGTAATGCGTCTGACCGATACATTTTCGAAAATGATGACCTAGCTTCTTCCTAAGTTAAGTCCAGGTGACATGGTAATGGCAGATAAAGGATTTACAGTTGAAGATTTACTTCCAGTAAATGTAAAGCTTAATATGCCACCAAGGATTCCAGGTTATCGACAGATGACCACAAATGAGTTTTTTCAGACTCAAGGTATTGCCTCTGCTCGTATCGTAGTTGAAATGAAAATGGAACAGTTTAAAACTATCGGATACTAAGTGGCTCCTTACCTCTATCAGAGGCTCATCTAATTGAGCAGATGGCATTTTTATGCATTGCATGGACAAATCTTTTGCCCCCATTAATGAAAAAAATGTTGAATCTTACTTGGCACTTATTTATTTGCTACATGTATTTTAGATGGATGGATACTATTCAATTATAGCCTTTGGCAAGTGATCAAGCGTCTGGTTGATCGAGACTACTGATTTCCCCGTACACGAAATTCGGTTTTATTTTTATCTACCAATTGTAAACTTCCGGGTCGGCTTCTACTTCCTTGTTGGAAGACAATAACTGGAAAGGAACGGGTGATGAAGTAGACATAGACATTTTGCTGAATGTTGTACTGGATGCCTGTAACAGATTTAGTTTACGAGAGTAAATAATGACTGGGGATCATGAGGATCCTTCGATGGCAACCGCGGAAGCTGCTGAAATTTACATGCGGCTTTGTGACACTTTGTGTAATGTTGCTTGTTATTTACACTTTAAACAAAGTGTGGGAGGAAAACCGATGCTCTGTTGAAGAGTCTAATACGCTACTGGATGATGTGGTAAGTTATACACTTTTGTGTTATGTAATCAAATTATACAACTGCTAATATGCTGTATGTGGTAACTTAAATGTTAACTGTTTAACAGGTTGGGCACAACGGTGCATATAGGTAATAATCCTGCATTTGGGTAACATCTTTATATGTTATGATTGAATGCACTTCGAATCTACTTTCACTATCCTATATACACTATCCCAAACTTTGTAGTTGGAAGTTCTACCACAGATGAGATAAAAGGAATTTTCCTCTATCCAAGGCTTAGTAGGGCGCCAAGGGTTCTCCACTACCTGGAATGAGGAGGGTCGATGGCACCAATTTGTAATAGAAAGGAATTCAAAATAGTGCAAATTAAAGTGTATGTGCATTTGCTGGGGCTTGAACCCTTGATTCCTGATATCATCACATTTGAGTTAGAAGCTCTATCAAAATTCTCTCTAGCTGAATTTTGTAAGGCGATTTTGATATTGTGTTCAAAGTACATAACTGTACATCTTCTACTGCATAACTAACTATGCATAGCTGCAATAAAATAGCTTCTGTTGATGAGACGATTTAGATATAAGTTGCGGGGCAGAGGAAGTCAGGAGTCCCGAAGTCTTTTCAGGACTTAATCAAGTCGTTTCGGGACATATGCAATTTTCACTTATAAATAACATTTCGCTCCCGTTTCATAAAAAGTCATGTAAATACACAAGTATGGTTTTAATCTATGACCTGTGTCACGACTTACCCGTGCTTGGGATCATTAGTGTTACCAGATTGCTAGTGCTTGAGGGGATACCTACCAACATTTACCCGATTGACAGTGTGTTGTTACCAATCAATTGTCTACATTTAGTTGACATTAAAATATGTTTAAGGAAAAAAGACAATGGTATCTACAGAACATAGAAAAAAATAATTCCCAAAACAACTTTTGACATGTCCCAAAAAGACCCGAAAAGAAGTCCCGACAGAACGTCTTGTTGCCGTAACGACCTGACACCATCTAAGATGTGGTAAATTATACAATATCAGTGAATTTTCCACCTTGTTTTACCTGAGTGTGTGTTAACAGACTGCTTTATAAAATTTAGGTGAAGAATAATGGTTCAGTCAGTTTCCAAGTCACTACACAACTGACATCAACTAAACTTGCATGTCTTATGTATCAAAGGTTACTATCAATACTAAGCATGTATGATGCTTAAAGTGCTTGGTACAGCCTCCATTGTCAACTTGATAGACAAGGTTAGGATGATTGATTAAGATCAAGTCTGATCTGCACTAACAAACACCTAAGAACATGAGACTACCATATTAACTTTCCTCTTACTATTTTTAAGGTCAAGGGATCAAAGGTCAGGGTTATGCAGACTATATAAACTGGAAAATTATAATCTAAGAACAACTGAAGCAAGGAACTTGAAATTCGTGTTAGTTTTATCTACTTCACATTCTCCTGACTTCTGTAAATTTTTAAAGTCACAGAAGTAAGAGTTCAAGGTTATAACTGCCAAAGGTCATGAAAGTTAAAGGTCAAAACCAAACTTTAATACTATATGAATAACATATACTGAAGCCTTGAAACACATAATATATATTTTCCACTCCAAGCAGTATTCATCACTGAAATTTGGAAGGTATATAGTATCAGTTGAAAGGTCAAGGTCATATTTCATAAAAATCAATAATTACACAATTAATAAATGTAGGGACATGAAACATACATCAGTAAACTTTCCTCTTCACATCCTTTAGAGTATTGTTAATTGCCAGTATCATCAGAGTTTAAGGTCAAGGTTAAACCCCAATATTGTATGAACTATATAATTGAAGCTAAGCCTCTATACTCATGATCATAACATATGTTCTTCTCTCCAAGCTTTACTCATAAATCAATTCTCAAGGTCAAAGGATGAAAAATCAAAGTCAATTTAACACTAAACTCCAATCCTATCTCCATTACTTGTAGATTTTCAAGATGATGAGGTCAGAACAACACAAATTTAATGCCAGAATTGGAAATTAGGTCATATATTGGTACTGTGACTGTGGAAATCCTGTATTTGTTTTAACAAATTCTAATCGTATCATTGTTGTAATACCAGAATATATTTTGTATATAATAACTAAAACATGATGAATCATTGATTTTTTTACAGCTTTTACATGAAAATGTAGATTTACTATCAACAATAATAAGCTGTCTCCTTTTATTTTAGTGTCAGCGATACAGGGTCCATTCTGTAGATGGTAACCTTTGTAAAGACTTGTGTGAAACCCGAGCCATCAGATATGTCAAGTGTACAAACTACCGCCGTGGTAAGAAGGTGTTCATCATGGAATGTAACGGCAGGTGTCAGGCTGGAGAGACGGTCAAAGTTGTAATGAAAACTAAACACAGAACTAAAGAGGAATATGATCATTTGGTTTTGCCTCTGAATGATGATGGCTCTTTGACTAAGGACGGACTGGAAATGGCGAAGATTATGATGATAAACAAGGCTTATGGAGACATGCATTTCACTGTATCATCCAGCCAAAATATTTTCTCTGAGCTTTGGTCCATGGACTACGATCAGTATGTGAAAACTGCGACTTACAAAAACGCTGATCATGTTGCATTATTAAGTATCTGGTCATTGCTACAGCAAGATGAGTATCTATTCATGAAGGTTTATCAAAATTTGCCCTATGTGCCCCTTCTGTATGGCACTTGTGGGGAGTTCTATTTCATGGAGTACGCCCCTCCGGGAGACATACTTAGTCCAGGGTTCTTTACGAAGTCTCCTTGGTCACAGCGAGCTGATGCTGCATTAAAGCTTATAGACGTTGCACAATCACTAGACACAGACTTTTATCAACCAGTGCATTTCTGTGATATAAAAGTGGATAATTTTGGGCTGGGTTCGGACTTGAGAGTTAAAGTCCTGGATTCAGATTCATTATTTTTCGATGAAAAAATGTCTATGAACTTAAAAGGTCCATGTACCAAGCATGATGATTGTGACTTTTTTGACTGTCGGGGATGGTGCAAGATTAATAATAAAACTTGTGATGGAAGGAGAACGAATAACAACTTACAGGTTTGTATATATTGGTAATTCTTATATTACCATTGTAACGTTGGACGAGCGTCCGTTGTGTACTATGGCTAATGATAACAAATAGAAATAGTTTAAAGAGTATATAATTTATTTACAACAAGAATATATCAAAAACAAATCACACTCTCACATTCACACGCACTATCTAACAGATAACTAATAATACTACAGTCTCTGAACGTTTCACTCCTTGACGGCACAGATGACCCAACGTAGACACAGTCTGTTCCGAAGTATCAAATAGCGTAGCTACAATGCAGTATAATACTGATCAGATCACCAACGGTGATAAATGTTAGCTCAATAACGCTAACACACCTTTACGTCCGTGCAAAGGTAATGTCCCGCAAGACATACACATCACAAACCTCCAATGACTGGATAAGGTTTTATGTCTCTCGTTGAAGCGCTGACTCTTCAGTCCTGGTTGATGGCCTTGACCTTGTCAGCAAGACATCATCTTCTGAGAAGCTGACCTTGACCCCGTTGAATAGGTAGCATTCTGGTCGGTCCCGTTGCTCCTTGCTAGTACGATGCCATACTATAGGCTTTGTGTGGTCACCCACAATGACTGGTTCCCCGTCATGTAAAGCTAAAATATATTAACATACACATATAGAACACATCACTCCCTCATACAACTTATTACTATACATACAAGTGTATCAAAATATTCAAAATAGTTAATGTCAATCAAATAATAGTTTTACCATTACATAATGTTAATGAAACTATTATAAATGACCTAAACTAATGTGCAGGTCCACAAATAACTTATACATCACGATATCTCAAATACGTACTCTATTTCCACTCCCGACTTCCGTACATTTTACACGCGCACAGTCGCACAGTAGACTAGAAGCTAATACCAACGGATCAGTGCTTCCATACATTTTCTTATTGAACCGATACACGTCAACAGTGATCAAACTGATATTTACAATATACAAATACATCTGACTACTTATGTATGCATTTACTATACATTTGCTATTGGATACTTGACATAATAAATGTCAAAAACCATTATTAAACAGTGTAGAACATTGTAACACAATAACAACAAACGTCACGCATGAGTGGACCACACCGATAAACAGAAGGCTTGACCGATAAAATACAGGTATAACGCAACGATACCCGAGATATAATTACAGAAATAGAAGAGAGAGATAAGATACTCACCACAGACTGTCTTCTGTGCTCATATTCACACTGGAATATCCTATAATTCCATCGGGTGTACAGAGACGATAAGCCAACACTAGCTCTACCTGTATAGTACGTCGTCTCTCCCGCGCTTACCTATTTCCGCCCGTGATACCTACCTTCTGCCTAACAGTCATAACGGTATTACAATACTTACCAATACATGTGGACGTGACAACCATATAGGAGGATATTTCCGTGGATATGATATTTTTGCGATTTTGAAGGTAAACAATTTGATTGCGAAAATATGATCTGCAGAACAATAAGACAAGCATAAGGGAATAGATCTTGCTGTCAAATATTCGGTGTACAGTACCACTAAAACAAAGGAAACGGTATACAGTACCTACTAAAACAAAGTAAACAGTATACAGTACCTACTAAAACTGTTTTTGGTACAAAGTTAATATATGGTATAAGTATTTCATTTTCAATTTATATAAAATTTTGAATTGATGACAATCATATGAATAATATAGTTTCTGGAAAAAAGAATCGTAAATATAAATTTGTTGGTGATCAATGCAGAATTCCCACAAGTTAAATTACTGCTAAACATGTTATGATTTCAGAATATTTGCGAGGACATCTTCATTGATCGGCCGCCCAACTTTTTCCAAGGCCTGTTACATGATGCTCCACCTACCATTGCTGGTGAGCTAGCCACAGTGTTGCAGAATTGTGCCTACCCCAACAAAAATATGGCCGAAGTCGTAAGGACACCAACATCCCGAGAAACAATGGAGAGACTTTACCAACTACTTCAGACCAAAACTGATTCTTGGAAATTTTCTTAAAAATATTGAAAGGGATTCACAACAAAATGAACTGACCTAAGTATACCAAGTATTAATTAACAAATGAAGCATTACAGCAAGCATTAAATTTATCATCGATAGCTCAAAACAAAATGCTTCTTTTCTTGCGTCACCCTGAGCCAAAGTCAGGTGACCTATTGGGATCAGTCTTCGTCTTTCATCCGTTAGCGTTTCACATTCTGAACTGAAATGCAAACACTGGTACATATCCACCACAGCCACCATTTTGAACTTAAACTTCAGTTCTACTAAAGCTATTTCAATAAAAATTCATTGAAATGTTCAGTTCATGCCGAACTTGGAGAGAAATCAAAGATGGCTGTCATCATGCCATATTGAAAATCTGTTTTGAACATATGACTCCAGTTGTTCTAAAATAATTTCAATGAAACTTAAAACGAATGTTTTCCCGACAAAATGTTGGTATTTTTCAGGTCACTCATGATCAGGTATCAAACATTGTTACCATGATAACCATCTTAAAAATCTTTTTTGAATTTGAAAGTCAGGTCTGCTGAAGGGATATCAGTTACTGGTAAACTTTACAGGAATGTTCAGTCCATGATCCTGACTAAGTGTTTTTAATTTTCTGGTCAGTCAGTGAGGAGCACCACAGCTGCTAGCCTGAAGCTGTAATTTGACCCTGACTAAGTGATGCTATATAGCCTCAATGGCTGCCATACTACCCAACAGCATTACCTTTTTTATACAATGTATTTCTTCTTTATCTCTATTGTCAAATAAGTATTACAACAAATAATTAAAGCCAATATCTTAGCAAATGTCCACCATATTTTTTCTGTACACATCTGCAATTCCATATTGTTTCCATCAAGTGAATCACCATAAGGCCCGGTGGCTCATTGTTTATTTTTGATAATTAATTTTTGTATTGACATAATATTATTTTGATTTATTGATGCATTGCATCTAATTGAGATTTAATATATTTTCCATATGTATCAATGGGTATTAAATCACAAATGTCATAGATGTCCTAGTGCAAGCATTCTGGCAGGATTTCCCTCATGCATATAATGCCCAGAATTTGAAAATATTACGTAAGAGACTGCATTTTTATAAGACATGTATCATGGAATCCTCGAAATCCAAGGGTTCCAATATTGATACACAAACTGATATATTCTTTACACACCTGCGATACGTCATGACAAAACCTAAGGCTCACAGTACACATTCAACTGGTTATTAATTAAACTTTATTTATTTTACAATAGTATGAAACAAGTTTTTACAACTTATACTACCGGTAATCACTCTTGTTGGCCCGGATGTTAGCACCCAAGGGGTCTTATAGAAGGGAAACAGAGTACTAGGAGAAAACCCATGTGGTCGGGCAGGTGACCCCATACCTTTTCACATCTGATCGGGGAATCAAACCAGGGGCACCTTGGTTGGTTTTAGGTATAAAAACCTGACTGAAGGAATCCTGAATCCTGCCTCTAGGCTAGTTCTGATAACTGACTTTTGAAGATAACAGCAGAGCTACATTCAAATTAAAAGTCTGTCAATTTACTGTTACACTGCCACAGGATTCCTTCAATTTTCATCAAAGACATCTCACTATTCTACTTTAGCCCGAGTTTCCTCTGGCCCTGACACGTACACCAGACTTAAACTTTTTGACAAATAAATGACCCACACCAAACATTTATCTGTCAAAATGTCTAAGTCTGGTGTCAAGGCCTGAGTGAGGGGAACTCAGGCTAAATTCTACTTTTATCATCCGAAAGTTGTTGTGTAAAGATCCTTTTGTTTTGTCAATTCATGCCACATTCCGGGGTGCAGAGAAGATATGTTATCGAGAGCGGAATCCTATGATTTTGAGGATGGAATTTTGGTTGTAGACCAGTAATTTGTATACAAGAGTCTCCTAATTTCTATGTCTTCCAGTTCATATCAGGATAATTTTATTAACATAACAAAGTACATTCCTGTAATGATATAAAATATGATAAGATAAAGGTGAAATGATTTCTGAAATATTATTGAATATAATTGGGTGATAGCAATTACAGTAAACATTTGTTTATAACATAATTTAATATTGGTCGAAAATAGGTTGTATTGTCTAAGGGTAAAAATGTCCCATTGTATAGTTTTCTACTTTCACATTCCTATCATTTTTACGAATACATTTTTAACTTTTATATGCTTTTATTCGATACAACTGTGATTTCTACACGCAGCTAATACATTCTTTGCGCTGAAGCTTTGGTGCAAATATGCGTAAAATCTTGTTATGTTTGTCGATATTCCTTTCAATATTTATTATAAATGTATTCCTTTAGTTGTGGTAAGCTTCTTTTTAATCTCTGTTTTGTAATTTTCATTATTTGAGCATAATAAAATCTGCTTTTCCACAGTGATGTGCCACAAGTCTGTCACGTTATGTTAATTACATAACGTTTATTTGTTAATTTACTTTTTCTTAAATCAATTTTTCTGACTTCATTTTTTGGTCAAAAATTGACTATTTGCCACACAGATTGAGAATTATCCAGCACTGCTCTTTGGTTATATGATTACAAGTATCCGTTTCATAGAGTTCTAATCATGATGATTTGATTGGTCAAATAGGTTTTATGGCAAAATTTAAGATTACATCGTGTCTATAGGAATAACGTCAAAGTATAACATTTCCTTTTTTTTTGTACTGGGATGAAAAGTGATATGTCAATAATTAAGGCACAGATAATAATATGAATATTATCAGAAGAAACACTGGAGAATTTACTAGCAGGATGTCTTGATTTATAAATTGATAACCTGTTATGAAAAAAAAATGAAATAAACACACTCCTGAATCTAAGGTGTATTGTTAGGTGTACAATACACGACCTAAATTTGATGTACTTGTTCCAGTTAACACAGATTCATTTTACACAGTGTGACCTATTTAAAGCTGATTGACACATTTTAGATTAAATAGGTTCAGTTTACACAATGTGACCTAGCTAATTGTGAAATTGTGAAACAAATTTTATGTGCTTATATTAATCATCCTTGTGGGCCTGGATGGTAGTGCTCAAGGGGTCTTAATGTGGAAGGAAACTAGAGTACTCAGAGAATCCCATGTGGTCGGGCAGGTGACCCAATACCTTTTCTGTTCAATCAGGTAATTGCATGAACCCCAGCCATCTTGGTGAAAGATGAGTATTTCTCCCACACCTGACAGATTTATCTGTCTCCGCCCTAGGGTTGAGATGGGGGGATTCCCCTATTCATAACAATGGCATGACATCACTTCAACAATACAATGACGTCACGTCAACAATCCATCAACAAATTGCCTGTATGTGTTTTGGGTCCATGTTTACCTTTATTTCACATTAAAATACTGTTAGATATGGGAGAAAAATAATCAATCGCTACTGGTTGTGTAAGATAGAGAAATCTCAACCCTCGGACTAAGATTTTTTGTCCAGAACTCGGCAAGCCTCGTTCTGGACAAAAAATCTTAGTCCTCGGGTTGAGATTTCTCTATCTTACACAACCAGTAGCGACAGATTCTATTAATCTATGTTATCCACTGCATCACCCAGCCACCCAGTGTAACCTCTTTATAGGTGTTGTTTTCAGATTACAAGGTTTATTTTACACAGGAATTTCCAATGTGATATAGTTTCATTTTAATTGACACATTCCAGATAAAACAGGTTCCGCGTTACACAGAATAAACCCAGTAAGATCTAGTTCATTTACACATTTTAGATTACACAGGATTTGGTTTAAATAGGTTAGCATGTAAATGAATTTCTTTAAATTCAAATTTTCCAATTAGTTCCATCTAATTGTAACAAGGTCAAGGAAAAGATAATAATTCATAATTCTGATATGGATGTATCCCATCTTTTTGTGAAACACACCTCCTTTACAAAAGAGTTCTTATTGTAAACTCTTTTTTATGAATAGTGTTGATTCAGACTCAATTAATTGATGAAACAATGCAAAATTACTGTGTTAACATGCATTATTTGGAATGGATATAAATAAAATTCAAGGCATAGCAAGAGGCCCAGATGGCCTGTGTTGCCCACCTGGATATTAAAACAATCATGGCAAATTATTTTTATTAAAAGTAATACATGTACATGTATTGCAAAGAATTCCCCATTTTAGACTGCCTCTTGGCACAAAGGGGAAGATACCACCCTTCTCTACTGCATTTGAATCTGGTCCTATACTTGAAAGAAAAGATAGTTGATCAACTGGTGAAACGGAACAGGCTTTTAAAGACTTGAACACTTAAATTATGCCCTTTTTGGTCTTGTCCATCAGTCAGGGTGAAGCTTAACACTTAATTTATACAATTGATTCCAAGGTCTCAAAGAACAAGTGGGATTTATAGCAAATGATGAGATCAGTATACACAAGTACATATACTTGTGTTATAGTACATGTATATGGATATAAGGATCCGAAGACTTACCTTTTTTAAACCAGGAATATGACCCTCTGACTTCGCCTCCAGGGGTGGGGCTACACCTTAGTGCTAATCTTGGTAGCAAGGATTCCGGTTCATATGTAGCTATATAATGGGGATTTCAACCATTTTCCTGTTATGACATGGGGAAATTCCCAGGGGCAGACTGGGAATCTGACAGATTTTCATAATAATCAAGAAAAACATTTTCATATCTCAAATACATTTTATTTAAATGGTTTGATAGCTAGTTACACATGGATGAAGTGCAAGATAAAACATTAAATTATGATCAATTAAAAAAGCACCAACCTGACGAGTCTCTAATATGTGGTAACTAATTGTAAAAACATGTTTTTAATTTCAAAACGTAGTTTATCTACCATATAACAACAAATTTGGGGCCAATAGGATGTATATGTAACACCACAGACAATCAAAAACACCTGCCACTAAGTGGTTAAAATTTCACAACAACCATTCACCAAGCCACCTCTTGTTACCAAATTTGTACACTAGGACAAGTCAACAATATCCCTGTCATACAATCAAACCTTCCTTACTCGCAAAGACACTACACAAAATGAAACCTCTCAGATATACATAATAAATCAATTTGCTTCAGACCCATTTACACTGTTGAAAATGTTGATACTGACCATCAGGTGTCCTCTAAGCTGTCGCATCAAATGCCCTCTACACAGTTCATCAAGTGTCCTCTACACAGTTCATCAAATGCCCTCTACACAGTTCATCAAGTGTCCTCTACACTGTCCATCAATTGATATGTCCTCTACACTTTCCATCAAGTGTCCTCTACACTGTCCATCAAGTGTCCTCTACACTGTTCATCAAATGTCCTCTACACTGTTCATCAAATGTCCTCTACACTGTCCATCAAGTGTCCTCTACACAGTTCATCAAGTGTCCTCTACACTTTCCATCAAGTGTCCTCTACACTGTTCATCAAATGCCCTCTACACTGTCCATCAAGTGTCCTCTACACTGTTCATCAAATGTCCTCTACACTGTCCATCAAGTGTCCTCTACACAGTTCATTAAATGTCCTCTACACTTCCCATCAAGTGTCCTCTACACTGTCCATCAAATGTCCTCCACACTGTTCATCAAGAGTCCTCTACACTTTCCATCAAGTGTCCTCTACACTGTCCAACAATTGATATGTCCACTACCCAGATCATCAAGTGTCCTCTACACAGTCCACCAAGTGTCCTCTACACAGTCAATCAAGTGTCCTCTACACAGTCCACCAAGTGTCCTCTACACAGTCAATCAAGTGTCCTCTACACTGTCCAACAATTGATATGTCCACTACCCAGATCATCAAGTGTCCTCTACACAGTCCATCAAGTGTCCTCTACACAGTCCATCAAGTGTCCTCTACACTGTTCATCAAATGCCCTCTACACAGTTCATCAAGTGTCCTCTACACTGTCCATCAAGAGTCCTCTACACTGTTCATCAAATGTCCTCTACACAGTCCATCAAGTGTCCTCTACACTGTCCATCAAGTGTCCTCTACACTGTCCATCAAATGTCCTCTACACTGTCCATCAAGTGTCCTCTACCCTGTCCATCAAGAGTCCTCTACACTGTTCATCAAATGTCCTCTACACAGTCCATCAAGTGTCCTCTAAACAGTTCATCAAGTGTCCTCTACACTGTCCATCAATTGATATGTCTTCTACACAGTTCATAAAGTGTCCTCTACGCTGTCCATCAATTTATATGTCCTCTACACTTCCCATCAAGTGTCCTCTACACTGTCCATCAAGTGTCCTCTACACTGTCCATCAAATGTCCTCTACACTGTCCATCAATTGATATGTCCTCTACACTTCCCATCAAGTGTCCTCTACACTGTTCATCAAGTGTCCTCTACACTGTCCATTAAGTGTCCTCTACACTGTCCATCGAGTGTCCTCTACACTGTTCATCAAGTGTCCTCTACACTGTCCATTAAGTGTCCTCTTCATTGTTTATCAAGCTTCCTCTACACTGTCCATCAAATGTCCTCTACACTGTCCATCAAGTGTCCTCAACACTGTCCATCAAATGTCCTCTTCATTGTTTATCAAGAGTCCTAGCCTCTACACTGTTCATCAAGTGTCCTCTGCACTGTCCATTAAGTGTCCTCTACACTGTCCATCGAGTGTCCTCTACACTGTTCATTAAGTGTCCTCTACACTGTCCATCGAGTGTCCTCTACACTGTTTATCAAGTGTCCTCTACACTGTCCATTAAGTGTCCTCTACACTGTCCATTAAGTGTCCTCTACACTGTCCATCGAGTGTCCTCTACACTGTTTATCAAGTGTCCTCTACACTGTCCATTAAGCGTCCTCTTCATTGTTTATCAAGCTTCCGCTACACTGTCCATCAAATGTCCTCTACACTGTCAATCAAGTGTCCTCAACACTGTCCATCAAGTGTCCTCAACGCGGTCCATCAAATGTCCTCTTCATTGTTTATCAAGATTCTTAGCCTCTACGCTGTTCATCAAGTGTCCTTTACACTGCCCATCAACTGATGTGTCCTCTACACTTCCCATCAAGCGTCATCTACACTGTCCACCAAGTATCCTCTGCCCTGCTCATCAATTATCCTCTACCCTGTCGATAAAATGTCCTCTTCATTGTTTATCAAGAGTCCTACCCTCTACACTGTCCATCAAGTGTCCTTTACACTGCCCATCAACTGATGTGTCCTCTACACTTTCCATCAAGTGTCATCTACATTGTCCACCAAGTATCCTCTACCCTGCCCATCAAGTATCCTCTCCCCTGTCCTCTACACTGTTCATCACATGTCCTCTACACTGTCCATCAAGTGTCCTTTACACTGCTACACTGTTCATCAAGTGTCCTCTGCACTGTCCATTAAGTGTCCTCTACACTGTCCATCGAGTGTCCTCTACACTGTTTATCAAGTGTCCTCTACACTGTCCATTAAGTGTCCTCTACACTGTCCATTAAGTGTCCTCTACACTGTCCATTAAGCGTCCTCTTCATTGTTTATCAAGCTTACTCTACACTGTCCATCAAATGTCCTCTACACTGTTCATCAAATGCCCTCTACACAGTTCATCAAGTGTCCTCTACACTTTCCATCAAATGTCCTCTACACTGTTCATCCAATGTCCTCTACACTGTCCATCAAGTGTCCTCCTGCCCATCAATTGATGTGTCCTCTACGCTTTCCATCAAGTGTCATCTACACTGTCCTCCAAGTATCCTCTACCCTGCCCATCAAGTGTCCTCTACCCTGTCCATCAAATGTCCTCCACACTGTTCATCAAGAGTCCTCTACACTGTTCATCAAGTGTCCTTTACACTGCCCATCAATTGATGTGTCCTCTACACTTCCCATCAAGTGCCATCTACACTGTCCACCAAGTATCCTCTCCCCTGCTCATCAAGTATCCTCTACCCTGTCCCTCAAATGTCCTCTTCATTGTTTATCAAGAGCCCTAGCCTCTACACTGTCCATCAAGTGTCCTTTACACTGCCCATCAATTGATGTGTCCTCTACACTTCCCATCAAATGTCATCTACACTGTCCACCAAGTATCCTCTACTCTGCTCATCAAGTATCCTCTACCCTGGCCATCAAATGTCCTCTTCCCTCTACACAGTTCATCAAGTGTCCTCTACACTGTCCATCAAGTTTCCTCTACACAGTCCATCAAGTGTCCTCTACACAGTTCATTAAGTGTCCTCTACACTTCCCATCAAGTGTCCTCTACACTGTTTATCAAGTGTCCTCTACACTGTCCATCAAGTTTCCTCTACACAGTCCATCAAGTGTCCTCTACACAGTTCATTAAATGTCCTCTACACTTCCCATCAAGTGTCCTCTACACTGTTTATCAAGTGTCCTCTACACTGTCCATTAAGTGTCCGCTTCATTGTTTATCAAGCTTCCTCTTCACTCTCCATCAAATGTCCTCTACACTGTCCATCAAGAGTCCTCTACACAGTTCATTAAATGGCCTCTACACTTCCCATCAAGTGTCATCTTCACTGTCCACCAAGTATCCTCTACCCTGCTCATCAAGCATCCTCTACCCTGTCCATCAAATGTCCTCTACATTGTTTATCAAGAGTCCTCGCCTCTACACTGTCCATCAAGTATCCTTTACCCTGCCAATCAAATGTCCTCTACACTGTTCATGAAATGTCCTCCACACTGTTCATCAAGCGTCCTCTACACTGTTCATCAAGTGTCCTTTACACTGCCCATCAACTGATGTGTCCTCTACACTTCCTATCAAGTGTCATCTACACTGTCCACCATGTATCCTCTCCCCTGCCCATCAAGTGTCCTCTACCCTTTCCATCAAATGTCCTCCACACTGTTCATCGAGAGTCCTCTACACTGTTCATCAAGTGTCCTTTACACTGCCCATCAATTGATGTGTCCTCAAGTGTCCTCTACACTGTCCATTAAGTGTCCTCTACACTTTCCATCGAGTGTCCTCTACACTGTTCATCAAGTGTCCTTTACACTGCCCATCAACTGATGTGTCCTCGACACTTCCCATCAAGTATCATCTACACTGTCCACCAAGTATCCTCTACTCTGCTCATCAAGTATCCTCTACCCTGTCCCTCAAATGTCCTCTTCATTGTTTATCAAGAGTCCTAGCCTCTACACTGTCCATCAAGTATCCTTTACCCTGCCCATCAAATGTCCTCTACACTGTTCATCAAATGTCCTCCACACTGTTCATCAAGAGTCCTAGCCTCTACACTGTCCATCAAGTATCCTCTACCCTGCCCATCAAATGTCCTCTACCATGCCCATCAAATGTCCTCTACACTGTCCATCAAATGTCCTCTACACTGTTGATCAAGAGTCCTAGCCTCCACACTGTCCATCAAGTATCCTCTACCCTGCCCATCAAATGTCCTCTACCCTGCCCATCAAATGTCCTCTACACTGTCCATCAAGTGTCCTCTACACTGTTCATAAAGAGTTTTTAACAAGTACAGTGTCCATTCAGTCTCTACACAGTCCATCAAATGTCCTTAATACTGTCTATCAAGTCTTAATAAATTTTGATTTTTACTGACGAAAGTTTTACAAATTTGCAGATATTTCATCAGAAGACAATTGCTTTCCTGATAAGCAAATCAACAAGCCTACATAATATTATATTTATGATCAGAAACAGTCTTGATATAGACTTATATCTGATACCTGTATTCAGTGAAATATCATTAGAATCTAGATTACACAACAAGTACTATTACAAACAGAAACCAATTGGTTGTCAGAAGACTGACATAAAGGGTTGTCAGAAGACTGACATAAAGGAACATTAATATAAACTATCAGTAGCATTGCCAGTTTGGATTCAGTGGGTATATTGTAACAAGATTTCATATCATTCACCTCAGAAACTTTATCCAGAACAAATAGTGAAATTTCATAAAGCTGATAGATGTAAGTTCGTCAAACATTTTTTTCCATTATAATGGCTCACAAAAATTAAGCATACTTTCCAACCCTCCATATTTAGGAGGGAGACTTCCGATTTTGTACCCTCAAATTTAGTGTTATCAACCAGTGAATTTGCTTAACTGTTCCTATATTCTAAGATCTAATGATTTCATCTGAAAGAACAACTCAAACTCAAAATATGTCATTTTAAGTGTCTAGGGGGTGTATACACACATTTTATTTATGTTTTAATTTTGAGCATGCAGAATCCCACCCCATGGAAATTTCAAAAAGTTGGCAAGTATGAATTTAGGCCATGTTAATAACAAGTTTGTGAAGCAAGATATTTTTAGAAAAGTTATATAGGTGCATGCATGATGTACTGTATTTAAGGTTTTAACATCTCTATTATACTAATGTATGTAAATAGCCTCACATGATTTGTAGAGAGTTAAACCTAGAGTAGAGGATACCAAAGCAAACATCCATAGTTAGGCCTTGAGACTGATATATATACAAAAGTCCTGAAATAAATACTTCTGACTCAAAAAGCAAACTTTGAAAACAATCATGTTAGTGATTAAAACTTAATGTAATGTATTAATTTGTGGTGTATACTTTGTTGGTCAAAAACTTGTAGCCAAAACAACAGCAGTATTTTTCTCTAAATAAAAGCAACATTTTTTTTATCATTCTCTGTGCACCATTAAATAAATATAAAATATTAATTAAAGGGAAAAAAGTAGAAAAGTCAGTACCTAAATTTCATTTGTCAGATTATCATTGTAAAACACATGTAAGTGTACAATATATATAATACACTGTAACTATATTCTAGCGGTCTTCCATATACACTTTACAAATTATTTATTTCTTGCTTGTTTAAAATTAATTTGATTACATAAACTCGGATGGTCGTCCATTTTTTTTCATCATAGCAGAGCCAGGATGTTTTTATGTGGAAAAGAAACTTATATAAATTTATTTCTTTTGTAACTCTTTGCTACATAGTTAAATGCAATTGGTAACCAACTTGAGTAAAAAAAAGGCGAAACAAACTGAAACTCTTCTTCACGGGAGGTCCAATTCACAGAGTACTGGGAGTCTCTACCTTAATGCAGTGCACTATTACAGTATTAAGATATATTAAAGTGTAACATGTTCGAGTCAAGACCCATATTGCACGCAATTTAATCCCTTGTGACTAGTTTACTGTACATGATCACCTTACTATCACCAGAGCTCAATTGTCCAGTTCGTTTGTGGGAAAACTCTTTCATACAATAAAATATTATTCAATTATGAATTCCATATATAATAAAAAAACAAAATGAGCAAAGGCTCCTATAGAAATACCCCCACCCCCACTTCCCACCTCTGTCCTGATTTGCCTTGGACCTTTGACCCATTGACCAATGACCACCGGGAGGGGGGGGGGGGGGGGGGGGGTAGGTTAATTACTTCAATACTAATTAGAGGCCTGCTCTCAATCAAGAATAAAACCTTTATGCATAGTTTGCAAAATAAATAAAGTGCTCACAAAAACAAAGCAATTTGCAGTACATGTTTATTAGCAAAGCAATGTTTATGTTACATATGTAGGTGTTTGGCAATACATAGTGGGAGACATATGATTATAACAGTCAAGAAAAAGAGGACCTTGAAATAAATCTGCAATAACCTTAAAAATTCAAATACTCTTAACAAAAGAAGACGAGTAAGGGGGCAAATTAAATGGCATTATATAGAAATTTTAATGAAAATTCTTTTAAAGTTTTTGGAGCTTGAGATTAAAGTTTTTAAGATTTGAACATATTTGTGTGTACTGTTTCACTATGGAGAGAACAATAACACTTATTGTTTATTTTAAAAGACTTGAGCTGAAATGTATTGGAAATTGTATTTTCGTTCAGCTTTATTTGTGTTGATTGATTTATGTTTAAGAAAGCTACATTCCATATCTTGAACTTTGTTTCAGTTTTGAGGCACAGTGCACATATGGTCTTCATGGCAATGTGTTTTACATATTTTTCCCAACCTGTGGAATATATGGTATTTCATACACTCTGACCACTGGTTAAATATTCTCAGGACTCAGAATCTGTATCACTTACACGTTATAAATATAATATTTATTATAAAACATAAGAATAAATGACCTTAAAAACTGATTGATGCAGTAGCGCCTGGTAGATTTAGTATTTAACCTGGCTAACAGATAAAACAGTAGCAGCATCACTAGCATTCTATGGTGTAATAATGATAAAATCATGCTTTTAATGTTTCCTTTAAAATAGTCAGTGACAAAATGGGTATTTTATACTGTTATCAATAATATGATCAAACATCTGACAACATCGACGTCTTGACAATATTGTCAGACATAGTGAGGGTGAACCAGGATACCACAGGCTTTACCGGAGAGGATTGTGGCGTGGGAGAGGGTAAGATCATCTGATGCAGGGTTGTAGATAGTGATACCGTCAATGAAAGCTCCGCCAACCATATACACCTTGTCGTGCACAACACATGAACCCGAGTCCACAATACTGGTGTGAGGCTTACATAACGTCCACTGGTTTGTCTGAGGGTTGTAGCTCTCCACAGTCGGTGTGATAGTTGGGAAGATAAGTCCGCCATGTCCACTACCCCCGATGCAATACAGCTGACCTCGTACCTCCTCCATGACATGGTGGATGCGTGGGTACAACATGTTTGCACGTTCCTCCCAAGTATCGTCCACCACGTTATATAAATACGCCTTTTTACTGGTAACGGAAAACACCTGACCACCTGTCACATATATTTTTCCCTCACATACTGCTGCAGCATGACCGTACACTTGTTCAAGCAGCGAGCACTTACGATCCCACTCATTCTGGGCAATACTATAACACTCCACTGTGCTCATCATCTTGTTTTCATCTTGACCTCCTATGGCATATAAGTTACCCTCCAGACCCACCATAGCAAAGTCTCGCCTTGGCTCTATCATAGAAGCAAGTTCATACCAGGTATCAAATCTTGGATCGTATCGGAAACATCGAGCAGTTGCGATCTCATTACTCGCCTGGTTGTCATATTTGCCGCCACAGGTGTACATGAAGTTGTCAATGACAGTGACACAGGGGTTGTAGAGAGGAGCTATAGGATCCTTCAGTAGAACGCGAGTCAGACGATGACTATCATTGATGGGATATCCCTCCAGACACTGCCCATAACACATCACCAGACTCTTGGAGTCGGATCTCACCTGTGTCCTAGCTGTCTGATTCAAAGGCTGCTTTCCTGTAAGGATGTGATAATCTTTAGCCGCTGTCAGTAAATCTAAGCAATTTTTATTCCTTTTCATGATCTCCACACGACTGACCTTGTCGACAAGTTCCTCGCCCGACAGGAGAGGTAAGCGTACATACTTCATTAGATCTGGGACAAACGCTTCACGTTTGCCTGGCATGTGGTTGACCCAATGTAAAACTAACTCAAACAGCTTGTACTCGGAGATCACCTTGAGTGAGTTGGCTTGGAGCATCTCGCTAAGCTGCGTCTGAGTCAACAACTGGTACTGCTCAGACTGGGCGACATTTTCAAAGTTTACCAGAATAAATTTTTTAGCTATCCTGGTGGTGGTCTCCAGACTGAACAATTCAGCCAGATTCAGAACATCTACACAGTTCTTAGGTGTAATGGAGGTTTCTATGTAGCGACTACAGAGCTTTACGGCATCATTCACTTGCAGGTGTGTAGCCCCAGCCAGAACTTCCTCCACGTTCTCCATGTTGAGTTTTAGAATCCCTGTATAAGCAAACTCCACAATGACAGTCAATGCACACGCTGTAACTCCTTTGAGGTTCACCTCAGACTCTCGACTCTCTCGCATGTTGGTGGTCAGCATTGTGAGGAAGTAGTCACTAGAAGCTGCCATCACGACCTTGTGGACCGGCAGACTTGCACTTCCAGCCTTCAGGTAGTAGTCACACAGAATCCCTTTCTCCCTCATATCCTTTAGGTTGTCTGCCAGCTTTCCAAGGTGGTTTTTTGCCGTCATTGGCATAGAAAGCAGTCTTTCCCTTTCCAATTCATGTCTTACCCCAAATGGTATGTTTGTATGCGGTGTTCCCACGAAATGTTTCTTAGGTGAAAATGGCATCTTCAATTTGTAGAATTTATTCTTACTCAAACGCTTACGTAAATATGTCAACTTTCATCAAGAATCCCTGGTTTCTGATGTGATTTCACAGCTTTCTTTTCAAATTACCTGTAAAAAAATTAAAACTATTTTACAAAACTACTTAATTTACAAATGAAAGGCATACTCATCTCAAATAATCTAGCTTACTCCTGTGATTTGCAAAGGTAACTATGGAGACTCAACTGTTATAACTATATCATTGCATCTAAGAATGCAACTAACACAGTGTAGCATATGGATACATTCAATTTTTATTAGACACTACAGTTTCGCAATCTGACAAGACTGCTTTGCAGTATTTTAATTTAAAAAAACAATGATTTAGAACAATTTTGAAATCCTAACAGCTGATGTCACCAATTTACAGCTACTTCCACAAGTGATGTTTTGTTATCTTAAGAAACAACTCCTTAAAATATCAACACTCGCTTATCGACGTATTTGAGGGGCTATAATTTAGTCATACAAGATCATGAATGGCATATACGACCGGGATATCAACAACATTCTAAAGCCATGAAATAAAAAGATCTTTCTGCGACGGGCAAGGACCAGCATCAGACAAAACTATATAGTTTATATATGGAATAACCTACCCGTTAGCGTAGTAGCGGTACCAAACAAAAACACTTTAAAGAAAAGATTAGATAATCACTGGGCTTTATTGGAACTTTTGTATGAATATAAATCTGAAACTCGTCAATAACGAGATGTGGTAACATATAAACATTATAGCTTTGTAATTTAACATACATATGTATTATTTGGAGTCTTGTGTAGAGGATCAGAAATGAACCCTTACCAGAAATAAACTTATCTTTATATATGTATATATGTTCATGTATCCTAAGCCTGGGCACTATTAACAGAACATATGGCACAAAGATAAGAGTGTATTTAACCAATTATTATGTGTAATACCTCTTGCGTAATAGTAAGTATTAGAATGTAAAAGAACAATAAGAAAAACTTAAGTAAAATACCATTGTCGGAACCACTGCATTGAATTATCAATATGACTAAATAGCAATCTAAAACTGAAAATATTAGCTTGTGAATGTCAGTGAATTGACACTTAGCGATTATAACGTTTTTTCATTCGTTATTCGTTTCAAATAGGTAGTATCACATTAATTTCTCTGAAAACATATAACTCACATTACTTAAATTTGTATATCAAAAATACAGAACTAATGCATTATGCAGTATTGATTTTATACAAAGTATTAGTAAACCGAAAGTAAACACTTAATGTTATCATAGTTGACGCTACCGCATCATCGCTTGTAAAAGTGAAGGGCGTGCTCATTTCAATATTAACGTGTTCGTAATTATTCTTGTAGTAACCAATAACCAACTGCTTGTTCTAACAAGATACTTGGTCTGTTGAATTTTTTTATCCTTCTCGAAATGTATTGTTTCAGTTTGCTGGATATTTTGAATACATACTGCTAAAAGCTTAATGTCCTTAATTGATAATCAATCTGTATACTTACTGTGGATTATCGAAGTTCAATATTAGGACCAAACATGCAAATTTCCTAAATCAACCATTCTCATTATAAGTGCGGTCCAACAACTTCCATCTTGTTTTGTTTACTTAGTCGCATTGACGCTTTGTTTTCTGATTAGACCGACAACTACAAGCGTTTACCTGAACAAAATGAGAGTACTTCCGGGAAACTGACGCTCCTTCCTTAAAAGTAGGAACTAACAGACTAACTATAACTTGAGGCGGCTCCAATCAGCTGTGGTGTAATGTATGTATGTTTGATTACAACTGCAGTAATAAGTCTGGTATTTGACGCATATTTGTAGTTTGCTCGAACTGTCACTAATGTATTGTATTCAAATCAAAAGTTTATGTCATGTTTGGTGAGGGTAAAGATCCTGCTTTGAGTGTGAGAGAAACCATCATATATATATATATATATATACAGGTAGAACTAAGAGGTATAGCTTTAAGTAGTCCGAGATTCCTCTGGGCCTTGCAACAGACGTACCTTTTTTGACTAGATTAGATGATCAAACAGTCAAATATTAAGAATGTGCTGGGTCTAGAGTTAATGCACTCAACTCATACATTTTTAATGCGTAATGGGTTAGAAGGAGGAGTCAAAGTACTACTATATATATATAAATGTTGATAGGATATGGCCTGGGTAAGAAGCCAGGCAATCCCCACTCGACTGTGTACCAGTACTACTACTGAGGACTGTAGTGTGTGGCAAGGAGTTTGGAGGGGGAGGGGATTGGAAGCGTTGGAAAACCTGTTAGTTTTGATATATAAGAAACATGGATCCACTCAGGCATCTACTCTTCATCAGCTCAGTTGACCTACAGTTTTTGATGTCTGGAACCTAATATCCTCATCTATCAGATTCACAACAATATACCCATTACATACTGTCAGTAGGTTGATTTAATCAGGCATTTGTTTGGCATCAGTCCAAGCACTGACCACAGGTCTGGCATAGAAATGGCCTTCTAATATGATATAACCAACTGTTTGACCACATGAAACAGCAAATGTGGGGTCCATTGCAGAGTTAAGGGGCCAAAGGTGTGATTTATTTTTTGAGGACACAAATATGGGACATATTGGTTAAATCATTTAAAGGAAGGTATTTTGTATCTGAACTTGTTTTTTCATGATTTCATTGATTGCCCATTAACTTCAAATATCACCAAAAGGATTACATAAAATAATTTCTTAATTTGATGTTAAAATATTTTTTAAATGTTATCAATTGTGTAGCAGTAGATCATAAGAAAAAACAATAGTCTATGTCGCAAAGTGCTCAAAAGCTAACACAAACAACTTATTCTAATCTTTGCTTTATTTGTATTTGAAACTTCAAATCTGCAACTTTTAATGCACTGAATAGAAAGTACAATTTGATTGGTCAATACTTAAAATAATAAATTCATATATAAAAATATTGCATTCTGTAGATCTTAAAGCATTTCAAAGGTATATCCACAGGCAAGATTGACTGTAACTGTATCAGTCTAGAACTTTATATAATGGTATTTACGGCTTACAGAGTTGTCATGTTCAAGTCATAGCAATCTTGTCATTGGTATATGCTGTTTTACAATAACTATATATAGTGATTTTTGTGTCATCTGTGAAAAGCTGGTGACACATAGGTATTGCTATGTCGGCTTCGGCGGCATCGTCCGCTCAGAGGTTTTCGTGCGAAAGCTTGAGTTTCCTTGGGCCTATCAAACTCAAACGTCATGCAGTGCTTCTTTACCAAAAGTGCTTGCTTGGGATTGCTTTTCAGGTCCGTAGGTCAAAGGTCAAGGTCACTGTTACTATAAATAGAAAATCTGTTTTCGTGCGATAACTTGAGTTTCCTTGGGCCGATCAAACTCAAACTTCATGCAGTGCTAAGCACAATCTCCCAGCTTCCTGCGCAGGCGACACATCCACTTCTGTGGAATTCTTGTTCATTGTGTCATCGATTTTAATGTACACACAAAAATTGTTACCTTCTTCATACATGTGAAATATAGTATGTCCTTTCATCATCTATACCTTATTGAAACAAACATTTTTTTCCCCAGTAAACTGTAAGAACTAACAGTTTGTGATAGCAATGGCGTTGCGAGTTGGAGGTTCCAGTGGTGGCCCCGTGTCCAGAGTGGAACTCCGGATCGAGTGCCAGAATCTGCTGAAGAAAGACACTTCCTCAAAATCAGACCCCTGTGCTGTCTTCCTCTTAGAAAAGCAAGGCCAATGGATGGAGGTAGGACTTTTACACAATTATGATATTAGTTAATTTTTTCAACCTTGAAGACACTTTTGAACTCCTCCGATTCAAAGGTTGGAATAGTCCATTATGAAATTTCAGGGTTGAATGAGGTAAACCATCATTAAATAATTATCTGATGCAAATTTCTCTTTCCAGTATTGGGTTCTGAAATTGTACAATTGCCCCTGCAAATAATGTTATAAAGTATAATCTTATAGTTGTTCAACTAAACCAATTTTTTAAGACAGAACCACCATAGTCAATAAATCATTCAATGTACAATTTATAATCAGATAATGTTGATTCAGGCTGTGGTATTTTCAAAACTTTAGAAGAACTGAAGTTTGACAAAATTTAAAAAAATAAAGATTTATTTTTTAACTTGCACAATTTGTTTGTGAAAGAACATCAATTTGTTAAAATAAATATTGGAATTTTGGCCCTTTTAGAATGTAAATATATTATACATGGAAAAGTTACACATTAGACAATCAAATGTCACTCGATAACATTTTTATGTTTTTTTCAGTATGGAAGAACAGAAAATATAGAGAACTGCCATGACCCCAAATTCACCAAGACATTTGTGATCGACTACTTTTTTGAGGAAGTACAGAAAGTGAAGATCCAGGTTTTTGACATTGACAACAAATCACCTCAGCTGACAGATGATGATTTCCTGGGTGAACTCCAATGTAACCTCGGCACAGTAAGATGTCCTGTCCTCCTGTTATGGTTTAATATCATCCCTCAATTGGGACTAATACCGTAAATCAGGATATTTTTACGTAGGTTAAGTTTTGTTAATTTTTCAAAAGTGGCTGTTGTTTTATATTTACTGGTTTTTGTTTGGAACTGGGACTATGAGCAAAAATATGACTACCGTTAAAATACCACAGTGAAAGTTGAGTTGTCTTCCGGCAAGTTTTATACAGAAATACATGTTTCAGCTGTGTATTGTTTGCCTCAATGTGTATATTAATATAAAATCGCATTTGTACATGAAACAATATTCAACACATACAGCAATGGACTGCACATTTTAAAAATATGATAAAATTGCACTGTGATGCTATCCTGTTGTTAAGTGCAACGTTTTAAGATAAAGGCATTTCAGTTCTGTTTATATAGAAAAAAGCTAATTCATTTTTAACTAAGCTAAACGCACATAGAAAATTCAGTCTTTTACATGTACACTTAATATGAAAGTGGTTCAATTAAATAGAAAATGCTATTTCTGTATAATTTGATATTTTAACGCTTTTATCAATGTAGATTGTGTCAAGGAATCCTATGGTTGAGCCGTTGAAAAAGAGGAATGGCCATCCTATTGGTGGATCAGTGATCACGGTAAGGACCTGTAACTCCTGGGTATGGGTGGATTAATGATCACGGTAAGGACCTTTAACTCCTGGGTATGGGTGGATCAGTGATCACGGTAAGGACCTGTATCTCCTGGGTATGGGTGGATTAGTGATCACGGTAAGGGCCTTTAACTCCTGGGTATGGGTAGATCAGTGATCACGGTAAGCATCTGAAACTCCTGGGGTGGATCAGTGATCATGGGAAGGACCTGTAACTCCTGTGTATGGGTGCATCAGTGATCATGATAAGGACCTGAAACTCCAGGGCACGGGTGGATCAGTGATCATGGGAAGGACCTGTAACTCCTGTGTATGGGTGCATCAGTGATCATGATAAGGACCTGAAACTCCCAGGTATGTGTGGAGCAGTGATCACAATAAGGACCTGAAACTCCCAGGTATGTGTGGAGCAGTGATCACAATAAGGACCTGAAACTCCCAGGTATGTGTGGAGCAAGTGATCATGGTAAGGACCTGAACCTCCTGGGTATGGGTGGTTCAGTGATCAGGGTAAGGACCTGAAACTCCCAGGTATGGGTGTATCAGTGATCATGATAAGGACCTGAAACTCCCAGGTATGTGTGGAGCAGTGATCACAATAAGGACCTGAAACTCCCAGGTATGTGTGGAGCAAGTGATCATGGTAAGGACCTAAAACTCCTGGGCATGGGTGGATCAGTGATGACGGTAAGGACCTGTAACACCTGTGTATAGGTGGATCAGTGATCACGGAAAGGACCTGTAACTCCTGGGTATGGGTGGATCAGTGATCATGGTAGGGACCTGAAACTCCAGGGTATGGGTGGATCAGTGATCACGGTAGGGACCTGTAACTCCTGGGTATGGGTGGATCAGTGATCACGGTAAGGACCTGTAACTCCTGGGTATGGGTGGATCAGTGATCATGGTAAGGACCTGAAACTCATGGGTATGGGTGGATCAGTGATCATGGTAAGGACCTAAAACTCCTGGGTATGGGTGGATCAGTGATCATGGTAAGGACCTGAAACTCTCGGTTATTCGTGGATCAGTGATCACGGTAAAGACCTGAAACTCCTGAGTATGTGTCGATCAGTGATCACAATTAGGACATGAAACTCCTTGGTATGGGTGTATCCGTGATCATGGTAAGCACCTGAAACTCCTGGGTATGGGTGAATCAGTGATTACTGTAAGGACCTGAAACTCCCAGGTATGGGTGTAGCAGTGATCACGGTAAGGACCTGAAACTCCTGGGTATGGGTGGATAAGTGATTACGGTAAGCACCTGAAACTCCTGGGTATGGATGGTTCAGTAATCACGGTAAGCACCTGAAACTCCTGGGTATGGGTAGATTAGTGATCATGGTAAGCACCTGAAACTCCTGGGTATGGGTGGATAAGTGTTTACGGTAAGCACCTGAAACTCCTGGGTATGGGTGGATTAGTGATCATGGTAAACACCTTAAACTCCTGGGTATGGGTGGATTAGTGATCATGGTAAACACCTGAAACTCCTGGGTATGGGTGGATAAGTGATTATAGTAAGCACCTAAAACTCCCAGGTATGGGTGTATCAGTGATCATGATAAGGACCTGAAACTCCTGGGTATGGGTGCATCAGTGATCATGATAAGGACCTGAAACTCCAAGGTATTGGTGGATCAGTGATCATGATAAGGACCTGAAACTCCAAGGTATTGGTGGATCAGTGATCATGATAAGGACCTGAAACTCCTGGGTATGGGTGGATCACTGATCATGTTAAGCACCTGAAACTCCTGGGTATGGGTGTATCAGTGATCATGATAAGGACCTGAAACTCCAAGGTATTGGTGGATCAGTAATCATGATAAGGACCTGAAACTCCTGGGTATGGGTGCATCAGTGATCACGGTAAGCATCTGAAACTCCTGGGTATGGGTGGATCAGTGATCATGTTAAGCACCTGAAACTCCTGGGTATGGGTGGATCAGTGATCATGTTAAGCACCTGAAACTCCTGGGTATGGGTGGATCAGTGATCATGGTAAGCACCTGAAACTCATGGGAATGGGTGGATCAGTGATCTCGGTAAGGACGTGAAATTCCCGGGTAAGGGTGGATTAATTATCATGGTAAGAACCTGAAACTCCGGGTATGGATGGATTAATAATCATTGTAAGGACCTGAAACTCCCAGGTATGTGTGGAGCAGTGATCACAATAAGGACCTGAAACTCCCAGGTATGTGTGGAGCAGTGATCACAATAAGGACCTGGAACTCCCAGGTATGGGTGGATTAATGATCATTGTAAGGACCTGAAACTCTCGGGTTTGGGTTGATTAATGATCATGGTAAGGACCTGAAACTCCCGGATATGAGTTTGAACAGTCGGTCTTGAAATGTGCGACACATTTAATACGTACATTGGAATAATTTTTTCTCATGGAAATATACAAGTTTTCAGATAATACAAGAGTCTCTATTAGACAGGTTTGATATGCATGAACTAGGACCCAGGTCAGATTATACAGGTTACAATATACCTTTTTTCCTGTATCATGCTTTTCCCTCTTGCAGATTCGTTCAGAAGAGATGAAAGAAGGTGGTGAAATAGCTCATATGTCTTTTAATGCAAAGAAACTTGACAACAAGGTAGGTACTCGAATTGTACACATTATATATGTGGATATGTTGAATTAGAGATCATTTGTTATGTAAGATTATATAGAACTATATTCCTTAGCCTTCATTGACCTCACTCCTAAGTGAGTAATGTTAATGTGTTTTTGTTGGCAAGCATGTATTTGAGGATTTTTTGTCAATTATTCTGTCTAAACTGACACCATTGGGGCTAAATCTTTAGGTTGGATGTAAGCTATGCCATGGGAAAAAACTCAAAATAAGTTTTACATAGATGCAATGAATTCTTTTTGTCTTTGACAAGATGTCCTTATATTCAGGTGTCAACAGTAAAGGCAGTTTTCACTGTAATTACTTACCTGTATTTCACCTACCTGTATTTCACCTACCTGTATTTTACTTATCTGTATTTTGTGTAGTATTTGGCCTATCTCTGTTATGTGTAGACTTTCTTTACCTGAAATTTTATAACAAAAAATGGGCACAACACAACTTGAACATTGAAGGGAGACAACTCTAGTATGCTTCCCGATCTGGTAGTTCAATGCAATCAATTTCATTTTGCCATGATGTAGGCATCTAGAACACAATCATTTTTACCTTTTGACATTTTAAAATGATGGAAAATGATAGGCAGGTTTCTAAATTCAACATTACAGGATTTCATGGGGAAGTCAGATCCTTATATTGAAATGATGAGACAGGGCCCTGACGGATCCTGGCAGGTCACACATCGAACTGAGGTAAAGTATTTGAAAAAAAGTTCTCATTGAAACAGTTACTTATTTAACTCTTTTTCTCTTACTTCTCGCAGAAAAACAGTTTCTGTGGTATGACAGAATCAGATTTCATCTGTCTGTCCAATTGAAGACACAATTATTGTCTGGGATTCTCTTTTCAGTACTGAACCGATTTGAATAAATTACAGACCTGTAACTGTACATGACCATGTTGATTCCACTGTTAATAATAAAGAGAGTTGTGACCCTTGATTTTGCTAATCACTTCTCCAGTTTTACTTCTATTGAGGAATATGGTTGTTTTTTTAATTCAACAAAAATTTTGAAAGTGTAAGCTGGAAATGTTCGCTACATTCCTGAACTAGCTGCTGAAACGTTCTGTGAAAAGTGTGAAAATACCACTCACGAAAATTACCAGTATACAGTATGTAGCTGGAACACACTTTACCCAGTATACAGTATGTAGTTGGAACACAATTTACCTAGTATACAGTATGTAGCTGGAACACACTTTACCCAGTATACAGTATGTAGCGGGAACACACTTTACCTAGTATACAGTATGTAGCAGGAACACACTTTACCTAGTATACAGTATGTAGCTAGAACACACTTTACCCAGTATACAGTTTGTAGCTGGAACACACTTTACCCAATATACAGTATGTAGCGGGAACACACTTTACCTAGTATACAGTATGTAGCTAGAACACACTTTACCCAGTATACAGTATGTAGCTGGAACACACTTTACCCAGTATACAGTATGTAGCTGGAACACACTTTACCCAGTATACAGTATGTAGCGCGAACACACTTTACCCAGTATACTGTATGTAGCTAGAACACACTTTACCCAGTATACAGTATGTAGCTGGAACACACATTACCCAGTATACAGTATGTAGCTGGAACACACTTTACCCAGTATACAGTATGCAGCTGGAACACATTTTACCCAGTATACAGTATGTAGCTGGAACACACTTTACCCAGTATACAGTATGTAGCTGGAACGCACTTTACCCAGTATACAGTATGTAGCGGAAACACACTTTACCCAGTATACAGTATGTAGCTAGAACACACTTTACCTAGTATACAGTATGTAGCTGGAACACACTTTACCCAGTATACAGTATGTAGCTGGAACACACTTTATCCAGTATACAGTATGTAGCTGGAACACACTTTACCCTGAGTATTCAGTATGTAGCTGGAACACACTTTACCCAGTATACAGTATGTAGCTGTAACACACTTGTCAACAAAGTAAGTAAGCTATCAGGTCCTTGTCCATTAATGACCTGTCAAGCTTAACAAATCATGCGGGGGAAATTTTTGAAATGGATATTTTGAAAAGTGTCTCAATATTTTTACACTGGTGTGTTTCTTTTGTTTCAACAAATACATTGTGCATGGTTTTAAATTTCGATGTTTTTTAAAACAAACTACATTTCACATATGAAAAATGTGTATTCACTTCACTTGTAGCTTCCTGTTATCAGGCTTTGGATAATAGGGCCCTGGTATGATCAGTACTCTTAGCTGCAGTCAGGCTACATTGGTAATGACTGTTGTTTTCGTTTTTAAGGAAAATTTGTCTTAATCTTATACATAAACAAAGATCTTTTGCTGTCTCGTTACAGGTTATTAAGAACACGCTGAACCCCGTGTGGCGACCGTTCAGTTTACCGGTACATGCTCTATGTAGCGGGGACCACTCCAAGGAAATCAAGGTAACAGATGATTCTTAAACCAACAGTTGTCAAGGAGATTGTGTTAATCCTCTTCAAAAATATTATCTAAATTGACAAGAGTTACCTTCCTTTAGTATCCTGCAAATGATCAGTAATAGTGACGATGTAAAAGTATTACACAAAATAATAATGTGGAATATGTTTTTGAGTTTTTATATCGTATGGGGTCCAACAACTGCTTGAAAAGAAATTCATTTTGGTGGCTACATTTTGTGAACTGTTTAACACGACACTGTTGTCGATGCTTTCAAGTTTAACCTCTATGCATCCTTTTACCTTACATATCAACTAAATCTCTCAGAAAATGTAAAATGGTGTCAGATAATAGATTATGAACTTGATTTGCTGCATGAATAGTTTAAATTGTTCTGTTTTGTCGATGAAAACCATAGATATCAAAACATTAAAAGAATGTAAGGAAGTATGTCCTATTTCATATTGTTTTAATCCCAAAAAAACAAAAATAATATATAAGGGATATAAAGTTGGGTTTTTTAACCCATCATCCATGACAGAAATAATATCACAGTTTTATAATGTGTTCTATGACCTTAAATGCAATTTGATGTACAAAGTCAATCCCAGTTTGTCATGTGACCTCTGTATTTTTAGTTTGACGTGTATGACTGGGACAAGGATGGGTCACATGACCTGATTGGTGGATTTACAACCTCCGTTAAAGAGATGATGGCAGCCTCAGACCAAGAGGTTAGTGTTTTTGTTTTCTTTACCTCTGTCAAATTTTCCATAAATGTTTTGTTTTATATATTTCACTTTGCAAGAACAATATAATTGAAGTTTTTATTTGCATCTTCTATACCAAAGAGCTTATAAAGTCAGGGTATGTACTGTGTACTGAAAAACTTTTGCCCAGCCAAATACTCACCCTTTGCCAATAAAACACATGTTCGCCCTGTGTTAATTTCGCCTTTCACATGTAATTACTACACATTGTATGTTGTGTACTGATATTCTCTGTAATGGTAAATTCGACTATATTTGGGAAGGCACAAGAGGCGAAAATTATACTGTGGCGAGATTTTCCTGGTATACAGTACTCAGAGTGTTTGTCTGTTTATCTGTCTGTAGACAACTACTTTTCCCAGAGTACAGCATTTCGATGAAAACTTTTACACTATTCCACTATACCTGGTAGTTGTTAACATTGTTATTGAGTTTTCATTTTGACACTGTTTTGCTGAGTACTGCCCCTATATATAAAACAAATGTCCTGACTACTTCTTTTCCTAAAGTACTTCAAACATATCAATGAAGCTTTTCTACTTGTATTTTATCAGTATTGTTATCGGCCCATATATATTTTAATTGTGAGTGGTATTTGTTTATACACTGTATAATAGACTGTTACTGCAAAAGATGTGGTCCTAAGGAGGTACAGTGTTATAGGTTATATGTAGCCTGCAATATTCAATTTTAGTTAGGATTTACAATTATATAATTGTTATTATATTCAAAAGTGACATCAGAAGAAAATTCATCACACTAAGATAATTCTTAGCTAATTGATTATTCTGTGTAAGTTAAACCAAACGCGAATTGTATGTGTAGTGTGTAAGGTGGCATATATCTTAAACTCAAATACAAATCACATGTGTAGTGTGTAAGGTGGCATACATCCTTAACTTAAATACATATCACATGTGAAGTGTGTAGGGTAGCATACATCCTTAACTTAAATACAATTTTAATGTAGCGTATATTCATAATTGAAATATATATTTAGGTAAAAAAAAAATAGGGAGCATATATTAGAACATCCTTCTCTGATGTTTTTTTGTTTTATTTCACTTGTAATTGCTAACAGATTTGTTTTAGATGCTTCAAACACATGTATTATACTACAATTCAGGCATGTTAGGTTGCAAAAAAATATATAAGACTGGTCACTCTGATATTTATCATCCTTCTGTGGTAAGAAGTATGCATATGTCTATGCATAAAAAGCTTCATCCCAAAGCAATCTTTATTTTCAAGTAGAACACTGGGTAATATAGAATACTATATAGATGGTTGATTTTATACTTTCATGAAATGATTGTCTCTGCCCTACCCGTGTTGTGTAGTTTGTCAGAGTTTGGAGTTTGTTCCATTCTATTGGGTTGAAGTTGACAAAAAAAGAGATATAGGTAAAATGTTCTCATCCACATTAAAGTTCTGGAAGTGACTGTTCAACAGTATATCTTTTATGAAAATACAACGAAAGCAAAACCATGTAAAAGTAATGTAATCTTACATTTAATTAAACTTCAAAAGTACAAAATGTATATTGATATATATCAGATCCTTCATGATGCAATGAGAAAATATAGAATATGAAATAATAATTGTCATAAAAAATATTTGATCAATACTTTTGGCTATCCGGAAATTAAGTTAAAGTTGTTCATCATGTAGCCTAACGTTGCACAGTTTTATGGTTTCTAAAGATGATCATTGCGAGAAATACAAAAAATGTATGTCATACAAGACAAAGAAATTGATTCTTGCATATGATTTACATAACAATGCATCAATTTTAATTTCACAGGGCTTATATTTTGGGGTTGTCTTGATCAGGGCAAATTAATGGGAATTGAATTTTGCGCAACATGTCTATGTACATTTATCTCGTTCACAAGAGTACTTTTGTAATTGGGTGACGGTATTTCTTTTAGAAGTATTTTATTTCATGTTTTCTGTGGTGACCCTGAATATAGCAAATTTAAATCCCAAATGAATATTACCAACTACTCAGTATGTAGAAAACTGCCATATAGGGATGAATAAATGAGCGTCTCCTGTATAGAGGATTGGCTTCATAGGAATCTGTATCTGCGGCGAATGTAGGGTACCAGGTAAATTTGATAGAGCAGACACACAATTTTGATTTATTGGTTTGTAGTAAACTGTTTGGTGTGAAAATATGGCTTCTAATGTAAATTTGTTTTGAAATAGTTCTAACCTGAGTAAAGTTCTGTAATAACCGATAGAAATACTTTGATTTACAACATCAAATAAGTATTTGGGGTGTAAATATATTATGTTTATATAATGTAAACAAAAAGTTTGTATTATGTATATGTAAACACATTCTTGATATTTATTATATTTAAAATAGAAATATTTCATATAAATCTATAATATTCTATTAAGAGAAATGATTAAAAAATGGATAAAAACATATTGTTGAAAAATTAATCATAAAATATTAATATAAGGTGATACATGATTGTAAACACAATAAATGTATTTCGATTATAATTTCAGCACCTTTATGAAAAAAAAAGCATTGTATTAACCCATTCACTCCTTAAGTCACATTAGAACCTTACCAAATCATAGGCTGGGCAAGTCCATTTAAAAAATGTAGGGGTGAATGAGTTAACCATTGTTTGGTGATTGGTATAGCTTGCCTTTAGTGATTTTGTGTTTACTTGCGAGACAAATTAATTCATATTATTGTCTTATTCTGTCTGAAATGTTATTATTGTCTCTTATGTGACATGGAGCAATCCAATTTGACTGGTCTTATCTTATGATCATTGGACAACTCTAAGAGATAAAACTCCAGCAGAGCCGTACGTTTAATATAGGCTGTTGATGCTTTCATCCCATGGTCTTGTAGATCCCCTGCCTCTCTTCCTTGTTTCAGCATAGTTCCGAAAATTTTGATACTGTGCTTATTCCATGTAAGATGTTGTCATGGTGATAAATCAAGCTAATCACAGCGATGGTTGCCATGGCGATCAATTCACTTCAGATGTTGGTAAAGTGCTGTTTACCATGGTGTTACCATGGTAATATGATACACACTCGATGTTGGTACAGTGCTTTTCCATGAGAGATGTTACCATGTTGATAATGTCCACTTTAGATGTTGGTACAGTGCTATTCCACCAAAGATGTTACCATGGTGATATAATCCACCTTAGATGTTACTACAGTGCTATTCCACCAAAGATGTTACCATGGTGATAATGTCCACTTTAGATGTTGGTACAATGCTGTTTACCATGGTGATATAATCCACCTTAGATGTTGGTACACGAGAGTGTTATATTGAAGCTGCATTGAGTGGCCCATTATCTTGACCTCCTTAAAAATCTAACCACAAAGAGGCTTCATTGCAATCATGTTCTCGGTGACAGTGAGGGGTAAGTTGATGACGCCTAGAAGAGCCTCACATACACCCTTAAGGTTCTCGATGCACACCGTAAAGGGTAACAGCAGGATGTACAGCCAGGCAATGAAGAAAGCGATGGGCCATGCGAGGAACCAAAGGATCAGAAACCACAACAAAGCCCACAGCAGCCCCGGGCAATGGCCCCCTCCTTCCGCACGACCTTGACCTTCACCTAGACCTTCTCCTAAACCCATCCTTCTCTCAACTCAACACTTCTTTGACTGTTGCTGACAAATGGATGATTCTGAAAGATGACAAAAATTATGTTAAGCTGACATTTTTATTATTGGAAGCATACATGGTAAAAAAAAAAGCTTTTATTTCCTTTTACAAGCAGCCAAACATTTCCAATTACAATTAATGCAAGATTCTATTGGAAGAAAATAAGAATTTTGAAGCACACCTTGAAAAGTATTGGACTCTTGTTTTTAAATTCCTAATAAACTAAACTTATTGTTTTCTTGGTTAGAAGATTAAGTGGTCAATACATACCTGAGCATTGCTCATTGGAGTAGGTTAATTGTTAGTGAAGAAAAATCTTATCACTGAGATGAAATCTCATACCTCAGTACTGGCAGAGTGAAAAGTATGGCTTATCACTCGTACATAAATGCTAAAACAATATGGCTTCTCCCCTATATCAACAGTACAAACTACATATTAGCCTCATTTGCAGGCTACTAAATTAGTGTTAAACGTGATAGTTGTAAATAGTTGAACTTTGTCAGTCTTGACTCCTTGGTTTGTGTGTACCATGGAACTTTGGTAGTCTGGACACTATGGTTTGTCTGTACAATAGAACTTTGTTAGTCTGGACGCTCTGGTTTGTCTGTACAGAAGAACTTTGTCAGCCTGGACACTATGGTTTGTCTGTACAGTGGAACTTTGTCAGTCTGGACACCATGGTTTGTCTGAACAGCAGAACTTTGTCAGTCTGGACACTTTGGTTTGTCTGTACAGTGGAACTTTGTCAGTCTGGACACTATGGTTTGTCTGTACAGTGGAATTTTGTCAGTCTGGACACTATGGTTTGTCTGTATAGTTGAACTTTGTCAGTCTGGACTCTATGGTTTGTCTGTACAGTCGAACTTTGTCAGTCTGGACTCTATTGTTTGTCTGTACAGTGGAACTTTGTCAGTCTTGTCTTTTTGGTTTGTCTGTTAAGTGGAACTTTGTCAGTCTGTACACTATGGTTTGTTTGTATAGTTGAACTTTGTCAGTCTGGACACTTTGGTTTGTCTGCACAGTGGAACTTTGTTAGTCTAGACACTATGGTTTTTCTGTATAGTTGAACTTTGTCAGTCTGGACACTTTGGTTTGTCTGGACAGTGGAACTTTGTTAGTCTGGACAATATAGTTTTTCTGTTAAGTGGAACTTTGTTAGTCTGGACACTTTGGTTTGTCTGCACAGTGGAACTTTGTCAGTCTGGACACTATGGTTTGTCTGTACAGTAGAACTTTGTTAGTATGGACGTTATGGTTTGTCTGTACAGTTGAACTTAGTAAGTCTGGATTCTTTGGTTTGTCTGTTTAGTGGAACTTTGTCAGTCTGGTCACTATGGTTTGTCTGTACAGTTGAACTTTGTCAGTCTGGACACCATGGTTTGTCTGTACAGCAGAACTTAGTCAGTCTGGACACTTTGGTTTGTCTGTATAGTGGAACTTTGTCAGTCTGGACACTATGGATTGTCTGTATAGTTGAACTTTGTCAGCCTGGACACTATGGTTTGTCTGTACAGTGGAACTTTGTCAGCCTGGACACTATGTTTTGTCTGTACAGTGGAACTTTGTCAGCCTGGACACTATGGTTTGTTTGTATAGTTGATGTTTGTCAATCTGGACACTTTGGTTTGTCTGGACAGTGGAACTTTGTTAGTCTAAACACTATGGTTTGTCTGTACAGTAGAACTTTGTCAGCCTGGACACTATGGTTTGTCTGTACAGTGGAACTTTGTCAGCCTGGACACTATTGTTTGTCTGTACAGTGGACCTTTGTCAGCCTGGACACTATGGTTTGTTTGTATAGTTGAGGTTTGTCAAGCTGGACACTTTGGTTTGTCTGCACAGTGGAACTTTGTCAGTCTGGACACTGGTTTGTCTGTACAGCAGAACTTTGTTAGTCTGGACACTTTGGTTTGTCTGGGCAGTGGAACTTTGTTAGTCTAAACACTATGGGTTGTCTGTACAGTAGAACTTTGTCAGCCTCGACACTATGGTTTGTCTGTACAGTAGGACTTTGTCAGCCTGGACACTAAGGTTTGTCTGTACAGTGGAACGTTGTCAGCCTGGACACTGGGTTGTCTGTACAGCAGAACTTTGTTAGTCTGGACACTTTGGTTTGTCTGGACAGTGTTAATTTGTTAGTCTAAACACTATGGTTTGTCTGTACAGTTGAACTTTGTCAATCTGGACACTATGGTTTGTCTGTACAGTGTATCCTTGTCAGTCTGGACACTATGGTTTGTCTGTACAGTGGAACTTTGTCAGTCTTGTCTCATTGGTTTGTCTGTACAGTGGAACGTTGTCAGCCTGGACACTGGTTTGTCTGTACAGCAGAACTTTGTTAGTCTGGACACTTTGGTTTGTCTGCACATTGGAACTTTGTCATTCTGGACTCTATGGTTTGTCTGTTAAGTGGAACTTTGTCAGTCTGGACACTATGGTTCATGTTTACAGTTGAACTTTGTCAGTCTGGACACTGGTTTGTCTGTACAGTTGAACTTTGTCAATCTGGACACTATGGTTTGTCTGTACAGTGGAACCTTGTTAGTCTGGACACTCAGGTTTGTGTGTACAGAGGAACGTTGTTAGCTGGAACGTTGTTAGTCTGGACTCTGGTTTGTGATACATTGGAAACTTGTTCTACTTGTTAGTCTGGACACCATGGTTTGTGTATACATTGGATCCTTGTTTATTTGTTAGTCTGGACACTCAGGTTTATTGTACATCAGTACCATGCAATGCTGTGGTACCATATCTGTCATTTTCATCTGTCTTTAAACTCTTCCCTAAGCCAAAAATTCTTAAATGGATTTTAGTTTGGAAGGAGTACTTGGTTTGAATCAAAATATTGTTTGTTTGTAATTTTCTGACTCTAAATTTTTAGGTTCAATGGGAAGGCTGAAAAATCCGGTTGTAACTGTAAATTACAACTGCTGAATTAGCAAGCATTGCATTTTAAAAACCATCAATGAGCTATAAAAAAAATCATTCAATAAGATGTCCCCTGGTACTGTAAACTAATTTTGTTATCATCACCATGTTTGTCCATTTGGAACTGAGTCACCAATCTTCTTCGAGACAGTGGGTATATATATATGAAGCTCCTCAGTAACGTATTTTCTCACACAACACAGACTGTTTATAAATGGCCATTGCCCACACACAAAGTCACACAGCGATCATGTAATATTTGTAATTAGTTGTACATGGAATAAAAATAACTGTGCCTGAATGTTATCAAATCTCATCAACAGTTAATGAGTTTATTCTATAAATTAGAAGTACAATGTATGATCATGTATTAAAAATTCTAAAATTTTAGACAAAATTTGTCAGAATTGTTCTTTCAAATGATTTTTTTTCTTGTCAAAATCTTACCAAGAGTTGTAAGGATTATTTCCTTGAATACTTAATTAAAAAATAATGAATTGGTATTATTATCATTTTTACCTACAATTGTATTTGGTTTTTTACCTGTAACAAACACTGGAGTGAAAAAAGAATAAAGATAAAGACTAGTACGATATAATTCAGAATAGCCTAGTCAGTAAGTTGTTAGGTTAATTAGTTAACCATTTCTTAAAAGTTTGAGTCCTGCATGCATTAGCTACAATAATGAATATCATTTATGAATTAAAGGTTATTTTTGTCTGTTGTTAGAGTGAGCAATGTTCACCTGGCAACAGTTATGTACTTACAAGTATACAATAAACCCGCTAACAAAGAGTTGGTGACTCTGATCTCTCGTAAACGTTTCGTGTAGAAAAATATATTCTGACCAGAGTTAGGCCGAAAACTGGGTGAAATACAAAAATAAACCGAATTTTTTGTAGACTAATTAAGCCTCGTTAAACAGGATGTGTTATATACTTTGGTCATAAAAATTTACTACGGATTTAGATAGCCTGATAGCTTGCATTGTAAATTATCTAGTGTGATCTCCTATGTTTTTCCTGATCATGGTGGAGGTTCCAAATAAAATAATAACTTAATGTTTCGTACTGGTACAATCTAGTGATGGGGTTGAGGGGTTTCCTGAATCCCCCAGAAATCCCCCTTGGATCTACGACTGGTTGGTACACTATATATATATAACTGTGGTGTTCCTGATGATGTTCCTGTTGATTTAAGTGTTATGCTTTGCTTTATAGCTCTCAGCTACTAGGGGGATCCGAACTTGGAGGAGGGTGACCTGCTGCTCTCAGACTGACAGGAACTATCTGACATCAAAACAAATTCTGATTCTTATCATAAATTATTTATTTCCTAAAATAATATCACTAATTAATAAAGCACTTTAGTGGTAGATGTGTCAATGTGACTTCCGTAATACATTCTCTGTAAGAAATTAGGTGACTTGGCACACATATTCAAAAACTAGTTACGAATAATTAAGGTCAGTCTTTTACTGGTACATTGTATGATATTACAGAGATATGTAATGGAGTCGTGTTTTTTGTAAAGTCGACATTCTTGACTTACATACACAATATGTATATCCTAAAATTTATTTTGCTGTGGTTTTAAAGTATTGTGTATTAGGGTTGTTTAGTCCTGTGAGTAAAGACTGCAGCCAGTATCTCGGTGATCCTGTTATAATCTGGTGTTCCGCGGTCGTTCAGGATGTACTTGTCGTTGTTGACTAACCACACTATACATCCTTAAACATTTGAGCAGTTTAGTCATCAGCTTGACGTGCAGTGACTTGTACATTGCACCTCGGAAATGCGCAGCGTTTTAACTCATTCACCCCTACATATTTAAACTGGACTTGCCATGTCTTTGATTTGGTAAGGTTCAAATGTGACTTAAACCTCACACGGGAAAAATATTGTAGGTCCGCAGTCACTGGAGTTAGCTGAATACTTTGTGATGAGAAATGTACGTAACGGAGAGTACCAGGGTAATACATCATAGCAAAGTTCTGGCCCCTGTCTCTCAATTGTTCCTTTAAGTTAAGAAAATTCCTTCAAGCTTTTCTTCAACTCTGTGAAACAGGATTCCAGTATATTTTACGTGGACTACAGTGTTTACTGTACATAATTAATAAGTAATTTTCATCTTAATGAAATCTTCGACTTTGAAACTAAATTTCATTATACAAAATAGACAACAGCATGTGGCTGTAAGAATTGATGCTGTGTTGTTGAGTTACTTTCTTTCTTGATATTGACATCATTCTTGTATGTATTATATATTGAATGGAGATTTTTGACCATATGCAAACGTTATGAGTTTTTGGATTCTTTCTAAATTCAATATTAACATTTAACAGTAGACATTGTCACTAAATCTAAATGTCCTAGTCTAATTTATCCACCACACAGCGGCTTCATAGCGATCATGTTCTCTGCACATGTCAGCGGCAGGTTGACAACTTTGAGCAATGCTTCACAAACTCCCTTCAGTGGCTCGATACAGGCTGAGAACGGCAACAGGAGTATATACAACCAAGCTATAAAAAACGCTATGGGCCATCCCAGGAACCACAGGATGAGAAACCATAGAATTCCCCACAGTATTCCGGGACATAAACCTCCCTTTCCTTTGCCTTCACCTTGACCTTCTCCTTGACCTTCCCCTAAACCCATGTCTGTTGCTTAGTAACTGTCAATTCCTATGCATAAGATACCTGAAAAGAGAGAGAAAAAGGTGTTATGTACTTACATAATGATGTAACAAGACACAGGCCCTGTTGTATAAGTCTTGTCAGCTTAATGACACTTAACTTAAACAAAATATTAATGTAAATAATCTGGAATTTTTTCAAAAAATATTGAAATTAATAAATAAAATTTCATTACCTAAATAAGATTCCAGAAACTCATATAATGGCAGGAAACTCAAAATAATTGTAAAATTTCAAGACACTTCCAATCTATCTCGCTTCAAAATTTTCTGCTAACAACTCATAAAGCTTATAATTGTCAGACTTAATTATGAATAACTGCACATGTCAAATGAATGTTTTGAGTTTAGTACAGTACATGTGTGTTTCGTGATGCTGTTTATGCCAATGGCTACTACATTTGTCGATTAACATAGGATATCACATCAGGCAGTTAACAAGGAAAGGTTGTATAGAGACCAAGTATTGAGCACTCCATTGTTGCTAAGAGACAGACAACAACATTCACTAGGTCTGGGTCAATCAAGCATCAGTGTGAATTTGATCTGTGTTTATGGTTTGTTTGCTGTGACATAAGCCGGTGTATGAGTGACAGGTTCAACATCAGTTAGCTATAAATGCAATTTTATACAGGTGATTTACTGTACTTTTAATGACAAAGTTTTGAAGCTCTCAACTATTGAGTATTACCGACGATCATTTTACTTTCGGCCAATAGGATACCTCCATTGCTTTGTTGATAGGAGGGGACTTTGTTTGCAGATATTAATCACCATGGCAGGTTGTAAACATCTAATTGTGAAAGTAAACAACTCCATTTACTCCTTGGTATAATATCCATAGGTAGACTTTACATATAGATTTAATATATAGCAAGGTAAATCCAGAAATTGATCTCGAGGGATTTCCAGTAAATGTGTATACACTTTTAGAAATTTAAATAAATTTATATAAGCTCTAAGCTAAATTGTTTTCTCATCCATCTGATATTGTATGAATGTGATAACTGTGTTAGCCTATTAGATTTAATTATTTTTAACAAACATGCCAGGGAGATGGCTGTTACAAATATGATAAAAATGTTTTTTTTAAAAGAAGCTGGTAGATTAGAGGCTGTGCTGCTGTCCCTAAAATCCCCTGGATGTAAGATCATTATACAGTCATCACACCAACTGTGCTACTTCGGCAATGGTAGCATAGTGCGACACAGTCCTGCTACAATTATACCCCAAAACGAAATTTAGGTTTAGGTTATTTAAGTTATTTTTACGAAAAAATTACAGTTAAAATCTCAAGTGTTTTGCAAGCAGTGGGACAGGGATCCTTAACTTTAACTCCTTCACCCCTGAAATTTCATAATGAACTATTCCAACCGATTAATTGGAAGAGTTCAAAAGTGTCTCCAGGGGTAAATGAGTTAATTCTCGATTCAATCTAAATTTCGTTTTTTTGGAAAGTTGGAAGTTGGAAGTTCTATTTCTCCATGAAACAATTTACATATCTTAGAGTTGAATCAAACTTAATGTGAGCCAGGGACATTATACCCAGGGCTGATTGCTATGAAGGCCCTGTAAGATTCAAGATATAGTTTGACGAGATCACATGTTGCTTTGTCGGGTAGGATGTGTCTATGGGGTATGTGTGGTATGTGTAGAATTTTTCATTCATTTTTTATTTTGATATTTCTTTAGATAACATTGAAACTATATTAATATCACTCTGATGCCTTAGGCATGGCTACATATACATTACTAGTAACATTTAATGTGAAATTCAGTGTCAAACTATTTAAACATATAGGTACATGTATGCCCAGATATATATGTATAGGAGAATAAGTACAGGTGATAAAACTAATCACAACATACTTTTTATTACAGTTGCATGGAACATGTAGTGGGTGTGGTTACTGTTGTAGAAGTCACTATAGATTAGACCCAATACATATATAGCCCTCAAATCAACCAGTATAGCACTCCAATCTGATCTGATGCCAGCTTGTCATTTATAAAAATTTATTGAAATTATATTGAACTCTGCCATCAAATTTATACTTTTAAAGTAGAATATTTCAAAATAGAAGGTATACTACCTGGTTCATAATACAGCTGGTTATAGCAGTGAAGTTTTGATAGAACTAATCATTTAGCCCTGTATAAGGAAGTTAGTAAAGGTATTTGTATTTGCACTGATTCCTGATTTTGTGTAGGTGTATTGTCTAGCCCTTACCTTGTTTGTGTGTAAGGTGTTAAAAGTCTAAGAATCACTGTCAGGTATCCATGATAACCAAGATTTGTGTAATGAAAATAATAAATCAAGTTTATCATGTAGTGTATTTTTAATGAAGGGTATATTACCCATAGTACATTTAAACTCTAAACTGAGTATCTTCTGTATCAACTACAGTGGATTGAGATGCAGGCCTATAACTGCTTTCAAGTCTGTCCAGTGCTCTGCTCTGGTTAGATTTGAGCCCTGCAGAGCTTTTTTAAGGGCAGGAGATAAATATCTCTGAAACACATACAGCTGGCTCAACTTGGGTTAACTGGGGTTCTACACATGGAACTTAACCCTGCTGTTTTGTGGAAGCCATCAGACTGTGAAAGTGTAGAGGTTGTGCTTCTTATATGTGTAATGGTCAAGCTGGGTCTCTGAGTGTATTTCAGGCCATGAGGGTGTAAAATGTAGCATTTCCTCCTTTAGAATATATTTCAGGCCATGAGGGTGTAAATGTAGTAGTTATGTACCTTTAGAGTGTATTTCAGGCCATGAGGGTGAAAATGTAGAAGTTATACACCTTCAGAGTGTATTTCAGGCCATTATAGGGTATAAATGTAGCAGTTCCTCCTTTGAAGTGTATTTCGAGGCCATGAGGGTGTACATGTAGAGGTTATGTTCCCTTCAGGCTATGAGTTATGCTCCTGTTGGAGTAATGTTTCCTTCTGGCTTTATTTCAAGTAGTTTACAATGTAATGTTGACCTTATGTTCATGTTTCACAGTGTAACCACTAGTGATTTACATCTTTCTGTATTTTGAAGGTTGTGAACATTGTAATGGTATGCGTCTGACGTAGTCCATGGTGGTAGGATTGAACTTGTGTTAGGATTTGGGGTGTATTTCAATGTGTGAGTGTTCAGGCATTCACTACCCAATAAAAACCAATTAAGCTTGACTGTGAAAAGAATTTATTTATTGAAACGAATGAATGTGTATTTGAGAAATGTCAAACATACCGTCTATTTGTATATTCATTAGCGTGTTCTGGTCTTGACATATAACGTGTTTCTGAGGGGAGTTTTCTGCCACGACAAGCAATAAAGCTTAACTATAGAAATGAAAAGAATATTGACGACACCTACAATTTACACACACATGAGACCTTACCTGGGAGGACCTTTGACAGTCGTACCTGTAGATACCCTAATAGGCCTACAGGTATTACCATAACTGTTAAGCGTCTGAATATTTTACCTCCTCAATGAAAAAAAATCTATGGAAATTTTGTTTTCATGAATATATCTTTGTCTTTTCATCAGAAATTATTTTGTCATAGGCATTTGTAGTAAAATTACTTTACGCACATGAAACTTGTGGTGTATGCTTTAGATTACTGGTACAGGAAGGTTTGACAGAAATAGTAAGGAAGAAGTTATTTGTGTCCTGAGATTAAGATTTAATAAATCTGCCATAAATCCACCCTAGTACTCTGTAAAACTTGAAGTTTTGCATGCGGAAGTGTTCAGGTTGTGACTTTTCAAATTGAGCGCAGTGTTAAATTTTGCATATCGGCAATGGTTTTTAAATCTATACATTATTTATCTATATAATCTTGATTATTTTCTCTCTTTTTCTATACTTATACATTTAAATTAGATAATTTAGGGCTAATTTATTCAGCACACGAAAATGCAAGCATTTCCCTTTTCATGGTACTCGACCATAAACATTATTCAGTTATGAGTGTCTTTAATCCAGCCAAGTCTAATTTTATTATGTGACTATCCTACCAGTGTTTTAAGGGACAAATTGGCCTTCTCATGTTCAGTAATCTGCCTTTCTCATTGTCAAACAATCCAGCTGTTGTTTGGCTGGAAATGAAGGTGGCTAGATAATCGATGCATCACTGGATCTGTTTATGTACACAACATGTGGTCCCCTTTCTATGTACAGCTGTTACAAATGACTATTTTGAAGTCTAATGTATATAATATTTGATACAAGTTTGAATCCTGTGCAGAAATACCCATAACACTTTCAAACAAATATGGCAACTTTTTGTTACTGATTAATATATCTCAAAGCTAAATAACATTAGAAACATCTAGATACAAGTCTGCAATATAAGAATAAAAGCCAGGAGTTAACCACTTATCAGGTTCTCAATGTAGAAGTGAAGATTTTGTCAGTTTATTGTAAAACCCTTGTTATATTGCTTCTATTTGTCTAGCAAAATATGCATCAAGGGAAACATGCAAAAGATAATTAACTCATTCACCCCTGAAGACACATTTGAACTCTTCCAATTCATATTAAGGTTGGAATAGTTCATTATGAAATTTCAGGGGTGAATGAGTTAAGAATAAAGGGAAAGAGGATCTTGAAAATATGTTAATGGTAAATGAGATGGCAAATTAAAGAATGGTCAATAAATTAACGTTTTACTGTATGTTGCTGAAGTATATGCGTGTAAGCATATCCTTGTTATATTGCCACCATTTGTGCAGAGAAAAAAATTGGCATTATAAAGAGGTTGGCAGTAAATTGAGGAAAACATTTAAAGGAATTCTTAAGGAATACAGAAAATACTTATTTATTTATATATGTATATATATATACATATACTGCTTCGAAGCAGATATACATATTTATGAAAAAAATGTCTGGGGGAATAAAATATTTGTAACACAAAAAAAATTAAAAAAATACAGAAAATACAGACTTTGAAATATGTTGGTAATAAGTGAGGTTGCTAATGAAAAAATGGGCATGATATTAACTCATTCACCCCTAAAATTTCATAATGAACTATTTCAACCATTCAATTGGAATAGTTCAAATGTGTCTTTAGGGGTGAATGAGTGAAGGTTTTACTCACAGTATTATTACTGACCCCCTAATTCAGTACTTTTGTGTCTGCAGTAACATCCACACTAACAGTATTCAGTTTTTTTCTCCATTTTATTTGAATTGCAGTGATGCATAGTTTTCTAGTGTTGATTGTCTAATGCTAGTATAGTTATGGCCTGTTATCAGAATCATGTCTGGTCAAAGTGACATTATTGCACACAACCAAGCACTAACTTTACATGCCTCAGATATGGATGTCAGGGCTCTGTAAATGGCTGGTGTTCCTTTGAGTGGTATAAAGATATCGGGTGATGAAAGCATGCCTTTCTGTTATCTCACAAGTAATGATAAGCCTGGTAATATTACTTGGTGTTGAGCTTCATATGTCAGAGTGAAGTGTGCTATCAGTGCAGATAGTATTGAACTTACTGCCACTATTTGACCTTGTGTTGTACATGTGTCAAATCTATAGGATCAGGAGGATCAAGTACAAGCAGGAATTTAGTTTTGATTTACATTAATTTGTGAAAATATGTTGGCCTTATATGTAACAAACGTAGAAGTTAGATGACCCTATATATATATGGAGAGAAAGAATATTTAGTTTTGTCAGATTAGTTTATAAAAAGGGAAATATTATATGTTCAAGTAAGGTTTGAGCCAGAAGAAAAATTATATATTGTAAGCCCTATGACAGTATTACAATTGAGGGAAATAATATATTTTTAATGTTGAATGACGTTATAAAGAAATACATGATATTTTTTTAAGTTGTATGACCTTATTTTGATGTAAATGTGAAGTGTTTATGTCCGATAACTTACATCGAGGAAAGTTATGTTTTAAGTGATATGACGTACTCGCTAGACAGGGAAATTATACCAGGTATAAGTTTTGAGTCAAACGATGCAAGGGAAGGGAACTGCTGATGTATTAATTTTACATTTAAGTATAAAACCAAAGTCAAATTTTGACTTCTATTTTAATTGAGATATTTATTTCTCGATTTAAAAACTGATACATTCTGTTGTCATAATACCTGTAATAAGCCTGAGTGGCTCTAGCCATTGTCAAATATCACCCAGGAATAATTGACATGTAAGCATCTCATTTTGTATAGGTTATCACTATGAGTGTCATCGTCATAAACTCATTCACCCCTGAAGCAACCTACATGTACAGTCATGTACCATTTATAATGTTTATGAACACTTATCAACAGACTGCATACATGTGTCTGTGTATAGATTTAAAAACGGATAAATACCTGTCAAGTTATAATTAGCTATTTATTATAATAGAGTCATCACGTCATACACCACTGCCAAGTTAGGGCAGTGTCCAGTAACCAGAGCACAAAATGACAGCACACACAGTACATCTGTATAAGGAGTCTGGTCTCTACTAAATAGCACAACATCACAGCACACACAGCACATATGTATAAGGAGTCTGGTCTCTACTAAATAGCACAAGATCACAGTACACACAGCACAGTTGTATCAGCTGTACTAGATTTGTTACATCTATAAATCAATTCACAACAAAAGGATCATACCAGTTATTGTACTTGTTTTGTGGAGTTGTTTCATGCTGAGACAGTATTTTGCCATGCCCTTGTAAATTTCTCCTAACATTGATATATTTTGTGCCCTACATGTGTCACCGGTGTTTCTGACATTAGAGTGTATGGTGAGGGATATATGTGTGATGGAGTTAAGGGTTTATGTGTGATGAAGTTAAGGGTTATATATGTGATGGAGTGTTCTTATCCACTAACTATAATGATACAGGTGACCAACATATGTACCCATTTAGAGACAGGATAGTCAATGGTTTCTCATTGAATGTCATGCATATACTTCTAAGGCAATATGACACACAAGTAAAACACACGTTTTCTTATGGGAAACCATTGCATTTTTAGGGTAATTACGGTAATATCTGAAACGGCTCAATTACCTGTGGTTAATTAAGATGTTGGTAAATTAAGTTAGCCAATCATGATAATTTTACTGGTAACAATCCTAATTGAGGAACCCTGAATGGTTACTATTAACAACATTATGTCTAAACATTTGATCTAATGTCAAAACCAAGTCACCATTTGTTGCAAGATCACAATCAATTGTATATCTTCTCTGGTGAAGAAAAAACACTTTTTTGTTTACATAATAGTAATTATTCACTACAGTTATGTGACATTATTTTTACTCTCCATTTGTTGGTAGTGAGGGAGGTGGCAAATGAAAGAGGGTCATTAAATGAAGGTTTTACGGTTATGAACCATTTGATATACGTTACTGTAATAGGTATTACAGAGGATGGTGGTTCCCTGCCCTGGCCCTTAGTGAGGATTTACCTTCTTTCAAGTCCTCACTTGAAGGTTACCACCAGTCTCTCTACTAATTTTGCATCCTCGTTATGTACATAGTTTTAATATAATACCTAAAAATTACAAACAAACAAAATTCTTTGAAAAGCCACCTCCCAGGGTCAATTGCACTCCAACCTTGGAGTTCTGATCCTTGTAATGGAAGTAGAAGAAGTACAGTGACATGATAAGTAACCATTAAAACAGCACCGGCCTTAAAGAGCCATACCTTAATGGAACCACATATCCTGTTTGATTGGAAAGACCTCAAAGGTACATGCTACAATCTCTAAAGAAACAACCATGGGTAAGAGTTGTTAAAAATGTTTTCAGCTGAATTTATCAATATATTTCACATCTGTATGTGTATGACCTGCTGATAATTTGAGAAACACTTCCCGTATGAGATTACACTTGAGTAAACAATCTCAACACTCAAGATTTCAGATGTCAAGTCCTCAACTGATCTTTGCTCATCTTATAATTGTTCCCCTTGCTTTTAGATTCCTTGTCTCCTCAACTAGATGTTATAGACACTTTCCTCCATCAGATCTCGACTACCTGTACAGCTGAACCAGTACATAAGTCACCTCCAGTAATGCATAGTGACAATTTTTGCCATGTGTGGTACATAAAAACAGTCTGTGATGTACTACTAACTATTCCATGTAGAACATTTTGATGGACTCTAATTTAGAAGTAATGAATCATTCTGTATGGTAAGGTGTGCTAGTTTTCTGTAAGTATTGATTACAATATTATAGCTGTCAGCTGTGAATGTCGCTGAAACGTATAGCTGCCACAGCGTAATGGATAGATGGCTATATATCTTACCTGCTTACAGACGCTAGTGGCTCAAACCGCGGTAATGAAAAATATCACAACAGTAGCTTTACCTGAAAGGCTGGCAGACAACCATGCAGTTGTGCTTGTGTGTATATCCTGATTCACCCAGGATAGTATATATCCTTGGGTGTGATATATCCCTGGGGTAGGTGAATGCTCTAGATGAACTTCTAGCCCGATCTGCTGTAAGACTCCGCAGTACAGTGGCAACCAGCCTTGATACAAACTTTATTAATAATTAGATTCATGCATCAGTGGAGGGTTATTGACAGGACTGTGAATGTGGATGGACCAGTGTGGGTGTGGGGACACATATGGGGCGGGTTCTCCTGCAGTTGTCATGGCATCAGTAAATAGTAAACATGTTACCTACCTTACCTGTGTCCTCTGGTATACGGTCCTTCTTCTAGTTGACCGTAAACTGGAGCAATCAACCCTCTTCACAAAGTCTCAAATCACCAAAGAGTTTGATATTCACGCCACTGCCTCGATGTTAACCCAGCACTGCCCCGCCCAAATATCACTGTATATACACACTGTAGGCCCTACACTGTCCTGTATAGTAATAACCACACGTATCTGGAAAAATTTGGGAACATCGAGGGTATAGTGTGTAAACAGACCTGACCTGTATACCGCTATAGTGTGTACACATGTATACAGGCCCAGACCCCCTCCCTTAAATATTTACTTAGCCAGCGGTTAGTTTGCTGACCATAAGCCCTCAAGTCAATACTATACCGAACCTCCAATAATGGTCAGTCCAGCTGAAGTGGTCAGTTCTTAATAGTTTTAACATTGAATACATATTGGATTTTCTATGGTAAATAATATTGTTGCTAATTCTAAAAGTATTGTACACAAGTGTTACAACACCAAAGATGCGCTTTTTGTAATGCATTGAACTATAAATGTGGACTGCTTTTGTGAATAGATTGACTTTAAAAACTATAATGTGACACTGTTTTCATTTGTCCTAATCCAGGAATGTAAACTGAATACGTGTACCAGTAATTATGTCTGGTCCAACCAGGAATTACATACAGTAACAGGACTAGAGACGAATAGATCAAATTCCATTCAGCTACGTTATAATTAAAGAAGGTTTTATTAAAATGTTTAGTGGTTAAATTTCAAGTGGAAAATATAAAAAGTTGAAATAATTTCTATACCTGCAGTATATACATGTACCTTAAGCATTAAAAATATAAGTGACGTATAACTCTGGTTATTTTCAGTGTAATATGACTGGATGGAATGTCATGTTGCCATGTTCAGGTTGTGTATGACATTTCAGTGTTAAGGATGTCACTTTCAGATGACCGTTGTGAGCCCCATCATCTGTGGACACCAACTGCCTATAACATGTAGCTGGTACTGAGCATTTGACAGTGATGGACATTTGGCCAGCATAACACCCATCCTGTCGACCTCCAACACTAATCTCTTATCCTTAATTCTGACACTGCCAGTAACCTTCAACCCTGACCTCTGACCCATACATCAAAATTACATCTAATTATATAACCTCCTTACTGTTAAGTTGTTTGTCCATGAGCATGGTGGCCTCATATACATTTTCTCATAGTGTATTGTCACTATAGTTCTGTGTTACAGGTAGGACTATGTTCTGGTACACCTTAGATGAACTTTGACTTGTACATTCCTCCTTTGGTATAGCTTAATTATAAGACATCATCCTGGTGAACCCTGACCCCTACATCAATTTTGGGGGTTTTCAAAAACATACTGTATTCTTAATGACATCTGCCCCCACATACCCCTGCAGTTCTAGCTCCCAATACATAATTCTGATGAACTCTGATCCTATACACTTTATACATCATCCTGATGACCTCTGACCCATAGTGGTTCTCCCAAGTACACCTAATATACATCATCCTGATGACCTCTGACCCAAAATGGTTTTCCCTAGTACACCTTATAAACATCATTCTGATGACCTCCGACCCATAGTGGTTCTCCCAAGTACACCTAATATACATCATCCTGATGACCTCTGACCCATAGTGGTTCTCCCAAGTACACCTTTTAAACATCATCCTAATGACCTAGCTCTGACCCATAGTGGTTCTCCCACTACACACAAGCGTATTCTTCGGAACCCTCAGGTACAAGTCTCCACTGTAATGTGAAACCTTCCTACAATACCGCCAAGTTTAAAGTTCCTCTGTCATAAGATGGAACAATGCCACTGTCTGATCAGTAACACAAAAGGGGTCAGGGTCATATGTTGTGCCCTAGGCTCTGTCCTTATTGTTTCCTTAATGCCTAATGATGCTTGTCCTGGCCTATGTAGTTCAGGAGTATTGTGTAAATGTTTGGCAGTCACATGGTAGAGATGTTTGTAACATCCTAACAGAGTTACATTTTCCCTTCAGTACAACATTCCTTCACTGATTGTTATAGTGCAGAATGCCTATTGCCCAACTAGTGTTATATGTAGTATAATTTCTTTTCTATTTGTGAAAGATCTTTTATAGCGTAATAAATTACTTCCCATAGTCAAAGAGGATGATTAAATAAAATTTCATAAATGCATTCATTACAAGGTGGTGTGCTGTTTTGTAGACTTTAGATTGAAGTCAAAGGAATATATGAAAAAAAATAACATTTGAGGAGATGTTTGACAGGGCAGTTATAAGAGTAAAACAAGCATGCATTTAAATTACACCTAATATTTGGCACCGAACACCTTCCCTGAATAAAGGACATGCTACAGATAATAAGCATAGCTTAACATATGATTGATCAGTCTGGAGTGCCTACATCAAGTTTTTACCTCAATCTGTAGGATTGGTTAATATTGACACAGGATTATCTTAACAATAAACATTGTAGCTAGGCTGTAACCCACTGCCACGCCCTGTTTGCAAATGGACGTGTGTAGCTAGGCTGTAACCCACTGCCACGCCCTGTTTGTAAAGGGACGCGCAGACATTATTATACCACGTATACGTCACTAAAGACGTCGGTGATGTACATTCCTATGCGACCTTCTCTTGCCATCCACATCACAGGAATAATTATCACTTATATAAAAAAAAATCATTTTTAGTGATAGGAGTTGGCGAGAAAACAACTGAATCACTGGTACATATAACTAATATACTGCCAGTCACAGCCCACAGGTCCCGTGCACATCTAGGTCTACGGCTGTAGGGTAAGGGGTGACACTAGATTCCAGAAAGGAAATGTATTGTGGCCTCATATAACACACGATATACTGGGTTTACCTTTCACATACAGTGATAAATCTACATACCAGTCCTGAGTCTATACTCATAGAATTTTGATGGGACTTTTAGAATTTCTGGAAATACTTAGATTTAACATTGTGGGACCCATTGTTTTAAGCAATACAGTTAAAAAGGACCAATAAAATAACTTGCAGATTGATTACTGTACATACATCCTATGAGAAAGAGTTCCAAAACATTCTTTACTACAATGACATTTACTCGATTAACTTGAAGATGAACTTTTGCAGATTTTCCTTAATTCAAATTATTCTATCATTATACATAGTTCTTTTTGAAATATCAAAGAAGTTATGACCTTTCTGTAAATTCTCAATACCAACAGTGGGAAAAAAATGCAAAAATAAGTGCTAAAATGATAAAAAAAATAAATACATTCAGACCTTGTTTGGTCCAAAGGTAAGAAAAAGGAGATGGCTATTTTGATGCTCGAGCCGGGACACGTCACATGACCTTTGTTTGGGTCCGTAATATATGCTCCATTTAGAGGAGCGACTTAATTGCCCATCATGCTATATATAATTATATGGTTAGCCATTGGATAGATAAATAGACTGAGGTATTTCAGCAGTCACTCAATTTATCTAATGCCTAGCTGTTGAAACAGGACAAATATAGTTCACATATTTCTATACAGTCTAAAACAGTTACACCTAATTGCATTTGTTATTGATTTGTGTTCCGTTGGCAAGGAAGCCATGTTGTTGAAGATTTATACAAGGAATAAAAACAATTACACAAAGATATTGTACTAGTTAATTGTTTAAATCTCACCCCATAAAGTTTTCTCAAGAAATCAATATGTATTATATATGATCTAACCTAGTTTTGATTGTTGTATTGTGTACAACTCCAGATGTGAAATATGTACTCGGTAGGGCCCTTTCCGTGTCCGTGTTCTAGATCATATCTAACTCCTGTGTGGATTCCTTAGTTTCCATTGTGATGCTATCAGTAAGGTAATCTGACCTTAATTGTAACGTTTCATGGTGTTCTATTTCACTTCTGGCTCAGCTTCCTACAAGCTGAAATTAGAGGTAGTTAAGACTGCTTTCAGAGAGAAAATATTATTTAAAATAAAAGCAAGAAAAAATTCCAGTATATTGTTCCGAAATGTTCAAAGGCCATCTCTAAATTGGTAACATTTTGTAAGAGAACTCTTATATTTTTCATTTGGGGAAAAATTAATCTTCAGTAAAAGCTAGATATAATGTCTGGGTATACTTCATTAAATTACACCTATCTTTCAGCCATCCTATTTTACGTCAGTATTTGTCCCTTTACAAGGTGTGTGACACTTGTTGAGTGACAGGTGCTTACGTAAATTGATTTTGGTCTGGAATGGAATTGAATTATGTGTATTGTGTCCTACAGAATTAACAAACAATTGAAGCTATGTAAGCAACACCACAGGTATTATCTGATGTCCCAGGTTAGAATTAGTGGGTGTTGTTCTCCACACAAAAGTCTGGTGTTAGACCTTTGCTCAATGGTGTAAAATTTGACAGCCTTTTATTTCGTCAATACATGTAGACTTATTACAATAAACAACACATACATGGTATTTATGTGTGTACCTGCCCGACTACTGGCATGGTAATATTCAATGTTTAGCACAATTATACAAAACAATAGTCGACAAATAATTGATTACAGCTTACAGTCTAAGGGAGACAAATCTTCATTGTAACAACTACACCAAGGCTTGACGTTAAAGGTTAATTCATTATATTGGTGTTTATAATGGATATATTGTATAAGATACATCACCATTTTTATGGTAATTTTCTATTGGCCAGTCGCAGGTGACATCACAAAAAACAAAAGTTTTTCATTTGATTTCGAATGCATTTTCTAATTTGTAGCAAATCTTGCCTTTTATTGGACAGTCATAGAATAACTGTAATGATAAGTTCATTTTTTTCTGGATAAAAAGTGAGAGATGCGAATCTGTCACTTTATTATCAAAATATAGGAACACATATGTTAGTTGGTAAAATGCATTGGTGTTTAGGGTGCCAAAAACTGTAACTAAGTATTGGAAATTGTTTTTCAGCATTACTATAGCCTTGATAAATCATTTTTGAAAAGAAAACTATATCTTGCAGGACTTTTATGAAAAATAATACAGAAGAAATAAACAAATTATAATCAACACAAGTGTTCTGAGTGTGTAAAAATCAGTGGAGCTTACGACCAGGTTCGAACCCTGGACTTGTTATACTAATGCTGTAACGTACAAACAGAGGTTAAGGGGAGGTTACTGTGAATAGGGAAAACAGATGTGCAGGGATCCTTCAACTGAATAATAGGGCAGGTGAAAAATATCATTATCCTAGGTACTTTCAGGGTAAAACAAAGATTTATTTTTATCGTATTTTATTTTTTTGTTTACATAAGACACACGTTTCCATTACATTGTATAAACATAGTATTTTCACACATGCTATGACTAACTCTCACATCTCGTCCGTACATTTGTTCATACATTTACTGCGGTTTAAATGACTAACCCACCACTTTATGGCACTATATTTCATTCAACTCTAGTGCCGTAGTTATTACTTCGCATTTTGCTCTGGCTCCTTCTGTTTTTGCCGTAGGGTAAGCCGATATACATATATGTGACACTTTTTTCATGTGATTTAGGAAACAAGATTGAAGATTATGTTACAGAGAGTCGATCGGACAAGTTTATAATCTTGTATTAAGTTATATTTACCATCGCATGGCATTTGCCATATGTATATATAACCCTACCGCATCCAGATGCCATTAATTAGACTTTGAATGTCAGGAGAACACAATACATCTCCAGCACACACGCATGCATACACACATAGGGAGATAGTAGCCAGGTGGCATAGGACTAGTAGTTAGCGCCTGATAAGGCAGCTCCTGCGAATTCTTCAATATTGATTAATTTATATGCTATTGTGTTGATTGTATATTATTTACTGTAAAGCGCTTTAGAGTGACTTATTCTAGCTAGATAGGGGTTATATCAAATGTTGTACATTTATTTATGTATATATATTCTGTTTTGCTATTATATGAAAGTGTTGAAATGATTCCCTCTATATTTGGCGTTCTGTATTTACACCTGCATGAGTATTTATATTTCTTAATGATTAAAGGATACATAAATTAACACTTTCATACAATGCAGTGTCTTCTAGGCCACAAATAAATGAAGAACTTAACCAAGGTATATGTATTCCACATCTGTTCTCAAAAGTATTTTAATAAGCAACCAGAGAGTACGTGAGTGTGGGCAGTCCCAGAAAAGATGTATAAGATTCTCTGTTCGCCATACAAAAGTTACATAATTCTGTTTCAACTGGGTTCATTTTCATTGGACTAGTATTTGTATAAAGAATATGATGAAGTAATTTAAATTGGAAAGATTGAAAGGAAGTTGAAAAAATATTTCCAGATTTCCTGACTGAATTCCTCCCCCATATTTTTCTGCCATTTTACCTCTGTTGTAATCGGGACTTCTTGAACTATATTTACTAAGAGCATATAAAAATCTTTCATAATTTTGCTTTACTTTTCAGTAAATTAATCAGTTTGCTGTCTGTAGACCATAACTCTTAATGTCTTGTTTCCACTTTCGGGGAAGTGCCACAAGAACTCGGTAGAGGTATACAAAATGTGTCTTACCATCATATTTGTGTTTAAACTCGTTTTGTTTACTAACTCTCCTCTATCATTGACCAAGTCATAACAAAAAAAAACATCTTTTTTCAATTAATTTGTAATCTATAATATTTCTGTTTCTAATTAGGATTCTATCGTTTAACCACAACGGTTTTGTAAGTAGTTCAACCGGGTTACGGGGGAAGTACGCCACAGGGAAGCCCATTTTTGAATGACATTGCACCAAAAGGGATTGAAATTAACAGAAAACTTGTTTAATCCTGCATGTACCATGTATTTTTAGTTTGGCTATAATTAGGAGTTTCCAAGCAGAATGGTTATTTGGAAAAAAAAAAAAAAAATTAATCCAAATCATCTACAAAGCCTGACAGTATGATTTAACATGTGGTAATCGAAGGCCTCCATTTTCATACAAGTTAATTTATTACACTCCTTTTAACTTAGTCAGGTTTTCCAGACCACAGAAAGTCAAAGAGATTTTTTTGCAGATTCTGAGTAAAGTGATCAGAACAAAGAAATTCTTACCCCTCTGTACCCAAAATTTGGAAATATTCTGTACAAAATTTCCTGATCTTGTCTGATATAAATGTATCATTGTATATTTACAGGTGACATTCCAGTGTATAAACCCAAAGAAAAAAAGCAAGAAGAAGTATGAGAACTCGGGCACAGTGCACCTCACCAGCTTCAAGGTAAACTTTGACAGTTATATCAGTACACCTCACCAGCTTCAAGGTAAACTTTGACAGTTATCTCAGTGCACCTCACCAGCTTCAAGGTAAACTTTGACAGTTATCTCAGTGCACCTCACCAGCTTCAAGGTAAACTTTGACAGTTATCTCAGTGCACCTCACCTACTTCAAGGTAAACTTTGACAGTTATCTCAGTGCACCTCACCTACTTCAAGGTAAACTTTGACAGTTATCTCAGTGCACCTCACCTACTTCAAGGTAAACTTTGACAGTTATCTCAGTGCACCTCACCTACTTCAAGGTAAACTTTGACAGTTATCTCAGTGCACCTCACCTACTTCAAGGTAAACTTTGACAGTTATCTCAGTGCACCTCACCTACTTCAAGGTAAACTTTGACAGTTATCTCAGTGCACCTCACCTACTTCAAGGTAAACTTTGACAGTTATCTCAGTGCACCTCACCTACTTCAAGGTAAACTTTGACAGTTATCTCAGTGCACCTCACCTACTTCAAGGTAAACTTTGACAGTTATCTCAGTGCACCTCACCTACTTCAAGGTAAACTTTGACAGTTATCTCAGTGCACCTCACCTACTTCAAGGTAAACTTTGACAGTTATCTCAGTGCACCTCACCTACTTCAAGGTAAACTTTGACAGTTATCTCAGTGCACCTCACCTACTTCAAGGTAAACTTTGACAGTTATCTCAGTGCACCTCACCTACTTCAAGGTAAACTTTGACAGTTATCTCAGTGCACCTCACCTACTTCAAGGTAAACTTTGACAGTTATCTCAGTGCACCTCACCTACTTCAAGGTAAACTTTGACAGTTATCTCAGTGCACCTCACCTACTTCAAGGTAAACTTTGACAGTTATCTCAGTGCACCTCACCTACTTCAAGGTAAACTTTGACAGTTATCTCAGTGCACCTCACCTACTTCAAGGTAAACTTTGACAGTTATCTCAGTGCACCTCACCTACTTCAAGGTAAACTTTGACAGTTATCTCAGTGCACCTCACCTACTTCAAGGTAAACTTTGACAGTTATCTCAGTGCACCTCACCTACTTCAAGGTAAACTTTGACAGTTATCTCAGTGCACCTCACCTACTTCAAGGTAAACTTTGACAGTTATCTCAGTGCACCTCACCTACTTCAAGGTAAACTTTGACAGTTATCTCAGTGCACCTCACCTACTTCAAGGTAAACTTTGACAGTTATCTCAGTGCACCTCACCTACTTCAAGGTAAACTTTGACAGTTATCTCAGTGCACCTCACCTACTTCAAGGTAAACTTTGACAGTTATCTCAGTGCACCTCACCTACTTCAAGGTAAACTTTGACAGTTATCTCAGTGCACCTCACCTACTTCAAGGTAAACTTTGACAGTTATCTCAGTGCACCTCACCTACTTCAAGGTAAACTTTGACAGTTATCTCAGTGCACCTCACCTACTTCAAGGTAAACTTTGACAGTTATCTCAGTGTACCTCACCAGCTTCAAGGTAAACTTTGACAGTTATCTCAGTGTACCTCACCTACTTCAAGGTAAACTTTGACAGTTATCTCAGTGCACCTCACCTACTTCAAGGTAAACTTTGACAGTTATCTCAGTGCACCTCACCTACTTCAAGGTAAACTTTGACAGTTATCTCAGTGCACCTCACCTACTTCAAGGTAAACTTTGACAGTTATCTCAGTGCACCTCACCTACTTCAAGGTAAACTTTGACAGTTATCTCAGTGCACCTCACCTACTTCAAGGTAAACTTTGACAGTTATCTCAGTGCACCTCACCTACTTCAAGGTAAACTTTGACAGTTATCTCAGTGCACCTCACCTACTTCAAGGTAAACTTTGACAGTTATCTCAGTGCACCTCACCTACTTCAAGGTAAACTTTGACAGTTATCTCTGTGCACCTCACCTACTTCATAGTAAACTTTGACTGTTATCTCAGGGTACCTCACCAGCTTCACGGTAAACTTTGACAGTTATCTCAGTGCACCTCACCAGCTTCAAGGTAAACTTTGACAGTTATCTCAGTGCACCTCACCTACTTCAAGGTAAACTTTGACAGTTATCTCAGTGTACCTCACCTACTTCAAGGTAAACTTTGACAGTTATCTCAGTGTACCTCACCAGCTTCAAGGTAAACTTTGACAGTTATCTCAGTGCAACTCACCTACATCAAGGTAAACTTTGACAGTTATCTCAGTGTACCTCACCAGCTTCAAGGTAAACTTTGACAGTTATCTCAGTGCACCTCATCAGCTTCAAGGTAAACCTTGACAATTATCTCAGTGCACCTCATCAGCTTCAAGTTAAACTTTGACAATTATCTCAGGGCACCTCACCAGCTTCAAGTTAAACTTAGACAATTATCTCGGTGCACCTCACCAGCTTCAAGGTTATCTTTGTTATTGCTACAACAGGAAACACATCTATTTTCTATCAGATTATTTTTAGTCCAAATTAGCAGGCATTAACACTGTGTGAAGTATCATGCAACTTCAGGTAATGACACGTACTGTTTGTTCAGGTCATCACTCATGACACTGTTTGTTCAGGTCATCACTCATGACACTGTTTGTTCAGGTAGTGACACTGTTTGTTCAGGTCGTGACAGTAAATTTCAGATAAGCAGATTGTTTAAGATATTGTTTTCTACCACCTCTATATATGTAAATACACGTGTCCTGTACGAAACACTCGCGTTTGTATCAAACATGGTGCACTCAGTGACCTTTACTATTATGACATCACAGTTAGATGATGGCATTGTATTATGACATCACAATCAAAAACCTGTTCAAACGGTGTTGTATTAAATATAACAAACTTGCCGTCTGCAGATGACACCACCACAATAACATTAGAGTTATATTCCATTGCTATGTAAAAAAGGCAATAAAATATGTTTAAATCAAAGAGGTATTCCACAGGCTCTCCCTGGTGGTCTTTGAACTTGAGGTATACTATTAGTATACCATACTTTTTTTCTACTCTTTCCAGGTAAGGTCTTAGTTTGTGTATGCATTTTCTAGAAATTTTGCTATATGAAATATTGCATTGTCTATGTTGTGTTTTACAAAAATTCAGCTAAGGGGTGGGAGAAAAATAGAGTCAGTCAATATGTAGGTATTTAGGATAAAGACATTCTACCCTCAGGTGTGGAATTTAGGTCAGAATCAAGGCTTCATTACCAAGACCAATTCCGTACCTGTAAAAATGATTTTGACTTTCTTTACAGTTATCAAAGCCTATGACATTCCTGGACTACATCTATGGAGGAATGCAGATCAATTTTACAGTAAGTATTAGTGTCTGAAGCAGCCTGGTACTATGTAGTGATTGTCGTGGGTCCGGGAGGTACCACCACGATCGTAACTAGCCTTGACAATCTTAATATTTCAGAAGTTTGTCTGATAATATTTTTAACTAGAGCTAATTTTTCGTAGTTATGAATTGGTTCTTATGAATATGTCAGTAAAAAAAAAGAATAGTGAAATTATAGAAAACATAATATCATTGTACCATTGGATACAGGGGTAGGAATTAATTTTGAATAGCACTAGTCAATTAAGTTAGTATACTTATTTTCAATTTTTACTGGTCTGTGTGCAAATTCCACTAACCTTATAATATTCAACAAGATAAGCAGTATCATATTTTGGCTGGTCCATAGAGCTAGCAGTTTTTAGAACCTCTAGTCCAGCTGGCATTCACATTAGTCTCAGACAATCAGGCTACCCTTATTGTCTAGCCCTGAGACAGCAGAAACGGATAAGTGTGCTGTATTTTAAAAGCACATATATATGTTGCTTGTTAAAATTTCACAAAAAAATCTCCACTTTTCAGTTAGGAACATCATGATTTATTGAGTCTATACACCATTATTACCATATTGTTTTAACCAGGTGGGGATAGACTTCACAGCATCCAATGGAAACCCCCGCTCAAATACCTCACTACATTTCATGGACCCAAACCGACCCAATGAGTACGTCCAAGCCACCAGGGCCGTCGGCGCCATATGTCAGGACTACGACAGGTGAGTTGTTTACCTCCCTTACCAAGGTGAGTTGTTTACCTCCCTTACCAAGGTGAGTTGTTTACCTCCCTTACCATCCATAGTCTAAGGTCTTCACTTACTCTTTCAATCTTTATTGAACAAGCAAGGGACTTAAGTCATCTGTCTTTGTTACATGGTTATTATGTAACCTTTCATGCTGTATACAGGGTAATTTCCACTGCTGTGGAATCGTTTGGCAATTTTATCTGTGTTCATGGCACAGTGAACATGATATGCAACATTTTAGTTAATAAGAACGACGGGTATTCACGGTGAACATCTGTAGCCAATAATCACTACATTTTCAACAATGTAAAACTGCAAAATCAGCTATGCAAGATTTAGTACTTTTCCACATAAATAACATTCATAGGATTGAAGTTGGATACAGTAAGTTTCTACTGTCTATTAAGAAAAACTCAAATAATATGTTTTATTCAAGTGCAAGGTACCTAAAATACCATAACTGTTAATTAGATGCTTAACCCATTATATCAACTTTCACATAACATACCACATTTTGTTTATCTCCAAAAGTGGCTAAAGGATCCAAGAGAAACAAAAACCAGAAAAAGAGTATACTTAATTCAAATTTGAACATAACGAAAAATATTTCTTTAAAATTCAATCACCTTCAAAAGTGAAAATAAGATTCATGAGTTATCTCTCTATAGTGTAAAGTCCCAGTTGATTAAAAAACTTTGTGACGTTGGAAATTTCAATGTTTTTCAGTCTGAAATCTTGTCGCTATTATCGCAGGATATGTACTGGTACTGTAGAGATTAATTTTGTTTTTATGTTTTTTCCCCAATTATTATTGTGAAGATTTGCTCGTAGATGAACTTTTGTGTTTTATTACTGGTACTTGTCAGAAATATTCACGGATGTGCCAAATTTACTGTTTCACATTGTTGCAATCTTGTAAAAATGACACTATTTCATTATTTGTATATAATGTATCGATTAGCACTTTCATTTTAGATTTGGAAGTTGATCAAGTTTATTATAGCTACAGTTGCCTTCTTACCTTACAGTGACAAAATGTTCCCAGCCCTTGGATTTGGTGCTAAACTACCAACTGGAGAAGTCTCGTTTGAATTTGCATTGAATTTCAACCCATCAAATCCTTACTGTAATGGTAGGTGTTTACATTGGGACATTGCCAACCATGAAACTATATCCAGAAAAACAAAGATATGATAAATAATAATAATTCGAGGTTCTTATATACCGCTTTATCACAACCTAGTTTGTAGGAAGTCTCAAAGCAGTTCACAAATTATTATCCATAGTTTTAGGGCCTTTGCAACCAGACAATATCTTTCTCAACTCCCTGGGGAGCATACAGCTGGTGCTGCCATTTCGGTGCTCACAGCTAGCATTCTACAATTCCAGCACTGCCCAACCACATACTCATTTACAGCTAAGTAGACTGGAACAAGCGGAGTAAAGTATCTTGCTCAAAGATACAAGACATTGCTGTGCCGTGACTCGAACCCGCAACCCTTAGGTCACGAGCCCGGCGTCCTACAACCAGACTACCGTGCCTCCTTAATGCTGGTTAAAGGAGAATTTTATGGTTCATAAATTTTATAATCCACCAGAAAGGAGTTCAGTACTGGGGTGCCCAGCCATTGGGGTGCCCAGCCACTGGGGTGCCCAGCGATTGCTACACAATAGGATAGTGTCAGTATATCAGTAACTACTTTAGCATGTTAATAGGTTAAAAAGAGAAAGATTTCATTTACAAACTCAAATTGAAGTTCAATAACCTTCAATTTTAATGCACATATACTCTTCCTTATAATAGTTTTTTCCCCAGACATTTATTTACTAGCAAATTATAGAAAGACATACCAATACAAATCTTATTCTTGCATGTTAAGGAAATTTAAAGATAAAATGGGGAAAATAAATAATAAAAAAATATTCCCATCTGAAAAGAAAAGACAGTCAATTTAAAAATTAAGAAATTATCAACATATTTTTATATATGTGTAATGTTGTATTCCCAGGTATTGAAGGTGTAGGCCTACCAGTCCTGTTTACATGTGCTAGATCAATATTGTATATGTGTTTAATGCTGTATTCCCAGGTATTGAAGGTGTGATGCAGGCCTACCAGTCCTGTTTACATGTGCTAGATCCATATTGTATATGTGTTAAATGCTGTATTCCCAGGAATTGAAGGTGTGATAGCTGCCTACCAGAACTGCATACAGTCAGTAGAACTGTACGGCCCCACCAATGTGGCCCCTATTATCCAACATATGGCCCGGTTTGCGGCCCAGTCCCAGGCAGAGGAGTCCACAAAGGGAGCAGGAGTAAGTCCCTATTCATTATTCTACCAAGATATATCAAAGTCGTTAATAATGATAGTTGTTATTCCCAGCTAGCTGTTCAGCATTCAGAGTAGCTTCAAAGTAGCTTCAAAGTAGCTTACCTGTTGTAAGTTTAATGTGATAGGATGGAATACTGTGCTGGATGTCTTCGACATGGTATTTCAGTGAGGTAGCACTCTAGATGTCGGCATCGATCCGCACTATTACACCAGTACACCAACATATGTCTCCAGCACACACACATACATTACACACACATACATTACACACACATGTATTGCACACACATACATTACTCACACATACATTACACACACATACATTACACACACATACATTACACACACACATACATTACACACACACACACACATTACACACACACACACACATTACATACACACACATACATTACACACACACATATATTGCACACACATAATTACACACACATACATTACACACATACATTACACACACATACATTACACACACATACATTACACACACATACATTGCACACACATTACACACACATAATTACACACACACATACATTACACATACACACATTGCACACACATACATTACACACACATACATTGCACACACACATACATTACACACACATACATAGCACACACATACATTGCATACACATATATTACACACACATACATAGCACACACATACATTACATACACATACATTACACACACACACACACATTACACACACAAACATTGCACAAACATACATTACACACACATACACTACACACACACACATTATGCACACATACATTACACACACACACATAGTGCTTCGGGATACAAAGGCTACGTGACAGGTACAGAAACATATAATATATTAAGCTATAACTACATAATACCTCAATCCCCATTCCAGCAATATTATGTCCTGCTGCTGTTGACGGATGGCGCCCTGTCAGACATGCCACAGACCATACAAGCCATTGTGAATGCCACAGCTCTGCCCATGTCTATTATCATTGTGGGAGTCGGACAGGCTGACTTCAGTAATATGGAGATGCTAGATGGGGACGGTGGCACGCTCCGAGCTCCCAACGGTCAGGAGTCCAGACGGGACATCGTCCAATTTGTACCCTTCCGCCAATTTAAGAATGTAAGTATGCTTGTGATGACCTACCATCAAGTACTCTGTACTCTTGCATTCTCTCTAGCAGCATGGCCTGCGGTGGTATATTATACAAACTATTTACTCCATTTTATGGGTACCGCTACACTATATATGTATCAGTGATAGTGTTGCTCTACTGCCATTTAAACTATATCTATCAAAGCAATGTACTTTATCCTGGATATATTTTAAATCATTTTTCATATGTTGGCATGGGTTCTATTTATGCTTCAAGCAACTACGTTCAAGAATCATCATTTGATGGCGAACAGAATCTACTATTTCATCAAGTATCAATTTTGTTACCATTGTCAAGAAAAATTGCTTATTACAGAAATGTTTTCTGAAAGCATAATGCCAAGTCTAGTACCTGGTAGGTTCCACTGGCAAGGAACTAGGATATAGCTCCATATAATCTCAGTGCTTGTAGCCATGTAATACTATATACCAGGAAACATTCGCTCAGTCAAATACTTCTCCTACTTGTACCAGTTTATGACCAACTTCTGTTGTGGCATGAAGGGAAAGGGAACAAAGTTAATATTGAAAGGAAAAGACTGCAGTGTTGAAGATGGATTGAGTTAATTCTATAAAATTAATACTCAACCTTCAGTGATAAAATCTGTATTCGACCAGTGTAAATTTCACCCTATACAGGAAATAACTATAGAGGGTAAACCATTTACATGTATTGTAATTACCTTAGAGGGTAAACCATGTACATGTATTGTAATTACAATAGAGGGTAAACCATGTACATGTATTGTAAATACCATAGAGGGTTAACCATGTACATGTATTGTTATTACCATAGAGGGTGAACCATGTTCATGTATTGTAATTACCATAGAGGGTAAACCATGTACATGTGTTGTAATTACCATAGAAGGTAAACCATGTACATGTATTGTAACTACCATAGAGGGTAAACCATGTACATGTATTGTAATTACCATAGAGGGTAAACCATGTACATGTGTTGTAATTACCATAGAAGGTAAACCATGTACATGTATTGTAACTACCATAGAGGGTAAACCATGTACATGTATTGTAATTACCATAGAGGGTAAACCATGTACATGTGTTGTAATTACCATAGAAGGTAAACCATGTACATGTATTGTAACTACCATAGAGGGTAAACCATGTACATGTATTGTAATTACCATAGAGGGTAAACCATGTACATGTGTTGTAATTACCATAGAAGGTAAACCATGTACATGTATTGTAATGACCATTGAGGGTTAACCATGTACATGCACTGCCCAACCACATACTCATTTACAGCTAACATGTATTGTAATTACAATAGAGGGTAAACCATGTACATGTATTGTAATTACCATAGAGGGTAAACCATGTACATGTATTGTTATAACCATAGAGGGTGAACCATGAACATGTATTGTAATTACAATAGAGGGTAAACCATGTACATGTATTGTAACTACCATAGAGGATTAACCATGTACAGGTATTGTTATTACCATAGAGGGTGAACCATGTTCATGTGTTGTAATTACCATAGAGGGTAAACCATGTACATGTATTGTAACTACCATAGAGGGTTAACCATGTACAGGTATTGTTATTACCATAGAGGGTGAACCATGTTCATGTGTTGTAATTACCATAGAGGGTAAACCATGTACATGTATTGTTATAACCATAGAGGGTGAACCATGAACATGTATTGTAATTACAATAGAGGGTAAACCATGTACATGTATTGTAACTACCATAGAGGATTAACCATGTACAGGTATTGTTATTACCATAGAGGGTGAACCATGTACATGTATTGTAATAACCATAGATGGTAAACCATGTAAATGTATTGTAATTACCAAAGATGGTAAACTGCGTACATGTATCGTAATTACCTTAGAGGGTAAACCATATACATGGATTGTAATTACCAAAGATGGTAAACTGCGTACATGTATCGTAATTACCTTAGAGGGTAAACTGTGTACATGTGTTGTAATTACCATAGAGGGTAAACTGTGTACATGTGTTGTAATTACCATAAAAGGTAAACCATATACATGTATTGTTATTACCATAGATGGTAAACCATTTACATGTATTGTAATTACCTTAGAGGGTAGACCATGTACATGTATTGTAATACCCATAGATGGTAAACCATGTAAATGTATTGTAATTACCAAAGATGGTAAACTGCGTACATGTATCGTAATTACCTTAGAGGGTAAAACATGTACATGTATTGTAATTATCATAGAGGGTAAACCATGTACATTTATTGTAATTACCATAGAGGGGAAACCGTGTACATGTATTGTAGTTACCTTAGAGGGTAAACTGTGTACATGTATTGTTAACTACCATAGAGGGTAAACTGTATACATGTATTGTAATGACCATAGAGGGTAAACCATTTACATGTATTGTAATTACCTTAGAGGGTAAACCATATACATGGATTGTAATTACCAAAGATGGTAAACTGCGTACATGTATCGTAATTACCTTAGAGGGTAAACCATGTACGTGTATTGTAACTACCATAGAGGGTTAACCATGTACATGTATTGTAATCACCATAGAGGGTAAACCATGTTCATGTATTGTAATAACCAGAGAGGGTAAACCATGTACATGTAGTGTAACTACCATAGAGGTTAAACCGTGTACTTGTATTGTAATTACCTTAGAGGGTAAACCATGTACATGCATTGTAATTACCATAGAGGGTGAACCATGTACATGTATTGTAATGACCATAGAGGGTAAACCATTTACATGTATTGTAATTACCTTAGAGGGTAAACCATGGACATGTATTGTAATTACCAGAGAGGGTAAACTGTGTACATGTGTTGTAATTACCATTTGAAGTAAACCATGTGCATGTGTTGTAATAACCAGAGGGTAAACCATGTACATGTAGTGTAACTACCATAGAGGTTAAACCGTGTACTTGTATTGTAATTACCTTAGAGGGTAAACCATGAACATGTATTGTAATTACAATAGAGGGTAAATCAGGTACATGTATTGTAATTACCACATATATTGTAATTACCATAGAGGTTAAACCATGTACATGTATTGTGATTACCAAAGATGGTAAACCGTGTACTTGTATTGTAATTACAATAGAGTGTAAACCATGTACATGTATTGTTATTACCATAGATGGTAAACCATTTACATGTATTGTAATTACCTTAGAGGGTGAACCATGTACATGTATTGTAATGACCATAGAGGGTAAACCATTTACATGTATTGTAATTACAATAGAGTGTAAACCATGTACATGTATTGGAATTACCATAGAGGGTAAACTGTATACATGTATTGTAATGACCATAGAGGGTAAACCATTTACATGTATTGTAATTACAATAGAGGGTAAACCATGTACGTGTATTGTAATTACCATAGAGGTTAAACCATGTACATGTATTGTGATTACCAAAGATGGTAAACCGCGTACATGTACTTATCATCAGTGTCACATGTACATATATTGTAATTACCATGGAGGGTAAACCATGTACATGTAGTGTAACTACCATAGAGGTTAAACCGTGTACTTGTATTGTAATTACCTTAGAGGGTAGACCATGTACATGTATTGTAATGACCATAGAGGGTAAACCATATACATGGATTGTAATTACCAAAGATGGTAAACTGCGTACATGTATCGTAATTACCTTAGAGGGTAAACAATGTACATGTATTGTAATTACATAGAGGGTAAACCATGTACATTTATTGTAATTACCATAGAGGGGAAACCATGTACATGTATTGTAATCACCATAGAGGGTAAACCATGTTCATGTATTGTAATAACCATAGATGGTAAACCATGTAAATGTATTGTAATTACCATAGAGAGTAAACCATGTACATGTATTGGAACTACCATAGTAGGTAAACTGTATACATGTATTGTAATGACCATAGAGGGTAAACCATTTACATGTAGTGGAATTACCTTAGAGGGTATACCATGTACATGTATTGTAATTATCATAGAGGGTAAACCATGTACTTGGATTGTAATTACAATAGAGGGTAAATCAGGTACATGTATTGTAATTACCATCGAGGGTAAACCATGTACATGTATTTTAATTACAATAGGGGGTAAACCATGTACATGTATTGTGATTACCAAAGATGGTAAACCGCGTACATGTACTTATCATCAGTGTCACATGTACATATATTGTAATTACCATGGAGGGTAAACCATGTACATGTAGTGTAACTACCATAGAGGATTAACCATGTACAGGTTTTGTTATTACCATAGAGGGTGGAGCATGTTCATGTATTGTAACTACAATAGAGGGTAAACCATGTACTTGGATTGTAATTACAATAGAGGGTAAACCTTGTACATGTATTGTTATTACCATATAGGGTGAACCATGTTCATGTATTGAATAACCATAGAGGGTAAACCATGTATATGTGTTGTAATTACCATTGGAAGTAAACCATGTGCATGGGTTGTAATAACCAGAGGGTAAACCATGTATGTATTGTAACTACCATAGAGGGTAAACTGTATACATGTATTGTAATGACCATAGAGGGTAAACCATATACATGTATTGTAATTACCAAAGATGGTAAACCGTGTACATGTATTGTAATTACCTTAGAGGGTAAACTGTGTACATGTATTGTAATTACCATAGAGGGTAAACCGTGTACATGTAGTGTAATTACCATAGAGAGTAAACCATGTACATGTATTGTTATAACCATAGAGGGTAAACCATGTACATGTATTGTAATTACCATAGAGAGTAAACCATGTACATGTATTGTGATTACCAAAGATGGTAAACCGCGTACATGTACTTATCATCAGTGTCATGATAAATTTGCCCATGGTGGGGAAGGTGAAAAAGACAAAATTGAAACTGCAGTAAAATTTCCTGAAATACAGTATAAGCAGTTGCATAAGCCGTTGCTTAGCCTTAACGATTATGTAACCTCAGAAGATGCTTCATCGGTGTAATCTAAGCAATTGTTTTAACATTGTGTTCCAAGCGTTTGCTTTAGCTACACAATTTGCCTGTTTCGCTTTTGTAATTTTTAGGCTGGACCTACTTCAGTAGGTCTGCGCCTATTGTTAACAACTCATTCACCCCTGATTTTCATAATGTATTATTCCAACCTTTGAACTGGAAGAGTTCAAATGTGTCTTTAGGGGTGAGCTTCCTGTACATAAGGCACCGTAAATCTTCCTAAACAATATGTTGATGGGTCTGTGTTACAGAATACCATGTCATTCTTTTGCATTAAACCTAAGATCAAAGACAACTAAATTAATATTGTACTGGTTTACACATCCGACTATAATATGTCACAAGGTACATCCCTGGTTTCCGTATTCAGGAGAGCAGCAAATTTTCACATTTCTACACAAAAACCTCTTTTCTTGAATTAAAATATCCTGCAAAAAATGTATTGGAACAAAAATAAGCGTTCTTTTCCTTTGCAAATTAAAATCCTCACACTTACTACACAGGTAGGTATTTGGAAGATATAACATCATCTCTTAACTTTTGATAGTGAAATGAAGTTTATGATAAATTTTGTGACTTAAAGTACAAATTAAGAAATCTTAAAATACAGTTGTACATTTATTCAAATATATACTCTAGGGGCATTTAATTAATGGTAGTTAATACATTTGTATAATTAAAATTCAGTGAATTTCCTTAACATTCCCTATTCCCAATCCTATGAAGTGCCATGCTCACTTGCCAAATTAATACAACACAGCAATCTGTATGAATGTATACAATTAACAGTTCGGTACATCATAGAACCTCTCAGTAAGTGCAGTTTGATGAAACGATTACGGTAGAGCTGATTTTGTCTAAAACTAGATAGCAAATTGTGCTTTAATCTTCTCAAAGAATACTCAAGAATCATTTTATACTGCTTTTTGAAAAACTAATGAAGGATCTGTTCTTAATGCAGTCCTTGTATTTAATTTCCTATATACAAGTAAACAGTATTCTACATTCCTTATGTATCATATGCTTTCAATGCAATGCAGTGTAATAATACCATCACATATATTTTAATCAATATTGTAACACAGTAGCACTATCGTAAATATTCACCTATAGTGCACACAGTTTTAGGGGGAAATGATACTATCAGGAAAGGGGTGTGTGCTATACACAAGAACAATCCAAAGTCAGTCCTGGATCGGGACCATTTACCGTAAGCGAGATTTTCGTATATATTTTGAAATACACTTGCAGCAACAAACTGATCAAATTTTGCATACTTATTCCTGATTGCATAGTCTATTTTACCACTACAAAAGTTGTCATTTACAGTCATATAACATGATCAATTCAGATAAATATCTAAGTAGGGAAGACCAAACTTTCAGGTCTCTTCGTCGTTATGGTGTGAATATTGATACATACATCCTTCATGTGCTGTCATAGGTTAGGATACAATGACATCACAAATTCATACCAAAAGCAAAGCTTGTGGTAATAACGTTCAATTAGTCTATCAAAATATTCACAAAATGTATAATTAACATATTTTGGTGGATCATATAATTCAAATTTCAAAGTTTTTTTCCTTTCATATAACTTCCTATTCCGTCTTTTCGTATTGCAGAGTTTTCTTCTCTTGTGAGCAGGTATTGATTGTTACGTCATTGGTTTGCGAGAGTAATGTCATCATTTTTTGAGAAAATGACTTAATTTTCTCACACAAACCAATGACGTAACATTCAATTCCTGCTCACAAGAGAAGATAACTGCAATACGCAAAGACGGAATATGCGCTTACAAACACATTACCAGAAATATTTTGGAATATCTATATATTGCACATATGTCTGATTTATAATTAATTACAATGTTTGGGTCTTGAACGTACAGCCACAATTTAAATGCTAGATTAATGTTTCTGTTTGTGAAACTGATTCAGTTTTGAACAACTTAACCATTTAATATGTAATTGAAATAGTATTATTGAAATTTCAATTTCCAATTTATCTTAACTGATTCAGTGTTGTTGAATTTTTGTTTTTAAATTGATCAGATTACAAATACAGTTTTGCAATTAGATTTCTGAAGGAAATTTGTATTGTACTTAAAGTTAATTGAACTAATTTTAGCCACAGTGAATTATTCAACCAAATAAAAACAGTGTCAGTACATTAAAATGGAGAGTAATCTCCCCTGTCCTATATACGGTACTGGGCCAGTCTTACAAGCTAATCCATATGCATATGTAATAGGAGTGGGGAAAATGCACGGCCAGACCGGGGTTCGAACCCAGGATCTTTGAATTTTAGACAGACTCTCTATACCAATTGAGGTACCTGGTTGCTGATGATCGACCCAGTCCAGTTCCGCTACATTCCTCCCTCCTTTTTCTAAATCTTCGCCCTTGAAGACAACATTATTTATATCCCAAGTTCAGGTATCTTCTTGTCAAACACTCACCTTGAACTTGAAACAAGGGTTTGTCACAGGCACCAAATATAACAGAAGCGGCAAAATTGCACAGCCAGACTAGTGTTCAACCCAGGACCATTCCAACTCTAGACAGACGCTCTACCTGGTCGCCTACGATCGACCCAGTCCTGTTTCGCTACACATACAACATATTATACCAAGTTTTCAACCATACATTTAAGTTTTGAGTCCGGTGTAGAGGAGTTCTATCAAACTTTTGTATTGGAAACTAACTTTAGCTTTTAACTCTAATTTTAATCATGCAAGCTAAACAGTGTGTCAAGCTGTTAGCTATAGGAGGCTCAGCCAATCATACTACAACAAATGTTGTATCTGTCAGAGCCTCAGCCAATCAAATCAAGTAGTGTATCATCAAACATCGAATAGGTTTATAACATTTTCATGACATGTGCATTCATTTATTGATTCCAAAAGATTGACCTGGTCAAGAAAAGTAACATTTGAAATAGGAATGAAATCGATTTTTCTCTGAAATATCAGACAATTCAATATAAAATGAAGACCCTTATGTTTATAGTGGCTAGTGATGTAAGCATGCTTCTTATCATTGAATATTCATAATCACTTATTTTCAAGCATCATCAGCTGTTGTTTTGATGGAAAACATTTTGAAAAATTAAAAATAACATTAATTTTAAGCCATTTTATGAATATGTTTAGATAAGATATACCCAAGACATTTTTAGACATTGTATAAACATATTTAGATTAGGCATACCAAAGATATTTCAACACACAATCTCAACTCCGTGTGACTTTACACTAGGGCCTGGTGGATTAAATCCTGATCAGTTTAATGATTAATGTAAATCTTCAATCTGGTATATTCACCAAAAAAAATCACAACTACAAATTTGTGTTGAGAGATTCAAAATGATTTTTCAAAGAAAATAAAGAAAAAAAATGTTAAATTCTAGATGTTAAATTCAAGACATTTCTCAGAAATCAGACTTCTAAAAAAACCGTACTAACAGTAGTTTAAAGATAACCAGGAAATCAGGCTTACATTAGCTGGGTGTAGAAATATTGATCTCGTAAAATGTAAGTAATTCGTAGACTACAACACTGAGTGTATTTCAACAGGAGGCAAGCATGGGGATACAGTCTGAAGAAAGTTATGCTCGTGACCAGGTACGTACAGAGGTCAAGGTCACTGCATGGCTACATCAATAAAGTGGCATGCAGTTTTGATATGCCCTGTAGCATGTAAAGAGGTAATAATGTCAAGCTGTTTAGCTTAATTTAAGAATGCTTTTTTGACTGCGAAAAACCTTGAAAAAGCAAAACAGGAAACTTGCTAAAATGCGATCAAGAACGGTGCTTTTTGGCTTTTTCAGCCTCAACACCACTGATTTTCACTGCAACCAGGCACCACTTTAGAAAGAAAATGATGCTATTTTGCTTTGTCACCAGTACAAATCTAAGAAGTGAAAATGGCCCTTATCAACCACCAAAAACCATTAATGAATTGATGATGGTTTGAACCTTTAGAAATGTGACTTAACGGTGACTAAACTGCTGGAAGTCTGATACCAAACACTGTGCATGCATCTGTCACAACTGAATATATGAATTGGATTGCAAAGTCTCTTTTAAGCATGCAAAATGTACTGTACTTTCTGGGAAACACTACCTGATATCAATACAACTGTAACACAGACCTGTCAACTATCTCCCTACCCAGGACTTACCCGACCCCTTCAGACCTTTCCTTGTTTCATACTTTGTGGTGCCTGTGTCTGAACGCAATTTTTCGTCTGTGATATGAACACGAAAATTCATATGAAAATGGAAATTTAAATCAAGATGTTACACTTTCATTTCTCAAAATATTTGTTGTTGTTGAATTTGTATGATTTTACGTTGGACAAGCTGTTTCGAATTAAAAACAGCAAAGGGGATGTTTTACATAACGTATACCAGGAAATTGTCACCTCAGTATAAATTGTCTTATTTTTTGCCTTCCACAATGACAGCAAATTTATCAGGACTATGGATATTAGCACACAGAATTCTCTATATACATGTAGTAATTACATGGGAAGGACATATTTAACACTGGCCGAATATATGGATATCACTGGTGAAAGGCGAATATTTGATTGGTCGAGAGAGTTTTTTGGTATACAGTATGTATGTATGAAGGGTGTAGGTAAACATTGTCTTTTACGTCTATTCCACAGGCTTCTGCCCAGGAGTTGGCGCGTCAGGTACTGGCGGAGGTACCTCAGCAGGTGGTACAGTACTTCACCATGCGTGGACTAACACCCAACAAGAAGCCAGCCTAGGTGTCAAAGGGAGCACTCTAATACCTTATAGGATCAAATGTTTCAAGGATGTAAGCGGACTTCTTAATAGTTAGAGATATGTTTCTAGATATAAAGAATAAGTGTGTAATTTACAGCTTATGGATGTTACAATTCTACACATGATATTTTTTGCCAGCTAGTTTTTGTGCAAAAAAACAAACAGCAATATTTTTGATGATTATTTCAATATTTAATTGCCATTCAGGCAATGTACATTTCATTTGGAAGTTGATACTGTAGTCTGCTATGTAAACAAATTATATACTAGATCTATTTATCCTATCTTTGCTGTCAACAGTAGCTTCATTATCATAACAGATGGTGGATGGAGTGATACTAATTTGCATTAAACTAGAAACAATCACAAAGAGAAATAATCAGCAAATTGTGTTATGTGATGCACTATTAACTCATTCACCCCTGAAGACATATTTGATATCTTCCAGTTCAAAGGTTGGAATAGTCCATTATGAAAGTTCAGGGGTGAATGTGTTACGATGTATATTGTTAACTGTAGCCTGTTTTGTTGTATTATTCTGTTACTGATTTCTATATAGTATTACAGCTGACCCCTTAGTACAGCTGAGTAAGATATACAGCCAGCTACCTTTATTTAGTTATTTCCCTTTAGACAAATTTATTACATACATGTCTCATTTAGCATATAATGTCTTTTGACAGATATTCAGCACATATATGTATATATATATATATGTAGGTATTTCTTGGTAGTGTACTTTTTTGTAATTATTTTTCTACAAGAAGTGTGATTAGTGTCCTAAGGTATTTAAGATTTTCATGGGCGCTATATTTGTTCACAGCTTGCCAGTTCGCCTTATCAATAAGGATCAAATAATATAATTTATTGTTAGGTGCTACTGTTTTGGTAATTGTCACTCTTTTATTAAGACAGCATCTGTTAGACTTATGTGCCTTTTTTCCACTTAAAGAACACCCCGTGCTGTCAATATGTTAACTGATTCTGGTAAAAACTTTAAAAAATATATATTACTAGAGCTCTTGTAACTCTTCAAAGTGTCTGCTCAAAAAAATCAATGTTATTTCTGTTTAGGCATTACAACTTGTAAAGAATAGTCATTTCAGTTTCACCAATATAATGAAACCCATATTGAGCTTGAAAATTATTTCTGCCATAATTGAGCACTGCAACTCAAATTTGAGTGACATAATCTCCTCCATGAGCGTTTGTCCATTTCATATTATTATATAGTTCAAACGTTATAAAACATACTTGTCAATATGCTTTTACATTGATACCTTGAAATAACACGCCAACCCACCTTTGTTATTTGCCACCTCCCTTATTATAGACATATTGCAATTTCCCTTTTCATATTTTTCTTGACTTGACTCTTCTTTTATTCATCTCCCCCATGATATATCTGAAGACAACTTGATAGCCACAAAATCTCTGTACAAAATTGTGGTGATATAACAAGGATTTACCAAAGAAGAGTTAAATATGTATAATGAGACCTCCCAAGGGAAAGCTCAAAGTGTGATCCATTAACAGATCAACTCATTCACCCCTGAAGACACATTTGAACTCTTCCAATTCAAAGGCTGGAATAGTTCATTATGAAATTTCAGTGGAGTGGTCTTGAGCAGTTTGGTTGTATTACAAAATAATTACCTGTACAATGGTTGATAGCAGAGACATACTTACAACATAAACAGGAATCTGTCCAAGTGGCTGGATTTTAACTCATTCACCCCTGAAATTTCATAATGAACTATTCCAACTTATGAATTGGAAGAGTTTAAATATGTCTTCAAGGGTGAATGAGTGAATTTATGAATAAAAACTTGTTGTGGTGTTTTATATCTATAATGATATTATTTTAAATTTTATGACTGTCTTAAGTAAAGGAAATGCATAAATGTCATATTTACTATTCAGACAACAAAAATATTTCAGTTGAAGAAAAGGTAACAGACAAGAATGAGAGTTCTCCTGACAAATTTTAAACTAACATGTGTTTATAACATCATACAATCTATTTTGGCCCTTTGAATTGCATCAAAAGACCGAAGACGACTCTTTTTTCTTCAAAATGATAATTGTGAAATAAAAGAACAATTGTGTGCTATAAAATTGTTTATAAACTTTCTACGTCTACAAATGACTGTGTAAATTGCTGTTGTTTTGTGAAGAATTTGTATTGTTCAATGGCAATAAAACATTTCAAAATTTATAATTACATGGACAAGCACATGCTTGGAAAAAATTGTTCTTCTGATTTACAAAGCAACCTGCTCTTCTTTTGACGTCACTGAATTTTTACTTTTGTTTGCTTCTGCAAAGCTAGTACATTTATGTATTTGTTTTTCAAAATGTCTTTCATAGAATTCATCTTATAGTACACTAGGTTGAAATTGGAAGGTTATGAGTTCATGGGAAATTTGTTTTCCTGTCCCAGGCAGTGATGTATAGAATACATGTATGTCTATTGCCTTGAAATATACAGTATGACATAAAATTAATTTGGCGTTGAGAAAACACATAATAGGGATATTTAACATCTGTTTTCCCTTATATCGTCTTCCGGACAATATACAGTTGTTAATTGGGTTTTAGGGCAATACCTTTATTATTGGAGCGGAGACTTCTTCCTACAAACTAATCAATAACTGTTTTATAACACTCTAAAATTGCTTCTTTGTTTCAAAAACTTCGTTTACATTCACAGCAAATTTTGTTTAAAAATAACTGCCATTTGTACATGTGCTACGGTTGCTTTTCGTGTGGGTTACAGAAATAAAATGATGGTGTTATGTTTGACAACTCAACCAATCAGATGTATAAACAAACTCGCCAATATAACAGTGCTTGAACTCTTAGCGACCATTGCCAGTCAGCAGGTCACAGTTTTGGACTGGCCAACTTTCTCCTTTTGTAAGAAAGTAAAAATAGTCAAAATGTTGTAATGTTTTAACACAAGAGTTAATAGGGAGTATGTTTTAAAGGTTAAGCCAATATAATTATTAGATAAATATAATCAAGTAAATGTTTAAGGTTGAATAAATACGCATTTTGTTACTTTTACTATGTAGCATCATATACGCATAATCCTTACCACACACTACCGTCCACAAAGGGTATACATCTGTCATTGTGTTAGAACTGTTGAATGTTAAAACAGCTTCACGTTCGCCGTCCTCTATTGGTAAAATGTTCTGTACGTGTATTACTGGAAATTGTTACCACAGCTTCTCGCTTGTTGTTCACATAAGTTTTTAAGTTATAGGTTAATACTGGTAATTTTAACCAATGCTTCGCGCCAGACGTCCTTTGTAGGAGATATCCTGTACGTGTATTAGTGTTAATTGTTACCAAAGCTTCACGTTTGCTGTCCTCCTTTGAGATATTCTGTAAGCGTATTAATGATAATTTTTACCACTCTTCCTAGCTTGTCGTCCAGTAACATCTATTTAATGACATATATATTGTATTAACTGTATTTATCTTACTCTTGTATGTAAAACAGGAGTATCCTTTACACAATACGGCATACAGGGCTATGTACGTGGTAGTTTTATTTTGGGGGATTTCGTGGTAAAGTAGATCTATAACTGAAACTTTTATCGTTTATCTCCACGTGTCTTACCTCAATTATATCAGATACCATGGTACCATGACTTTCATATGATCTACATATCAAGGTTCATTGAGTCACGAGATATTATTGTTTAGTCATTGTACATTTTCCCAATTGGTTTGTTAAATATATTTGAACGACGCAATTATATCAGACTAAATTGAGATTCGTTATTGTTTCGAAATTGTTTGACAAATGTCTAATGATATGATTATCATTTTTCGAAATATTTCACTTGTCCTATCTACTATATTATATACTTCCGCTGTTATATATATCTATTGAGCTATTATTTATTGTCATGGAACAATGTCACTGGCTGATACTGTTTGCCCGACAGTAGTACAAGATTGTATCTCTCTGAAATAAAATGATATTGCTGTAATAGTTTGAAGTAGTTTTTGTGCTATATGTCTCACATCAAGGTGACCGAATACCGTTATATGTAAGTTTGACTAAATTTTGCTCGGATTATGTCTGGGCAAAGGAAATTTAATGTTGTATAAATGCAAGGCCAAAAAGAACATAAAGGGGATTTATCTTTGAAAGACTCCATTTTAAATACAGTTATTGCGAATTTGACCAATTTGGCAGGAGCATGCCACGGTCAGGATAATAATTCAATGATGTACACGTGAGGCGTTGTTTCAGGCTATTTTTTTAGGCTATTTTTTTAAAAATAAATTGACATGAAAGAGAGGCGAGTCCGACAGGGAACAGACAAGTTTCACAATATAAAAACAATGTTTCACTATGGAGAAGACAAATAAAACAATGAACAATAAACTTATTAGGTATTAAAACAATAGGTCACACAGGCATTAAAATATAAGGTCACATAGGTATCGGATTAAACTTATGAAAGCACATTCGCAAAACAAGAGGCCCATAGGGCCTGTATCGCTCACCTGGATATCTAAGCAATCATGGCAAAATATTCTCCAAATGAGATCCAAGGGAATATGCCAGACCCCAAGGCCAATCCTTGTAGCATATATATCTGTATTCGATTTTTCATGCCCAGCAAATTTATGTATGGTTATGGGGTGGGGATCTCAACTGTTTCCAAGCTGTGACTCAGAAACTAGGTCCCTACGGTTGTGGCCAGACCCTAGGATCAAATCTAATATCGTAACTGCACTTGTCTCTTTTTGCCCAGCATTTGTATATATAGTTTTGGGTGGGGATCTCAACCGTTTCAAAGTTATGACCCAGGGGTTAAGTCTGCAAGGTTGGGGCAAACCCTGGGGTCAATTCTAATATCATGACTGCATTCGTCTCTTTATGCCCAACAATTGTATATATAGTTTTGGGGTGGGGATCTTAACCATTTCGAAGTTATGACCCAGGGGTTAAGTCTCCAAGTGTGGGGCAGTTCCCAAGGCCATCCTGGAAGCATATGTGCATTCATCTCTTTATAGGGTGGGGATCTCAACTGTTTCCAAGCTGTGTCTTAGAAACTAGGTCCCTAGGGGTTCGGTCAGACCCCAGGGTCTATTCTAACATCGTGACTGCATTCGTCTCTTTATGCCCAGCTTTTGTATATATAGGTTTGGGGTGGGGATCTCAACAATTTTAAAGTTATGGCCCAAGGACTATGTTTCCAAGGGTGGGGCCAGACCCTAGGGCCATCCTGGAAGCAAATGTGCATTCTTCTCTTTATACTCAGCAATTGTATATGTGGTTATATGGTGGGGATCTCAACCATTTCCAAGCAATAAACTTTTTTTGGTCCCACCCCTTAGCCCGGGGGGTCAGCCCCACCATTTGTACAATTTTGAATCCCTGCCTCCCATGAATGCTTTTGATTAAATATGATTGATATCCAGTGCATAGTTCTACAGAAGAAGTCGTTTGTAGAAATATAGCCAAATTACCCCTTTTTGGCCGCGCCCCTCAGCCCCCTGGGGGGTCAGCCCAACCATTTGTACAATTTTGAATCTCCACCACCTAGGGATGCTTCCAGTCAAATATGGTTGATATCCATCTCTTAGTTCCAGAGAAGAAGTCGCTTAAAGCAATATAGCCAAATTGCCCCCCTTTTGCCCCGCCCCTCAGCACCCTGGGGGGTCAGCCCTACAATCTGTACAATTTTGAATCCCCACCACCTAGGGATGCTTCCAGTCAAATTTAGTTAAATTCCAATCAGTGGTTAAGAAGAAGAAGTCGTTTAAAGAAATTGTTGAGGACGGACGACGGACGACGGACGGACGACGGACGACGGACGACGGACGACGGACGCCACGGGATGGCATAAGCTCACCTTGGTCCTTCGGACCCGGTGAGCTAAAAATGGATTTGCGAATGTGCTTTCAATGACATTTGCTTGAATTTCAATTCACGAAAGGAACAGCAATAGCCACATGTTCTTTAAACAGGCTTTGGTATCTGAAAAAATATTTGCCATTTACATATGGCAGGTCAGGCTGGTAATGGCACTTGTCCGGCAGTGTACAAGAAAGGACAGCTAATGAACGGGATACGTCTGGCATCGCACAAGACACAGATACTGAATCAGCACACATGTACGTTACAGCGACTAAGTTCAAAGTGTCCTTAACCTCACTCTCAGTATAACGTCAATGTACCTCTTGTCCCATTACACCTGCACGCATAAACCTCGCGAGCTTTTGGCTTTTTATCCAGATATACTAAGTAGTAGAGGATGTTCAACCGAAACAGTTGACGCAGATAATCATCTCATGACAAGTTGCTTTAGGAATTATCTATGTACAGCTGTATGGTGCAGTAATTCATAATTGACACAAATTTAAAGGTGCTTGTGTATTTTACATTCATCATTCACCTTCCACCCGGCCAATGGTAACTACACTTTGTATGAAAAATGCTCCGCAAAATCAATTTTAAGCAAACGTTGTACAAATGTTTCTGACATTTTTTTACGAAGTGATTATTTGATCAATAAGAATCTCAGTTGCCCTGATCACCATTGTATCAACTTTGATGAAACATTTCAATATCCTGAGTTGATTTTAAACTGCATGGGACAGGAATCCTTAAGTCCTAACTAACAAAGTATCAATATCTATTATCTTATAAAAAAGTAATTAGTTTTAAAGCGCGATACAAACACGATAGGCCTCTTTTTCCGCATACGTAGAAATCAAAAAGGTTGAACATCACGAACTTCTATAAATACCTAAATCTTACGCTTCAAATCAAATTGAAAACCAGAGACATCCGTGTCAAGTTGTGGTCCAAGTAGGTGTAACAACAGTCCTTAAATAAAACACGTAAATGCCTCAGTAGTGTCTCCACTAGATAGAATGCTGCGAAACTCCCGGAGACATTGCATGCCAATGTGAGTTGATGATGCATCTCCCTGTATCTGCTTCAGGAGTTGAGTAGACGACGTGTACGTGGACATCTCGCAGCGAAGTTGCTGGCGTTAGAGATATGATAGATATCGAGTTGAGACTAGGGCCCGTATTCATGAAACTTCTCGTGCTCAATCACTGATTCTGTGCTCAACCCAGCTTTCTCATTACTCACTTTAATCATGTCAAACGGTCAAGTAGTCCAATGTAAACATTGAAAACGGTATTTGGCTTCAGGTGTCTTCAACTTTTTTTCCAGATCATTGACAAAATAAAAAATAAATAAAAAATTATAACTGGAACAAGAAATTAGGCTTGAGCACAAAGTCTATGCTTGAGCATGAGAATGGTGTCATGAATAAGGGGCCTATGTCTTCTTGTATCAGAATTATGGCAGACAGCGTTTGCAGTTGCCAAATCGCGCAGCATGGGTCTCACCCTCGGTTTTTCTTGCAATCAGAGAGGAAAGTCACTGGCGTTAGAGGTACAGAGGTCAAGATAAGGTGTGGATAAGATAGACATAGAGTTGAGGCTTCATGAATAAGAATAATGGCAGACAGCGTTTGATGTTGCAAAACGAATTAGTATTACAGCCACTTGCATCAGGTACGACATATCAGGTACGATGTGGACAAAATGCGGGGTTTTTCTTACATCAGAGGTATGGCAGGCGATGTTTGACGTTGACAAGTCTGTTTACAAATGGGTATTAAAGCTGCTTACGTCAGAGATGCGGCGGACGGCATTGGACGTGAGCGGAACACATAGCGAGTTGGTTATAAGAATCCCTAGCACTTGTACAACATAATTTGTTATGGTGCGGATGCGGTCTCTGAAATAAGAAGTACATGCTATACATTACTAACACAGTATGATTTTATGATTCCTTAAAACAGTATCAACATGTCGTTGTTGAGTACCTGGAACTTTCAGGATCATCAATAAATAGTAGAAAGTTAGCAGTTGGAACTGCATAAAAAGTTTTGTGAAAACATTAATATAATCAACAAAGAAAGTATAAACAATAAAAGTATATAAGAGTGCTGTCAACGTTTATATTATTATAATGATTGTTAAAATGATATTGTTTGAAACGCATACCAAGATAAAATAAATCTCCGTCTTCTTTACACAAATGGTTTTATCATAAATTTGTACTTCAAAGAGCTGAATGATCTTCTAAACGGTGTAGACACTTTTGATCGCTTCAACATTTACCCAAATATGGTTTAGATGCATATTCTTTTTAAGACATGATAGTTTTGAGTATTTTATATTATTAAGAAATGATGGGTCCCCTTTCTGTTTTGCAATATTTCATTAATTAAAACTATGGTTGCGGATATATACATTAATTACACATTTCGAGGCAAAGAAAACACGTGCCCCTGGGCTTTCAATTGACCATTGGAGAGAACGTGTTTGCCTCTCGAGCTTTGACTTTAGGGCTTAAAAAGACATGTCTATTTGACATGCGTTTGATTCTCCAAACTTGAGTGGGGAAATCTTAAATTGCCTAATGCAAAGAGTCTACTGAATGTCCTGGAGCTCGTCTAATTGGTAAGTTGAAAGGCATTTAATCGCATTGAGACTGAGTAATGATATCATACTGTTCGTAAGATATACATATATATATTTGTACATTACAACAATAAAGAAGTGCATCTCAACAATGCTTTTAAAATACCGAAAATTGAGATAACTCATTTGTTCACTCCGCAGAAAGACGAACCATCATGCTTTATCGAAATGGTCTCATGCAGTAAAATATGCTGTTAGCGTTTCAGGTTAGGGTTATTTACATGAACAGACCGAGTGTAATTGAATGAAACTGGAGAGTGTACAGTGAACTTCATATCATAGACTTCGATTAACGTAAGAGAAAACGGATGATTGATTACGAATGAGATCCATATGTACTTACATGATCCAGTCCGTTGAGAACAGTATAGCGACCAAGTCTGATGACACACTGAAGTTTGACAGGATGAGTATGATGACCGCCATACTGGATCCCGTTACAGACGGGGCTGCCGTGGACAACAACGTAGCCATCAGACTGAAAAGTTATCAACTTAATTAACATGTTAACAGCCAACAAAGTTAAACATTTCCTCTTCAATAGCTTAAATGAAATCTTGACATTTATCATTCAGTACAAATTATATTTTCCTCAGTAGTAATTAACATATACCAGCCACCAGTTTTCTCCTAAAGAGGCTTAACTACACTGATGGAATATCACTATCACTTAGTATAAATTATCCTTTCCTCAGAAGTTATATATACCAGCCTCTAGTTTGCTCCTAGAGAGTTAACTACACTGATGGAATATTACTACCGTTAAGTACAAATGACCCTTTCCTCAGTAGTAGCACATGTCAGCCTCTAGTCTTCTCATGGAGAGGCTTAACTACACTGATGGAATATTACAGTCGTCATCTTTACCTAATTTCCAGCTAAATGGATGTTCACCGAGCCTTAGCTCATGAACGACCTACTTTCCTGAATTTCGCAGGAGACATCGTGATAGGCTCAACATGTGTTACAGGAAAAGCTTACTTTCTGTTTACCTCTTTTTTGTTGGAGGTTCATGATGTCTTTCGCCAGCTTTTTTTTTTTTTTTGTCGATTCGTTTTATTACTTTTTACCTATCGAATTTGACCTCCGATTTTATTGTTTTGTTGACTGCAGTTAATGTATTTCATATATAATTAATATAACTGCATGTAGCGCAATTGGGCCAGGACACTTCCTTTAACCAGGTAGGTCAGTCCGATAACAATCTGATGTGCAGGGTTTGAATCCTGGTCTAGCACTGGTAAATGTTTTTCGCACAGAACACTGTTGTCGATAAACTTTTGCTCATTTCATCTTTATTATTTTTTCATAAAAGTCACGCTAAGCCTAGGCCTATGTTTAGTTATCTTTGCAGAAATAAATTGTCAAAGCTAAACAGTATATTCATACCGGATAAAAACAGTTTCCAATGCGTGGTTAATTAGCTAGGTAGTGGTCCGCGGATTCTTAACGTCAATATATACAATTTTGAATACACACCCAAACGACCATATCTACATGTATAGACTTACCAAACAAGAGCTACAGTTTCCGCATTTGTGCCTGAAGTCTGCATTTGAAGCAGAAAGACGGAGGCTACCGAAACGTATAAAGATGTCCCACATCGCCCTATTGTGGTGGAGAGGGGCACAAGGAACTGGGCCACGTGTTTGTCAACACCCATTCCAGTTACCAGAATACAGACCGTATCCGGAATAGCTGCAGCTCTTAAACACATTAAACTCAAATATATCGGGTTTTTTGTATAGCAATTTCTAAATCAAGTAAGTTATGCTGTTAATACTTTCAAAATACCATGAGCGGGAACACATCTTTCAAAAATAAACAAACAAGAAAAATGAAGAGGATAAAACCGATCGAAGAGTCAAGACTCACAATCTATAAAACTAGGTCAAAGTATGAACAAAGGAATAGATCTAAAAAAAAATAGGTCAAAGTATAAACAAAGGAATAAATCCATAAAACTAGGTCAAAGTATGAACAAAGGAATCTATAAAACTAGGTCAAAGTATGAACAAAGGAATAAATCTATATAACTAGGTCAAGTATAAACAAAGGATAAATCTATAAAACTAGGTCAAAGTATGAACAAAGGAATCTATAAAACTAGGTCAAAGTATGAACAAAGGATTTAATCTAAACTTCCGGTATGACAACATGAAGCGTCTGGACGTGGTGAGTGTCGCCTCCGATACATACACATTTATTACTACCTATATCAAAGTTCTCTATGTGGGAAACACCGTAAATACGTTTCAAAGTTTGTGTGGACTTAAATTATACTTTATGTATACTCATTGGTGCTGAACTTTTCTAATTTGTTGTATATTTGACAAGTAGAACAGTAGCGTTCATATCACGGTGATATAGTGTACATGTATCTGGTGGCCGTGTAGGAACGGGTACGTGTTTATATCAATATAAGGTAGATAAGCTAACCTAATACCAATGTATTTCCAGAATCCACAAAAATGCAACTATAATGCACTGTATCTAGTTATGATGTTGTGAGGTGGTGTCCAATCAGCCCCGAGTGAAAGACCATGTGTGATGAGCACAGGGACATTTTTTGTCGGAAACTCGGTGGCGGATTTTAAACTGACCTCCCAGCTGCATAGCTATATTATATTTAATAAAAAAAAACAAGTATAATAATGAAATGACGTTTGGAAAAAATACCACGCCTTATTTTGATTTTAGAAAACAAAACCATTATTCTGGTTTACTTATTCATATATTTATTTATTTATTTTAGATTATTATATTTCTGTACCTTTTGCAATAACTTAAACTACTAAAATATACCATAATATATTCATATATTACTATGATAATTCACTGTAGCATTGTAGGCATTCCTTCGCCTAAATGCATGACTTGTTGCTACATGGCCACGAAAACGAAACTTTGATTTTGTTTATAATGTAAGCATATATTAATTGTTAAATTTAGTATAGGAGGTTGGGCTGACTTTTCTGAAAGAACCGAATGAATGGAAGTATGGTGTGTATGGGGGGTAAAGGGGTGGGTAATTGTGGGGAAGCTTTTGAGAAAATGTTCAATGTTGCGTTTCAATACTACTTGATTATATGTTCAATGCTGTCTGATAATGTTCCTAAAGATATTACTACGGGTAAGTTATTTTTTGGCATTAATGACCATGGGTAGTATAAAAAAGGGCTGCTTTAATTGCCGGGGACTGGCATCAAATACTATAAAAAGATGCGACATTTTTGACAAATGTAGAATCAACTACGATATCTCTGTCCTTATTGACACGCATTCCACAGATAAAGTTGAACAAAAGTGGTTAAATGAATGGGGATATACTGCAAAATTCTGTTCCTTTTCTAGTAGTAGTAGCGGAATAGCTATCCTCTTCAAAAACACATTTCAATTTGACATAGTGAAAGAAATTAAAGACACTAGTGGTAATTTTCTAATACTTGAGATTAAATTATTTGATCGAAGTATAATTTTGGCTGCAATATATGGCCCAAACGAAGATAGTCCGTCCTTCTTTGAGAATATCCAACGAAAACTTGAAACACTAGATAATAACTCTATCATTATATGTGGAGATTGGAATGTTCCACAGAACTATAACTTAGACACGGTTAATTACAAAAATAAGAATAATACAAAGAGTCAAACTAAAATTCTGGATATGATGTCAGCATTAGATATTTTAGATATATGGAGAGAGTCTAACCCAGATACAAAAAGATATACATGGCGGGCTCCACATATAAAACAGGCACGTCTAGATTATTTTCTGATATCTTCTGATTTAGTATCATGTGTTTCAAATGAAGACATTGGGGTAAGTTATAGATCTGATCACACTCCAGTTTCTGTTTCTTTTAAATTTATTGAACAGCAGAGAGGAAAAGGTACCTGGAAATTTAACAATACTTTACTGCGCGATGCTCATTATGTACAAAAGGTAAAACAGTGTATTGTGGAAACATTAAATCAATATAGATTACCTGATGAACAAAATAACACTATATATTCAATTGACGACCAACTTTTATGGGAAACTATTAAACTAATGATAAGGAGTATAACTATAAAATATTGTTCATATCTTAAGAAAATGAGAAACTGTACTGAAGAAAAATTAGAAGAGAAGCTAAGTAAGTTATATTCGGATGAAACACAAAACGACATTAGTGCAGACATAGAAAGAGCAGAACTAGAACTTAAGAATATAAGGGAAGAAAAGATTAAAGGGATGATTTTAAGGTCAAAGGCAAAATGGAAGGTAGAGGGGGGGGGGGAAGCACAAAATATTTATGTAACCTAGAAAAACGTCATTATGCCGAAAAGCTCATACCTAGATTATTAACGGATGAAAATAAAGTGATTACGGATATAAAAGAAATAATAACAGAACAAACTAAATTTTATGAAGAACTATAGCTATACATCAGTAGAGAAGCAAACATTGATGACGCACATTCTGAATTTTTTTTCAATGGAGAAAACCCATACAACAAAAAATAACAACAGAACAAGCTAATAAGATGGAAGTCTTTTTAAGTAGATTGGAATGTTTAAATTCTTTAAAAAATATGGGAAACTTTAGATCACCTGGTCTAGACGGTTTCACAGTTGAATTTTATAAACTTTTCTTCAATGATTTTCATGAACCTCTTATAAATTCTCTTAACAAAGCATTAGAAGTAGGACAACTATCTATTTCTCAGTGACAAGGCGTAATTAATTGTATCCCAAAAGACGGAAAGTCAAAACTATTTTTGAAAAAATTGGCGACCAATATCTCTTCTAAATGTGGACTATAAAATTGCAGCAGCAAGTATTGCAAATAGAATAAAACCAGTTTACAAGATTTAATCAGCGATACTCAAAAAGATAGATATATAGGTGAATGTACACGACTTATTCTTGATCTTATTGAAAGGCTAATGAAAAAGATATTCCAGGGCTACTTATTCTATTAGATTTCGAAAAAGCATTTGACTCTCTAGAATGGCATTTTATTAAAAAAGCTCTAACGCTTTTAGGATTTGGACCTATTATTAGACAGTGGATACAAACTTTTTACAAAGATATTACAAGTTGTATTTATAATAACGGTCACTGATCAAGATTTTTTGACATTAGAAGAGGAGTTGACAAGGGGACCCTCTTTCCCCATATTTGTTCATTTTGTCTAGAATTACTAAGCAGTTCCTTAAAATTTGTCCCTGATATTAAAGGGCTTCATATTGACCACTCTGAATACCTACTAAGTCAATGAACAATCTATAAAGGAAACCATTGTTACTTTAGATTATTTTGTGAATGTTCTGGATTGAAATTAAATTTAGGAAAAACTCATGTAGTTTGGCTAGGGACCAAAGCGGGGTTGTGGGGTAGAATACTTGCAAGAAAAGAATATTTTTTGGAATCACAGACGGAAGTTTAAGCTCCTTGGGATCACATATGATCTGAACAAGGAGGATGTAACATTACAAAACTTTGAAGAAAAATTTGAATCTGTTAAAAAACTATTAAATGACTGGTCTTTTAGAAAGCTAAGTTACATAGGGAAAGTCACGATGATCAAGACACTAGCACACCCAATATATACACATATGTTTACAGTACTTCCAGACCCTTCTGATGTGTTCATTAACAACCTACAAAAACTATTTTTTATTTTTTTATGGTCAGGGAAAATTGACAAGATTAAAAGGAATATAATAATAAACTTATACGAGAATGGAGGCCTTAGACTCACTCATGTAAAATCATACTGCCAAGCGCTAAAAATGACATAGATTAAAAAAAATACTAGACCCCAACAACAATTCTCCTTGGAAAATTTAATTTCTGATAAACTTCAAAAATTTGGGGGTGAGTCAATTTGGTACATGAATAGCGAGGGCCTAAACAACATAGCAGATCACTTCAATCCTTCTGTATTTCTTCTATAGAGCGTGCTCCACCCACAACCCCGTCAGAAATATTATCACAACCAATATGGTTTAACAATAAAATTAAGATAAACAAACAGTATGTACTGTATCAAAGGTGGGTAGAAAATCATATTTTCTTCATTAAAGACTTAGTTAATGACAGGGGTGAATTTATTGATGTGAATCAACTTAAACTTCAATATGATATCCAAATTAACTTCGTTGAGTACTATGGCTTACTAGCATCTATCCCACATACAAGAAAAATATTGATGTACAGAAAACACAAATACTAAAAGGGAAAGAAAAGATAACTAGAGATTTGTATGCAGTATTGGTCAATCAATATCTAGATCTCCCTATTTCATCTATGTAAAAATGGCAAGGGAACCACGGTTAGATATAACAAATGACAGTTGGAAGATGTACTTCAAACTACCCTTCAATATAACAGATGACACAATACTACAAACTTTTCAATTTAAATTGCTTCATGGAATACTCTATACAAACTCAAGACTAATGAAAACGAACATTACAGAAACAGAAATTTGTAATATTTGTACGGTAAATAGAGAAACGCTTACGCATTTATTTTGGGATTGTCCTCATACACGTGCGTTATGGTCATTTTTAAGACAACAATTTGTAACTAATTGTAATATAGATTTTCCATGGTCAAATATTTCCTTTATATTTCTTTTACATTAGACCAAAACGAATATCATTATAATTAACATTAAGCTACAGATGCAAACGGTGCATATTGTCAGGGTGTTTGGCATTTTTCTAAGAATTGTTTATTTAAGCTCCACCGAGGTGGACAATTCACGAAATGGAGTGTATATTGAATATAATCAAATGTTTTATGTGAATCATATTAAGTAAACGACTGTTGAACAAAGGTTATTTACAACCTTGTAAGCGTTATTTCTGTTTGCGTTTATGAGGAAATATTCAGGTTTGCACTGTGTTGAAGTTCGGGTTTTAAGTATATAGTGTTACTTGGCTTCTGATTTTCGTATTCATGTTGAAAACGAAAATTGCATTGTAGAAATGTTTAGTATCACAACCAGTATGTGTGACGTTTCGATGACTAGTACGGTACGTGCCCTGTCAACTTCATCAGACAAAATAGCAGTAATTCGTGTGAAGCATATATATGGCCAAATATCAAACAAAGAGTAACAGGATCGAATTGTCGGTTTGATTTGTCATTTCGCGCATGTTTAACAACTTAAGGTGTACACACACTAATAGCATATCCGTATCGTCGTCGATTTTATATTGCCAACTCGTACATATTATACACCTTTTTCTACTCACGTTTACTGTTCATTTCTCTGATGAAGGTGACAGGGTACGTATCGTACTAGTCATCGTCACAAGTAAACACTTACTGGTTGTGATACATAACCATTTTACAATCAAACTTACCAACTTGAAGACAGTTTCTGGAAATATTCGAAAATTACACTTCCACCAAGAAGGACCTATATGCAGTAATTTACATTATATAATTTAGCAAGTTAAACTTGCTTGCGCACTCGTGATTTTGACAAATTTGCTAAACCTACCTTCATGTAAGCTGATATATATTGAAAGAAATTTTCTTGATTTTATGGCATTTCGAATGACCATACTTACGTGCTAGCGGTGGCGATGGATAGCATCAGTGGTTCTCTCAGAGCATAGTAAAAGTGCATAGGATTTTTACGTATGACAATGATGCATAAAAGTGGTACGATCACCATGACGACAATGCATTGTCCCACTGTTACTGTCACGAGGTACATCCCAATGGCTGTCAGGTCTTCTAACAGACTGTCGGTGCTGGAGACAATCTTAGCCAGAAGACTTAAAAGAGCTAGAGGTGTGCACCTGTAAATAAAGAAAGTTCGTTTTTATTGATGCTTGTTAGCTGTGACAATTCGTCACATTCTCAATATAATTACCACAACAATTATTTTACTTCTTATATATAGATTATATTGACCACATGATTATTGATAATAAATCATTGTTTTGGCCTCGCGCGCTCGAGTTTCCCCGGTCATATATACCTCATTCGGAGACTCCCTAGGATGAGCCATAACATGTATATAACACTCGAGTAGGACTCAAGCAAACAACAATGGCGCGTAAACCTCATTACCTATAATCATGTTTTATGTTCTATTCCCAATATAACATAATGTGTTCGAAATTCGGCTTCGTGAAACATGATGAATCTCGGGGAAACAAATAATCTTATTTCCTTATCTACCGTATGAAGTTATACTCACCACATGAAAAGGCGCATAAGATATAGCATTATATTGAAAGAGGAATTGAAGAATGCCCGAAACACCTCCACATCCTCTTTCACTTTGCCAGCACAGATTCCAACTAGGAAACTGACCGTCAGTATTCCTATCGACAAAAAAAAGAAACCATTTAAAAAAAAGATTATTTTGATTATGTTCGAAATTTTACTGATGGAAATGTACATTTGCAGGTAAGTTTGCTAAACATTTTTTTCATGTTGATTCCATTATATAAATCTAAACCTGAAATTAATGATGCAAACATTGTAGATAACAGTAAACATTTGCTTTTACAATAACAGTTTCATAGTTCAGCATTGAAATAACAAGAATATTGCAACTATGTTGTTTATTACTTATCGAATATTGAGAATTTAACAATTACATCAAAGTCATATTTTAGACAATTATTTGATTTTTTCTTACAAAAAGACTATTGGAGAATTCATATAATTCTTAATTATTAATACTTAATGCCTTCCACAGGATAGCTTTTTTTCATGTTTAAGTTACTAAAAGAAAATTGTAAATACCAAGAACGTTAGCGCCGTCTACGGGTTCAAGTGTTTTTTTTCTTGTCGTCTGTCTGTCTTCGGTTTGGTTTGTAGAGATACATGTATTCTGCATTTGATACCGCGTCTGCGTCTAAAAAACAAGATTACGTTAGCAGCCAGATTGTAACATGATTAAGACTGTCGTATTAATGCAGAAAATTCTACTATAACTTCCAGAAAAGGTAAGTGTGCGGTAACTGTAATATATTATCAGTAAATTTGACAGTGTGTGGTATATGTAATATATTATCAGCACATTTGACAGTGTGTGGTATATGTAATATATTATCAGTACATTTGATAGTGTGTGGTATATGTAATATATTATCAGTACATTTGACAGTGTGTGGTATATGTAATATATTATCAGTACATTTGATAGTGTGTGGTATATATGTAATATATTATCAGTACATTTGATAGTGTGTGGTATATATGTAATATATTATCAGTACATTTGTTAGTGTGTGGTAAATATGTAATATATTATCAGTACATTTGACAGTGTGTGGTATATATGTAATATATTATCAGTACATTTGATAGTGTGTGGTATATATGTACTATATTATCAGTGCATTTGATACTGTGTGGTATATATGTAATATTTTATCAGTACATTTGATAGTGTGTGGTATATATGTAATATATTATCAGTACATTTGATAGTTTGTGGTATATATGTAATATATTATCAGTACATTTGACAGTGTGGTGTACGGGTGTGCAGTGAGTGTGTTCATTTTACCTGTTGAAATGTTGATAGGAAGAGATTGTCTGGAACAAGATTTCTGAAACAGAATAGCAATATATGACAAGCCAAAAATCTTCTGTTATAAGACATAAAAAATTCAACAAATTGTTCATCTCTCGCATCATTTCCTTCGGGTCTATTGTCATTTTCGGCATAATATTCTCCTATTTAAGTTAAATACACTTTCGAACATTCTCCAAATAAAGCATTACGTCGTTTCTGTTAACTTATTAGTGAAAGATGCATCAGAATCTATTTCTATAGCATTTACTCCACTATCTATTATATGTGTTCTCGAGTTAATAGATAACTGGGTTAACCATCATATGGCAGCTTTCGTGTGCTGATATGACGATGATGTAGCTAATTTCAGTTGGTGAATATTTTAAATAAGAAATCGGCAGTTAGATTGTTAAAAATATATTAATCACATTGTGGTGAAATTAACGACAGCTTTGCAGTTTTCTAGTGGCTAAAACGTGGTCATTGAAATGTTTATTTCTTTTGTTTTCATGAGGGTTACATGTATCACATAAATTGTTAATAATACCAATTAAATATGGCAAGCCAACTTAACATTTATTCAAGGAGCAATGTCGATCCTCTATTTCATCGAATTATATAAGATATCTTATATAATTATATAAGATATCTCATATACAATAAACATATCTTATATCTATATGAGATATATTATATATATATGAGATATCTGATATAGCATATGAGATATCTTATATACTATATGAGATATCTTATATGCTATATGAGATATCTCATATAGAAATTAAATGAGATATCTTATATAAGTATATAAGATATCATATATACTATATAAGATCTCTCTCTCTCTCTCTCTCTCTCTCTCTCTCTCTCTCTCTCTCTCTCACACACACACACACACACACACACACACACACACACACAAACCGGATGAAACAAATACCAAACATTAAATGTACATACAGTTAAAATGCACCTTACCTAAAGACGTCTGCAAATAAGTCGTGATAACTTATCTCGCTAGATTTCTGCTCCATCACACAGGCATCCTTAGGAAGACTATTTCCTACAAAAATGTCATATAACAAAGGTATAATTTGTATTTAAAACTGACAAACAGATATTCTTACTTTTGTGTAGCGCTAATGATTTACAGAACGTCCACCAGTACACACACATTTAAATGTCGGCCTAGATAAACACGCGAGTATGTGGACGTGGGATCGTAAGAAGTTATATTACAAAATTTGTTGTGCCAAAGTAGCAAAACTGAAGCGTTATATAATAGCAATACATATATAGTACAACACTTATTTCTGCTTTTATTTAATTTTCATAATTACTATATTGTCAATTTGTTTCTCCGATATTGAACGCGAATTATGAACAGCATTTCAAAGAGATTTGAAAATGTTTTATATTGTATGAGACTTATACTACCTGGTGTTACCAAAACAGTGAGTAAACAGCCAATCACACAGCCGACGAAATTGGTGAGGAGGAAATACACAACGGTACAGGCCCCTACCTTACCACTGCTGTTGGCATTCAGTGAAGATGTACCTGAAAAAGATATTTAAAAACAACAATAGAATACCGAAGTGTCAACAAAATCATAATTAGAACTAAAAATCGATCAAACTAAAATATGAACAATGGAAAGATTTACATGGAGACTCCTGGAAAAGAACAAGGAGAAAAGGACCAGGTGTTTTGGGAAGACAGGCGTCTGCTGCTTAATCGACGACACCCGCCATGCATATCTAGGCCACGTGCTCACATCGAGGACTCGGGTAGTGATAATAAAACCACAAAACACTCTAATGTGCATAATATTTCCCTGCTGCCTTATTGTGATGGCAACCATAAAACTTGGTCATAATATTCATCAATCCCTTGTTAGTAGCATTCATATAATAGCTTATAATAAAATCAGAAGTGTAAATCACCATATATAGGGATTGCTAGTTGTACATGTGTTGTGAAGACCTTAGGCTAAAATTAGCCTTTGTCAAAACTATTTTTTCAACATTTTCTTTGCCTTATTATATGTTCAGTCATGCATACACATATATCATTTCTTGAAATGATATTTTGTAATATTCTTAATGAACAAAATCTGACTGATTTATACACGAATTATATGTATTATAGAAGGCGGTATCTACACTTTTTCACGATATTATATACGCAAGAAAATAAAGTTAAATGGTTAATTACATTGCGTTTTTCACCTCAGCTCATGTGTAATTCATCGCTATGTTGTGTAATGAAGCCAAATCGAGTGTTCATTAATGCATAAATTGCACGAAATAAAGGATCGTAAATCATTTTAAATGTTTTTTTAGGTCATTAATTAAATTCTCCTTCATGCATCAAAATGAATGTATCTAATTAAAACTTCCACATTTCCTATAGTTTCCCTCTCTCTGATACAAAGGATACATATAGTTCTGGGAGTAAGTGTAATATTAAAACTTGAATATTGTAATCATTTGTGAGACCGTTTGAGTTGTCACTTAATGATCGTGTCTGTCGTTTTCACATCTCAGCTCTCTTTCTAATTATTAACCTTTCAACACATACCCACCACATGAATTGTTTGGTCATTGTTTTACAAAGTATAGAACTCTCTCTGCTCTGCGGAGAGTATAATTTCATTTTTCAGGTGAAGCCATTTAAAAAATTAAACTGAAACAAAATATGACATTCGTTTTATACTTTAATAGCAACAAATTCAATTGAACGGTCAGTTGTGAAAACGACAGACGCGATCATTAAGCGACAACTCAAATGGTCTCACAAATGTCACTTCTAAGGAGCGAGACGTTCAGTATGTGACAAATCACATGATATGATAGATGTTACAAAGCGTAAGTCGTTCATTGAGTGGCACTTAATTACCTTACTTATCAATTATAAGAAATACAAGAAGGCAAACTAATTTAACGGACGCTTTTTGTCAATTCGATCCTTATAGGAGTTAGCAGAGGTACTTAAGGTAAATAATGCGTTACAAAAAATATGTAGAAAATGGAAAAGTGTCTATTCCGTCTTTGCGTATTGCAGAGTTATCTTCTCTTGGGAGCAGGTATTGATTGTTAAGTCACTTGTTTGTGAGAGTAACGTCATCGATTTTTGAGAAAAACAACGTAATTTTCTCGCACAAACCAATGACGTAACAATCAATACCTAAGAGAAGATAACTCTGCAATACGCAAAGACGGAATACAAATATGTAATGTTTGGCAACATCAGATCATTCTTGTACACCGTGTAAGAATAAATTCCAGCTTTAATGTTATGGCCAATATCGAGGGTGAGATGATAGTTCACCAAAGATTGCTATGAGCGAGACACTCAGTTACAAAAAGAAACGTTTAAAGTGTTCCGAAAAATACGTAGAAAAGGGGAAGATGCCTATAGAACAAATATACAATATTTGGCAACCACATATAACTTATTGTTAGTTCTTTGTGTACACCGAATCTGAATAAATTCCAGCTTCAGGGTTGTGGCCATATCGAGACTGATATGATAGTTCACCATAAAAAATCATCTCTATGAGAGGTTTAAAGGGGTCTCACTAATTTGCGCCATAGGAGATTTAACGCCATAGGTGCGCCATAGGAGTCTTTGCACGCCATAGCAAAATGTAAGTACCATATCCACGAAATATTTCGATTTTTCCATTGGTATACTCATTTAACATGTTTTGGTAAAGTATCATTTAAAAACAATGTGTACTTTGTTAGAAAATCGATCTTGATTACGAAGCACTTTTACACTAATTTGCGCCATACGTGTTTTTTCACGCCATAGCTAAATATAAGAATTATTTTCAGCAAATAACTGTGTTTTTCCTTTGGTGTATGCAATTAACAGGTTACAAAATATTTCTTCGCTATTCGGAAGTCAATTTCAAGGTTAGTAACTCGTACAGTTGCAAAATACGCCATACCAATCAATATTTTTTATATTAATTTTAGAATTGATTTACAACAGTTTATTTATTACATCTACTTAAATATCAATCACAGAAACATTAAAGAGAATAACACATTTTTAAATATTATTAATATATATCAATTTTATTTAATGAACAGAATAATTAATAACAAATGTACAACACAATTATAATCTTTATTGAACTCACCAATTATACATCTAAATCTACACAGCACATTGGAATACAGAACATATTATTGCACACAATGTAAACGTTATACATTGTCCACATCCACAGTCTATCTAATAGTCACACACTTAAAGTACACAGGTTTGATAACATTGTCCCAGCTTGTAGGTATACTTCGGTACATAAGGCATACTTTGTGCGTGAAAAACTGTACATTGATGGTATTTTGTACACCGAGCCTACAGTAATAGCGATCCATACCAAGGACACTGGTGGAGCCATCCCCAAGCCAAGTAACCATGGTAACAGAGCCAGCCAAGGAACAGCTAGTCGTGGTCAAGGCAAAGCTAGTCGTGGACGAGGAAGTGGACGAGGAAATGTCGGTCGTGGACATCATCCTGTTTCATAGGACAATGTGGAGTGTGGGGACACGCCCCAGAATCTCAAAGTTCTATCATGAAACATAAACGGTGGACTTGACAATAAGTTAAAGACAAAAAGTTTTTTAAACTATATCAAGACATATGACTTGATTTTTCTATCTGAATGTTGGATACCCAATGATTATTCTGTATCAATTGAGGGTTTTTCATGTTATATTGACCCTAGATTACTAGTTGTAGGATCTCAAGGTGGTGGGATGGTTATTTTTGTTAAAAACGTGTTTGTAAATTATGTGTTTGTAATTGAATCAATATATGATTCAAGCATATGGTTAAAGGTATCGAAAACCCTTATTGATAACCACAATGATTTATATATAGCATGTGTTTACATGCCACCTTCTAGTTCTGTATATTATAACATGTACAACTGTGACCTTTTCTTTGAACTTGAAAATGGTATTGTAAATTATAGTTCCCTCGGGGACATTATGATGGTTGGAGATTTTAATAGTCGTACAGGTATTCTACCTGATTATATCCAGAATGATGCAATTCATTCCAGTATTAAAAATTGCCTCTCCAATATAATAAATTATGAACCTGATGACGGTTTAAAAATCAGGCATAATCCAGATGTAGTAATTAACACTTTTGGTAATCGCCTGATACAGCTATGTAAATCATGTTATATGTGTATATGTAATGGAAGAGACCAACAAGGATACTCTAATGATTTTACATACTATGGACACAATGGCATGAGTACTATAGATTACTGTATAATTACAGATTCATTATTTAATATTCTGGAACAATTTATAATTTCAAATTTTAATGTATTTTCTGACCATGCTCCTTTGCATATTCAATTAAAATTATATGAAGAATTGGACCAAGTAATTACTATTGATGAAATTTGCAAAGCAATCAGTAATTTAAAGAAGGGAAAATCTCATGGTATAGATTGCATCTTAAATGAAAGTTTATTGGTAGGGAGGGATATTTTATTACCTATTTTGTGTAAACTTTTTAACAATATATTGGACTCTGGTCTCTATCCTGCTGATTGGGCAGTTGCTGTAATTACACCGGTACATAAAAAGGGTGACCTAACTGACCCTAACAATTTTAGAGGTATAAGTATAGTAAGTTGTTTAGGAAAATTATTCACTTCTGTTTTAAACAATAGACTTTTAAAATGGTCAGAAACATATGATGTAATAACTGATGCTCAATTTGGGTTTAGACCTGGTCTTAGTACAGTAGATGCTATATTTTGTTTACATTCTATTATATCCAAATCATTTATTAATAAGAAAAGATTGTATTGTTGCTTTGTCGATTTTCGTAAAGCATTTGATATGGTAAATAGAATAAATTTATGGAATAAGCTATCAAAACTTGGTATAAGAGGAAAGCTATTACAAGTTGTAAGGTCTATGTACTCTCATGTTAAATCTTGTGTTAAATTAGATGGAAAGTTGTCAGATTTTTTTCTTAACAGGGTTGGATTATTACAAGGTGAAATTCTGTCACCGATATTTTTTTCTATGTATATAAATGATTTTGAATCATATTTTATACAAAATTGCGAGGGTAGTTATAAGTTTGAGGAACTCAGTTTATATCTGATGCTATATGCTGATGATCTAGTATTATTCTCCGAGACTGTAGAAGGTCTCCAAGATATGCTTGATAATTTAGAAAATTATTGTACTGAATGGAATTTAACTGTAAATGCTGAAAAAAACAAAAATTGTAGTTTTTAGAAAAGGTGGAAGATTGCATAATGATGAAAAATGGTATTACAAAGGAAGTAAGATTGAATGTGTGGATCAATTTCCTTACCTAGGTGTTATTTTAAATTGCAACAATAAATTCACATCTATACGAAAACAATTAGCTAGCCAAGGACGAAAAGCTACATTTGTATGTTTGCATTGTGGAAGATTGCATAATGATGAAACTTAAATGTAAAAACTATGCTCCATCTTTTCGATACATATGTAAGCAGTATCCTTTTCTATGCAAGTGAAATTTGGTGTATGCACAAAGCTCCAGAGATAGAACATGTACATTTACATTTTTGTAAGAAACTACTAAAAGTGAAGAAATCAGCCAATAACAACATGATATATCTTGAATTGGTACGGTTACCTCTAGTTTGGATGAGAAAAATTAGAATGATAAAATATTGCAAAATTTGTTATTACCATTGATAAAACAAAGAATTTCTGATCAAGGCATACAATTCCTAAGGGCCACAGTGGAAAACTCTCCAAAATGTTCATTGTATAAACACATAATAGATTTTGGAGAAACATTACAATTTTACCTCACAAAATATATACCAAAGAAATATTGCATTTGTTTAACTCGAATACGTACATCTACCCATTCTTTAGCTATAGAAGTTGGAAGGTATAATAATATACCTAGAGAACGTAGATATTGTAAACAGTGTAACTCCCCCTCTTAATTAGAGGACGAATTTCATTTTTATTGGTCTGTTCTGAATTACAAAATCTCAGATCTCGTTTTATCAAAAGCTATTATTGGAAAAAACCATCTGTGTTTAAAGTCGTCCAGTTATTGAGTGTCCAAAATATTAAAGAACTGTGTATACTAGGAAAATGCATATATGAGGCAAACAAATTAAGGGTATTATAATGGAATATGAATGTTTTCATCCTCTGTACATTGTCCATGATTTGTTTAAAAAAATGTTTTGTATACTGATGGGCCAATGGCCCAAAGTTTGAATAAAACTTGAAACTTGTACATCTAGGGTAATGATGTCCCAGTACTTGTCTCTAAATACGATTTGGGTTAGGCACTGTCTTCGTTTGTGGGTTTTTAACTCTACTGTATTTTTAAATCTTAAATATGTATCTCCATTTTCTTCAATATAGAATCTCAAAAAAGTATTTCTCCATTTGATAGCTACAATTCCTTCGTTATAATCTTTTCATACATTTCATAACTTTCTTATTTATAATTGATAAATGATGACCAACTGATGATGGAGTGGTGATGGTGAACACTGGTTCATATGATCAGCCCTAAAGAAAACACTATTAATTGGTTGCTGAGAGATACTGTCATGGTGACCTTAAGGTAAGAAACTTTTATTGTAATATAGGCCAGATATTGCAAATGAATTCCATTACTAGATCGGCAAGTGCTGCATGCATGCTGACTGTCATGGTGACCTTAAGGTAAGAAACTTTTATGCCTACAACCCAGATATTGTAGTCATCCAACTAGGAGGAAATGACATTGCAGCGACATCATCCCCCAATGACATTTTCCAGACACTACTCAAACTACAAACGGACCTACAGACTGCTGGAATCAAGGAGGTGTACTTTACCGAGATAGTGCCACATGGAAATTTTGACAAGTCCCCAGGCCTGACAGCGACATCCTTTGATAAACAACGCAACAAGATCAACCGACTCATGAAGACCAGACTCAACTACATCAAGCTGCGAGTGAAATTTCAACAAGACTATGACCGTGACCTAGTTCATTTCAACAACTCAGGACTCCGGACCAATTTCCTTTCTCTTAGACGACCATTTTTCAGGTGTTGACAATTTGTAGGATGTATGTTTTATTAATTTTGCTTTCATGTATTACAGTGTGAAATAGTGTGTTGTTGAATTTAATAAAGATTTGAATATATATATATTTTCGTTTTTCATCTTAATAGAATTTTATTGATTGTATGTAAAAGTATTAAAAAAAAGAACTGAGATGAAATATTTATGAGTAATTAATATTTCCATTAAAGATCTATATTACTTATATTTAATGTAAGAGTATGTAATAAAGTGTTGTAAATAATTTCTAATATGTGTGAGATTTACATAAAATATGTTCATGTCCAATCATTTTGAATTTCAATTGATTTCTGTTTCAGAGCTGTGTGTAAATTATTCTATGTTTGTACTCATAAATAAATTGTGTTATACATGTGTAATTAATTAATATTTTCATTGTCTTTAATGTTTTTGTAATTTATTCTATGTTTGTACTCATAAATAAATTGTGTTATACATGTGTAATTAATTAATATTTTCATTGTCTTTAATGTTTTTGTAATTTATTCTATGTTTGTACTCATAAATAAATTGTGTTATACATGTGTAATTAATTAATATTTTCATTGTCTTTAATGTTTTTGTAATTTATTCTATGTTTGTACTCATAAATAAATTGTGTTATACATGTGTAATTAATTAATATTTTCATTGTCTTTAATGTTTTTGTAATTTATTCTATGTTTGCATTCATAAATAAAATTTAAAAAATCCAGTCAAGTACTAGTCTTGTCCTATTCATTGCTATGCCGTATTTGCAAATGTACGAGTTACTTCCCTTGAAATTGACTTCTGAATCGCGAAGAAATATTTTGTCGATTTCCTAACAAAATAACCATTTTTTAATAATGAAACTTTACCACAACCTGTTTTTTGCATATACCAAAGGAAAAACACAGTTATTTGCTGAAAATAATTCTTATGTTTTGCTATGGCGTGTAAAAACACGTATGGCGCAAATTAGTGTAAAAGTGCTTTGTAATCAAGATCGATTTTCTAACAAAGTACACATTGTTTTTAAATGATACTTTACCAAAACATGTTAAATGAGCATACAATGGAAAAATCGAAATATTTCGTGGATATGGTACTTACATTTTGCTATGGCGTGCAAAAACTCCCATGGCGCACCTATGGCGCTAAATCTCCTATGGCGCAAATTAGTGTAACCGGTTTAAAGTGTTCCGAAAAATATGTAGAAAGAGGGAAGATGCCTAAAGAACAAATATGCAATGTTTGGTAACCAAAGATAAGTTATTCTTAGTTCTTATTGTACACCGTGTCTCAATAAATTCCAGCTACAAGTTTGTGGCCGATATCGAGACTGATATGATTGATAGATCACTATAACAAAAGTCGCTATGAGAGTGTTACGTTTTTAGGCATCCCACTTCTGACACCAATTTGTTACGATATTAGGCATCCCACTTCTGACACCAATTTCGCTATAAATATAGTTGTTAATTCCTCTATGTTAAATGAAGGTCCAGTCGTTCTGACAAATGCTAAAGATAAAATCACAACACACAAGTTTTGATAAGGTTAACTAAAGTTTTATTAACAGGAATTTAATTAATGTATCTGCCAAAAGTTCAAGTGAATAAAGTTATCTAAAATGTACTCCAGGAGGAAAATTTGTAGTCCAAATAAAGTTGACACACTTAGAAATAGTCCAATTTAGGATCAAATGAAGAAGACTGATATTCCTTCTAACACATATAGTTAAGATCAACTTACTATATGTCCGGAAATTGCACTCCAAAGTAATATAACTAAATAACAACTGAGGTTTACACTAATTCAACTAATTCAACTAACTAATATTCTATACACTACAAATTACTCCACTAGACTCCTCGCAAGTCTACCGAATACTCTCGGAGTCATTACTCATCCTCTCCATAGGATTCTCTCTCTTCTCAATCTACTCAAAAAAACTCCCCGTTGAACTCCCTAACAACCCTTTATATAGGCACAACTATTTTAAGAACTGACATCATATTCTAAATATACTCAAACTCATACTAAACTTAGCCTATGACATCATATACTAAATATAACTAGAGACAAGATAAACTAAAGATAGAGCTACATCTAAATACAAACTATGGAAACCATCTAGTACTAATAATGGATCAAGATGTATAGGTAGAAAAATCTATTAATACCAACAACTGACCAACTCATTAAATATGCAAGCCCTTCCCATTTACTCCAGTAATGACCTCATACCTATTAATACACCAGTCTCTCAAAATGACCACAAACCTATTTATATCTCATCCCCTCAGAATGACCACACACCTATTTATATCTCATCCCCTCAGAATGACCACACACCTATTTATAACTATAACCCTACTGCTGTCTTAAAATACCACACCAGGGAGGCTCATAACCTTTGACCTTATCAATTTCTACTCAGCTACTGGACCCTTATCTTTGAGCTATAAACACACAGTGAACCACCAAACAGACCCTCTAAACTGACTTACCATTATATTGAGAAAACAAATAACATCGTTCTTAATTAATGAAATATAAACAGTAATAATAATCACTTGTTAAAAACTCCACAAGAGAGACACTCAATTAAAAAAAAAAGGGGGGGGGGAGGTTAAAGTGTGTAAAAATATGTAGAAGAGGGAAAAGTGCCTATACAAATATTTATTCGTATCCTTAGTGTTTCGTGTACACCATGTCTGAATAAGGTTATGGCTAATATTGGGACTGATAGTCCAACATAACAAATGTCGCTATGAGAGAGACACACTCAATTACAACTTACCTGATATAACAGATGTCACAACGAGTGGGACTATCAGCATTTTCAGGAAACGGATGTACAGCTCGCCTGGCAAACCTTTTAGGTCAGTGGATGAACGTAATATCAGAACGATTTCCTCAACATAAAAATCATGACTGCAGGATTCACTTTTACTAAAAAAATTGGCAATACAATCGTAATAACAAACTAGAAAATTGAAAATAAGTGTAACCGTAGGCTGTGCCGAAAATGTTGATGCACTTCAACAAAGTAAAATCAAATATGTAACATTTTTTCATTCTTGCATGCCCATATTGTGAAATAACTGAAGAATCATCCATATCATTTTGAATGTTTGGTATATTTTTTTTTAATTAAAAGGCTTACCGACCCACATGAGTGTGGTCTGTGAAGGGCCGAGATGTTGTATTAGAACACCAAGCCCCACACCACACATGACCCCGCCTATGGTAAAAACCAACAGTGTGTTACTCCTTACACATCCTTTCGCCATGATCTTCGTTCAAAACGTACCACGTAGTTTGTAAGTACAGAAGGTCGTAAAGAATTGTTCAACATCTACGATGAAATGTCAGCATTTCTCAGATTGTTAAAATTCATTGGTATGTCCACTTTCGATGTAACCAGAGACCTAAAGTTTATTTAGGTCTCTGATGTAACTGACTGTAAAACCATACCGATGACATGTAATACCGTCAGCATTGAAGTATACACCACATATACTAATTACATATTAGAATATAGGCATAGGATATGTTGTGTCTATTACCAGTGAAAGGATTGGTCGGGGCTAGAACCTATCCCGTTGAGCCAGATTCCCGGGAAATACGTAGTTGACGCGGTAAATTTTGAGTCCATAGCAACAGGTCTGGCAGTTCCGTGCATCATGTTCAACTCTCTGATTCAGCTGAATAATGCAATTATATGTATTAAATTAATTAATTTAATTTAATTACAATTATATGTATTAAATTAATTTAATAATTTATTATTGGAACTCTTCTGTATATACGTAGTTGACACGGTAAATTTTGAGTCCATAGCAACAGGTCTGGCAATCATGTTCAACTCTCTGATTCAGCTGAATAATGCAATCAGAGAGTTTGAATTAAATAACAATTTCAAGTTTGTTGTTTTGAAGAAGGAAAAGGGATTTGGCGACGATGAAAATACATCGATAAGTAAGTAAATATACATTATTTTATAATACTTATTCTTAGTACTGTACTTTACTGTAGGCTTACAAAAAAAATAAAGTAAGCATCGTCCATCATGATCTGTATCTGTATGATACTGGAAGATTAACAATGATCAGGCTGCGAATCTACCAATAAACTATGCACTGACCAACGTTATAAATTACTGCTCCAAAAATTATTGAAGTTTGATAGGACGGGATGTTTTGTTTTGTTTTTCTTTACCATTATTTTTATATAGATCTGTATTGTATTTATTTCGGTAAACAGTGTACATGCCAAAATCAAATTCATGTATGTTAAATATGGTGTGTACTTAGAAATGGTGTTTGCTATTTTGATTTAAACATATATACGTTATTTTAAAACTTAATCACAATAGGCCTAATAGGAAATTCAATTTTGTTCTGAACATCTATATTGTATCTGGTCATTCACAGCTTGCAGTACATAGGCTATCACATACATACATGTACAATGTACATCATATGCAGGATACATTTTATAAATTAGCTCATTTTAAAGTTTTAACTTTTTTATTTGATTTTGATCTGATGGCTGAAACTTTGAATAAATGTTTGAATATTTATGCTTTTCATTTTGTAATTTGAGAATCCATGTGCTATAGGCTGATCAAATTGGGCACACATATGCTGGTATCCTGGTCCACAGGTGGTCAGTGTACTAGAGGTTATTAGTGTATTGACCAGCCAGATGGAGAGGAAGCACCACATGCTGTGACCAGTATGTTACATTCTGTAGCACCTTAGTCCTAGGTGTATCAATAAAGTGTATTGTCTTTACAACTTAGCCTTAAGTAATTTAAAACCATATTCATGATACTGCAGACATATATTTATTTTTATATAAATATGCTTAGTTCTTGAAATAGGCCCTGGGGGATAAACTAATTAATGTCATGTGCTGCTCCCCTCTCACCCCCATCCTGCATCATTGATGTTTATATATAACACTTAAACAGTAAAGGTACTCTTTTGGTTAAGAATCTAAGATGTCAGACTGGTAAGTGATAAGTATAGCTAAAGATACATACATGTACTAATGATGTGACTCATTTCAAGTTTACATTTGAATGGGACTTCTATAATATGAATAAATTTAATTTAAATTCTAAAAGCAATAGGGAATATACGTTTTAAAGGAACTTGCCTTCAAATTGATTAAAACAACTGAAGGATACTGAAATACTGTAATTCTTTTATTTGAAATATTATTTTTAAAGTTCCAAATATCCCTTTTAAAAATAAAATAAATATAGAAAGTGTAAATTAGGAGATTTGAAGACTTCAAAAATTATTCATTTATGTTTTTCCATATAGATTCCAAGTCTCGGATCCGATATGAGGATTCTCAAAGCGACATTCTTCCCCACATTGAATATAATGGAGTTCCATTTATCATTGTGGGAAGAAAAGTCCTTGCATGCCATCAAGGAAAGGACCAGGAAAAAGGAAGAAAAGAAAAGAGACAGAAAGAAATCCAAAACAAAGGAAATGTAGGTTTTATGTGGGGTTTTTTTTTGCTGATATGTACTAAAGGGTCAAAAGTGTTATAAATCATCTACCGATAGTTATCATAAAATCATTTATGACAGTTTATTCATGAATGCCAGTCTTTATAGATATATATGTAATATTACTTTAATTTGTACTGCAACCATCATAATTTTTAAATCCATAAAGAAATTATGATCAAACAAATGACATCAGAAATGATAGTTAATTAACAAGGTATGGTATATACAGATTCAAGGTTAGATAATTAAAAGTGGTTCAGGTGGTCAGGTAGTATAGTGATAGTGTACTCTTCGATTCTCTCCTCTCAAAAACAAGACCTGGGTGTGAGAAGGTAATTTGATCAGGCACTAGATGACCCACTAATGTACCAGGATATATGACATTGAAAAGGATTAATAATACAATGTACAATTTATTATCTTGTTTGAATAGTAAATCTCTATGTAAAGTAAAAATAAAGTTTATGTTCTCTATGTAAAGTAAAAAAAAGTTTATGTTCTCTATTTAAAGTAAAAATAATGTTTATGTTCTCTATGTAAAGTAAAAATAAAGTTTATGTTCTCTATGTAAAGAAAAAATAAAGTTTATATTATATATGATATATTTTTTTCTTAAGTAACTATAGACTATGACACTTGTACAAATTTTGCTAAAATAATTTCTTTACAATATTTTTACAGAAAGACCACAACTTTGTCAAAAAGAGATCCTTGATTCAGCCAACCAAAAAGAAAAATTGCCCAGCAAAAATCAGGATCAGGCATGTTATCAGATTTCCAGACTTCAAGGTAATGTTTCAGATTATATACTGCATGTTTTGTTTTGTTTTGTGTATTATTTCTAGGTTATCTCAAATGCATCATGCTTGTTAGGTTGATAAACCATTAAAGTTCAAACTTTTTTCCTTTTAATTTAAATTCAACTTATTTCTGAAATAATTCAGTAAGTATCTATTCCATCAAATGTTGTACAGGTTTGTGAATTATACTTCATTTGTTCTACTCGTGCCTTGCATATATGATCTATATTAAGATTATTTGTCTTCAAAAAAAATTGTAGCAGAAACATCATTTTCTTACACAACAAACATTTGCTTCATGTTTGATCTTATGTTGGGATAGGATTCCGGATTAACGGGATAGGGTATTAGATGAATGTATTATACTATTATCAGACTATTTTATAATTCCGGATCACTGGGATAGGATTCCGGATCAACAGGATAGGGTACTAGATGAATGTATTATACTATTATCAGACTATTTTATGATTCCGGATCACTGGGGCAGGATTCCGGATCAATGGGATAGGGTACTAGATGAATGTATTATACTATTATCAGACTATTTTATGATTCCGGATCACTGGGGTAGGATTCCGGATCAACGTGATAGGGCATTAGATGAATGTATTATACTATTATCAGACTATTTTATGATTCCGGATCACTGGGGTAGGATTCCGGATCAATGGGATAGGGGATTAGATGAATGTATTAAACTATTATCAGACTAGTTTATAATTCCGGATCACTGGGATAGGATTCCGGATCACTGGGATAGGATTCCGGATCACTGGGATAGGATTCCGGATCACTGGGATAGGATTCCGGATCACTGGGATAGGATTCCGGATCAACAGGATAGGGTACTAGATGAATGTATTATACTATTATCAGACTTATCTATAATTCCGGATCACTGGGGTAGGATTCCGGATCAATGGGATAGGGTATTAGATGAATGTATTAAACTATTATCATACTATTTTATAATTCCGGATCACTGGGATAGGATTCCGGATCACTGGGATAGGATTCCGGATCACTGGGATAGGATTCCGGATCAACAGGATAGGGTACTAGATGAATGTATTATACTATTATCAGACTTATCTATAATTCCGGATCACTGGGGTAGGATTCCGGATCAATGGGATAGGGGATTAGATGAATGTATTAAACTATTATCAGACTAGTTTATAATTCCGGATCACTGGGATAGGATTCCAGATCACTGGGATAGGATTCCGGATCAACGGGATAGGGTACTAGATGAATGTATATTATACTATTATCAGACTATTTTATAATTCTGGATCACTGGGATAGGATTCCGGATCAACGGGATAGGGTACTAGATGAATGTATTATACTATTATCAGACTTATCTATAATTCCGGATCACTGGGGTAGGATTCCGGATCAATGGGATAGGGTCCCAGATAAATGTATTATACTATTATCAGACTTATTTATACTTCCGGATCACTGGGGTAGGATTCCAGATCAATGGGATAGGGTACTAGATGAATGTATTATACTATCATCAGACTATTTTATAATTCCGGATCACTGGGGTAGGATTCCGGATCAATGGGATAGGGTATTAGATGAATGTATTATACTATTATCAGACTTATTTATAATTCCGGATCACTGGGGTAGGATTCCGGATCAACGGGATAGGGTATTATATGAATGTATTTTATGTTTGTGTTGAATGTGTTTGATAAAAAAAAATTATGCATTTTAATGATGCATGCACATTTAGTATTTAAATAGTATTTACCTTGATCATATACAAATGAACAGTGTATTATGTGTGACATTTTTAATTGCAAACGAGACATGGCAAGATCATAAAACTATTTGATATATAGATGGCATGCCGCATACATTTTCTTTGTATTTTCTGATTACAAATAGGTCTGATGTTGAAGATTAAATTTATAACTTAATAAGAAAAGTCAGTAAGAATTAATGTAAATGAAAGATAATCTGGACTGCAGACAAAATGGATGATTGTAACTGTGACAGTCATTTGGAAATGTGGACTAGCTGTGTTGAACTATTACATGTCTAGAAAAAAAACTCCAATTCAGGATTTATAAGCACTGTATATGATACTGGTAAATATTAATGGCATCCCAGTTATATTAACCTGTTTGATTTCTTGAATAGATCGATCTACCTTGTGTATTGATCCAGATGTCATTTTTTTTATATGGTAAGTACTTGTACTTTTTTAAGTTGTTATTCATCCTGCAATAAGCCCATGCCTGGTAATAAGCCCACCCATGTCTGTTACAATTCAGTAGAAATGCCAACACATGGTATTTCATTGTCCTGCAAAAGCCCCCCCCCCCCCCCTCCCCTACATTGAGTCAGAGTTTATATGTTGACCCCCTGGGCTTATGGCAGGATAATTACGGTAATTAGTTGGTTCATTGATATACATGTATGCAATTGTTAAGTGCATTTAGGCTGTAGGAATTGAATATTTAGCTGCATTCATATTTTACATGAAAGTTGGGTAACTGAAACACATTATTTGCATATTTATCATTTCCCTGCACTGAAGTTGGAGGGATATATATTATTATGGGAGGGAGCTTTAAGTTTATTCATTTAAGTTACCTGGAACTGTAAATGGGGCCCAGGGACTATCAATGGGGTCTTGCCCAGGGTCATTGTTCAATAAAAGAAAATTCGGAATCATGCAAAAGCAAAAATAATTAATATTACCAATTCTAGCAGGAATGGACTGGACTAGAATTTAAAAATCAATCAAAATCATTTGGGGATAATAAAGATAATATCATGGATATTAAGATTTAAAAATATTCTTTAAGATAACAGGAATGTGATTTAGATATACATGAATTAAGAAAACATGTTTTTATACCAGTATACTTCCTGGTATATATAAATGATTATAACTATTTCACAACTCAAAGTTGAAGGATTTTCACATTTTAAAATGCTTGTAATTTCTTGCACTGTTCAGTGGTGAAATAAAAGTCTACATTTTTATTGAATCATGTACAATTGTATTCGAGTACACTTTTTTTTCACTGAAGTATATATATATATATATATTGATTTGATTAAATTTCATTTTCTAGGTTGGTGAGATATCAAAATGCATGTGCAATAAATTTTATGAAAGAGATGCAGTTTCTGGAAAATTGAAGCAGATTCTAGCATCTGAGTCACAGCCAAACTTGAACATGTTACACCAGTACTCTGTTTCCTTCCCCGTGCAAAATGAGCATGAAAATCATCTTTGTGGAGAAGCAAGTCTTAACAGGTGGTATCAACAGGTTATTTAAGATATATTTGGTGAATTCACTGAATATCAAGACTTGTTTCTACACTAGCTGTTCCTTGACCACTAATTAGAATTAAGATATACTGTGATGACCTGCTTCCCTGATGAATGTTGTGGACACTTAGTAATAATCAACATCTGACATGTTGAGATGAAAAAGGTAAAACTAAAAGACCCAAGAAACCAATGTTTCAGTACAATCATTCAGTAAAATCATCCATTGCCTCAGAAAACTGTTGTCCTGGCTCTAACATTTATACTGTTAAAGATAATTAGATATCTTGATGAAAGCTAAAGTATACCTGCATCACCTATCAGAAAGCGATCTACATTGCAATGTATTTATGTTACTGTAACCTTGACCTCAATTTTTATTGTTCTGAAATGCCTTAAAATATATCACTACCGATCTTTTGTTCAGTCATTGCTGCAAGTGAGAAATCAGCACTTGTCTTACTTATTCCGCTTATCTTTGGAACAGTCTGCCAGTATGGTACAACCCCTAGATGACCAGTTGAAAAATCACTTGAGGACCATGGTGTGGGAACATAATATATCAACTGGTCTTCAAATGCGGATTCTTTTGGAGGTTCACCTGAAGGAGACTCTTTTTAAGGGCGAGGAGATTCCCACAAAGACCAACAAGAGGTTCTGGCCATCAAAAAGGGATTTACAAAACCACATTGCCCTTGCTATAAAAAAACAGAGAAATAGCAATTGCGACCAAGTAAGATTTATAGTGACCACCTTCCCCACATAACCAGAGAGCAGTGTTTTAGATTTTGGTCCCACAATCAGGAGCCTGAATAGTTTTCAAAAAACATAACAGCACTTCTTTATTGTCAATTAATGATAAAACTGTCTTTCTGGTGTTTTATTGAATGATAAAGTTCAGTAGGAGTATACGAGTATTTGGAATGGAACGTCAAGCCAATAAAAGTATTCCATCAAGCGCAAGTCTCCATTATTTTCTGGTCCCTTATGTGTCTTGGTCTCTGTACACAAGTTTGACTCTGCATCAGCTATTATTATTTTTCTGAACTTAAATATTTCACAATTGTTTCTTTTTGATTCCAATATTTAATTATTTTTCTTGACAGGAAATAGTAGCAGAATTAGTTCAAAAATGGAGAGGTGAAACCACAGACAGGTTCTTCTTGAGAATTAAGGACAGAAGTGGTGATCCTGAAGACTGTGATGTTGGTGGGTATCCGTGTTATTTATTTAAAAAAAACATTATTTGAATTAAAAATCAATCAATCACTGTGAGAAGATTTTAAAATAAGATACTTTTTGACCAACCTTGACTTTGAATGCAAACTCAGATGAATGCCAGCTGGAAATAACAAACTCAACACCACCACTTCATGGAATTTGTAATTTCCAGCTGGCATTCGTATTCGCTATGAATGCCATATCAAAGCAGTTAAATACTTACATTTACCATTTTTGCAGTATTGCAGTATTTTGATCTCATAGAATTTGAAATCAAATCTGTCCATTACATTACATATAGTTCTAATTAATGTATGTATCATGTATGCTTGTTCAATGAATAGAGCCATCCTCCAGGGAGAGTCAGTGGTATCCAATGTTACCATTATGATGTAATAATAATGATGACCTCAACAATCGGGTGATGGCATTCATAGCTGAATTTGGTAGCATTGTCATACGATGGTAAAAATATATATAAAAACTGAATCTTTCATTTTCTTTTGTTTTAGATATTGGTGGTCTTGAAAACCTTGATGATGATGAAGAAGTTGATGACGAAGTGTTGCTGAGACGTGATGTTGTGAAGCAGCTGTATGGCAAGGAGAAGAGGTTCCTGTATGTCCACCAGACAGAGTGGCAATCCAGACTTCTCCTTAGATATGGCCAGGAAATATCCCTTCTTGATGCCACATATCGGACCACACGCTATTCTCTTCCTCTTTATTTTCTCTGTGTACCAACAAATATTGGTTACATTAATGTAGCCACATTCATTACTGAGACAGAGAATGGAGATTCAATTAAGGAGGCTCTCAACATTCTGAAAGAGTGGAATCAAAACTGGTCACCACAATTTTTCATGTGTGACTATGCAGAGGAAGAGATCAATGCCTTGGAAAGTGTGTTCCCTGGTAATTATCACCTAAATTTAAAAAAAACAATTGTTAAAACTTTTGAAAATGCTTGTTAAGTTGTCAATTTAGACTAGTGGCTGCATGGTCATATAGATATGATTGCTGTTATTAATTACAAATACGTTAGATAATTATGATTAATCTGTTAAAATTTTGAATACAGAGTGAAATATATATAAAAAGTAGTTTAAAATTAGTTTTTCATTTAGTTTTGTTCTTTCAAAGATTAGGAAATTTTTGCATGTTAAATCGTGCCCATGGTAAATGACAATTGTAAATGTTATTAAGTAATGCAATTTAACATCAATAGAAAACATTTGTTTCTGATTTTTTCCCCTATTCTTTATCCACAGATTCTTTTGTATACCTCTGTGATTTCCATCGTGAGCAGAGCTGGGATAGGTGGCTGAGTGCTTCTCACAATGGGATGACAACTCAGAAAGCTGATGTTCTGAAGCTACTCAGAGGGATTGCTAAAGCTATGTCTGAAGAGGAATTCCTTGCATCCGTAACAATTTTGAAGGTATTATTAATTCAGTTGGTATATATAGAGGGTGTTCCCTAGTTGCTATGAGTTATTCTACATATTAATAACAAAACGTCTGAAGTGTTTTAATTCATAGTTAGGAGATTTTGGTCAATTTTAATACAAGAGTGTTAATTTTGTGTGTTGCATTTTTGATATTCAATAATTTGATGCATTGTGATAATTGCCATTTTTTTAGATATCCAGTATCAACTGGTATTAACTATAACTGGGAATTTCATGACCCATATGCGTGCTATTTTTGACCAAAAAGTATGAATGTCCTGTAAGAAACCAGTTATCATTTGTTTTAAGCTAATACCAGGATTTGTCAACTATTTGAAGGTGATATTTCCCTTAGCCAGCTCGGCTTTCAGAGAATATCGCCTCTCCTTGTATTATCCTAAATTAGGTAAATAATTGTAAAATGTTCAATTCTCCATGTTATCTTTTTAGTTTTTCATACAACAATTTGCTTTCAAACATATTTTACTTACAATATGATATTATTATTATATCAGCAAAGTTCTGTGTGGGCCAAAAGCCAAAGACTACAAAACTGGCTAGGGAAGAAGTGGCTCAAGAGCTATAAGGAAAAATAGTGGTACAAAATGGTTGTCAAAAGTAATAAAATCATACTAGTTGTACTTTACAAATAAGAATTTAGATTCTACTGTTTTTGCAAGAGCTATTGCCTTCTGTTTATTTCAACATTTAAATCTTGTCGACAGGCATAATTGCATTCATCTGCGGTGCTCTTGTATTCATATAAACAGATGCTATAATGTAACATTAACGTGTCTTTTAATCTTTTCAATTTCATGAATATATGCAGTGGAAGAGGGTGAAACTATTGCTTTAATTTGATCACTTTTTACTTGGTCTTGTAGCGATGGGTGCGAGATTTTCGACTGGAACGTTTCAATGTATCCATTAACACCAATAATGGCATTGAACGACAGAACTTGGCCTTAAAGTACGAGTACTTGGACATGAAGAAGGCTCGGACCCTGAGTCAACTCCTAACCATCTTGGTAAACAAGTACTTGCCAGATGCCTACACCAGGTATGATACTTAGAACAAATATTTCATGGATTACAAATTCACAATGTAGACGATTAGGGTACATTGCTGCATTCATAATTACTCAATGGCATAAATATGGTTGTCTCTGGAGTAAAATGTTCAAGTTTGTTTGATAGCAAGAAACACAGATACATTACAGTGTCTGTCCTTTCATCCTTAGATCTATATTGTCCAAGTTCCAAAAGTACTTAAGCAAATAATTTTGTGAAACTTGCTCGACAATTTTACCATCATGAAAGAAAGATTGTTTTGGTCATGTAAATATTAACTAATTATGTAACTTTTATGATTTTCATTCCTTTGGAATATTTTTATGACTTAACGGGCAGAAGATATTTTACCTATAATACATGTTCATTTTAAACTACCATTACAAGAGGAGTACATGGTGTCATCAGTCATTAAATAAAATGAATTGTATGATTTACTGCAGGTACAAAAGGAAAAACATAGAGTCCTCCCATTTGTACAGAAAGTACGATGAGTCCATTCCCGACTTTCTTCACAACCGACCAAAGTTTGTTGTACAACATTGTTTGAAGAGATGGCTGGATGGGCAGAACATACCCGATAACTATGTAGATAAACTCAGCGACAATGCGTTCCTGGTGAAGAGTTCTGCAGAAAGAGGACTATTTTTTGAAGTCTGCCTTCAAACTTCAGACAACAGCCTCCCGTCATGTCAGTGTATGGACTGGAACAACTGGCATTTGCCATGTAAGCATTTTATGGCAGTGTTTTTCTATCACCCAAGCACTGGATGGAATGCTTTGCCAGATGCCTACAAAAGTAGTCCATTCCTAACCTTGGATGTGGAGACATTTCCTTCACAAGGACTGACAACAGCTGAAGCTGACATCAACTATGACCAGGACGTCATCATGATTGACAGTTCCTGTGAAGAATTACCTCTTCCAAAAGCAGCGGTGTTGAAAAGGGCCAGGACACATATTTCTGGAATTCTGGAAATAATCAAGGGATTGGCATACCAAGTCAAAGACGTTGATGTCCTCAACAACACAGCCACCCAATTGATGGATGTGATGTCTTCTTTTAAGGCTGCGGCACCTCAGGAGGATGGAATTGTTGTTGATAAAGAGTCCAACATGTGTCATATTGCAACAACAAGACTGAAAAAGACACCAAGGTCACTCAAATTAAGGAAAAGAAGATTAGTGGCCTCCAAACGACATGGTGTTGGTGCTGAAAAGAGAAGACAGTACCATACACGGAAAGGTGTTGAAGATCTGCTTGGTTAGTAACATGCAAAGAAAGAAATAATTAAGCACTCAGCTTTTAGCGCATTGTTAGAATTAAACAAAATGAGTGTGTTTGAAATTCAGTTCGGAGTTACTGAGCACTCTAAATGTAAATAATACTGATAAGCATATTGGGAATAGTTACATAGTTAGAGTGGTACAGCTAAAATAATCTGTTCCTGATCTTTTTCATTTCACTTCAAATATTAAATACTCCTTTTTTTTTAATAATTTTTACACAAATAAATGTAAATTTATTTAATAGCACTTTACATCATGTCTTCTTTTTTTGAATTTAAAAACATGGTTTTTTTTATTTGCAGGGGTTTCATGTGAAAACATGATAACTACTGAAGAAGGGGTTGACCTTTTGGCTGAATTACACACTGAAGGTTAGTCAGATTACCGAGGGGAATATAGGTGCACTCTGTCCATCCTTTCGTAGAATTCCGCTCATCCATCCCAAACATTTGTTCGGAGCTTTTCTCCTATACAATTTCACATAGAGTAACTATATTTGTATCCAGCTACATCTTAGAATGACAGAGCACAGAGTAGTTGAAGTAGGTCACTGTGATTTATATGCATGCTTTGACCATCAATCATTGAAAAGGTACTGGTGGGGAACTATGGATTGCTCTGCGTTTAAAACTTTCATATTTGTTTACATTTCATGTAATATAAGATGTCCTATAATGTAGTCTTACAATATGATTTGTAGATCCACCGTGTAATGAATCAACAACAAAGCCTACAATGCTGCTTGAAAAATTCAAAGGTATGTTGGATTTTAAAATATAATTGTCGATAATGTTCTAATTAGAGGAGTATATAATAGTGAAGATATTTACTAGGGAAGCACAAATTATTCAGTTAGCAACTGATATTGAAGCTGATATAAACGTTTATGTATATACCATTAAAGCATTCCACATCGTTCCATTAAGTGTTACATCTGTTGAATAGTAAATCACAGTAAACAAAGTAAACAGAATGTTATTTTAAATAATAAAACCAGGTGAAGTGTAACTGTTCTATTACTTTATGGCAATCATTATAATGTTACAACATGTAGATCTGATTTTCTAGGACTGGTGGAAATAAAGAGTGGTTAGTAATATAATAGGGGTGTTGACAAAACTTCCTGATAAATTTTATCTAAAACATGTCATATTATATTCTTATCAGACCATGAGACCATGACTATTATTTTTGTTGTTTCACAGGCTTTGTGTCAACTTTGACAGCAGCAACTCTTGAAAGATATACCATGAGTGCATCTTCACTTAGTTCCTGCGATTTGAATATGTCAAACAGGATTGGGGGTGTAGTCTTGTCAGAATACTGTGATTCTAGTATGGATACTGCAGATCTTCTCATGTCACTCCAATCCGCACTGCCACCTACACAATTACAGCTACCTGATGAGGTCATATTCACCCTGGTCTGCCTCATTCTGGATCAAATGGGTTTGTAAATCCTCAAAATACTTAAATCCATTTATTTGCAATTAGCTAGGAGATCATTGAACACATTTGACATACATATTGGCATTTAAGTTGAAGGTAACATTTCAAAATACTATTTTCATGTTACCTAAGTAAAAGGCTTAAGTGACCTATTGCATCTGTCTTCGTCTACCATTGTCTTAACAATTGATATAGATTTGAAATCTTCTCAATAACCATGAGGTATTTGGTCAGTGCTAGAATGCATGATATGGAGCTCTATCAAATTTGTTCAAATAAATTACCTTGACCTTCATTCAAGGTTACAGGGGTCAAATATAATAAAAACCGCAACTCAGACATCTTCTCGAGATTCCATAAGGCCTAGGGTCATGATATTTGACCAGTAGGTGCTCTATCAAAGATGTTAAATAACTTATCTTGACCTTCATTCAAGGTCATAAAGGTCAAATTTGTTAAAGCCTTCGGAAGTCAGTGACACTGGCGGCGGCCCCCAGGAATTATTGCAGGATAAATATAGTAATGAAACTCGATACAAATATTCTGTACATTTTAATCATTCAAATATGTATATATTTTAGAACAAAACGGAGACATACAAATTTTTCAAGAAAAACACCCAAAGCAGCTGGAAAAGGAAAGTGCAGAAGCATTTAGAGGTCTCATTGAATGCTTGAAAGATATGAAATCTAAAGGTAATGCAGTCGCCCAATGTGTTAGTTTTGTACTTTTACCGTGTTTGAAATTTGATAAACATCATGTTCTTAATTAAGATAGGTCCAATCACCTTAAGTTGTATCTATATTTGGTATAGTTATATATTATTTTACATATCCATAATGTTGGTGGTTGCATTTTCTATTGCAGCACCAGTGCCACTCGAACCAGTATCAGAACCATCTATGCAAGTATCAGAACCTTCTGTGCCAGTTTCTGTGTCAGCTGTAGTTTCATTTGGCCATCAGGCAAAAAGTGAGTATTTTAAGTTGGGCAGTCTTCAGGTTTAGATACATTCAAGATGGCATACTGCAATTACTAGTATTAGTTTGTACAGTGTGTATCAAAGACATAAATGAAGAGTAAGACCCTTATTCAAACATTAGAAACATTCACACTACGGTAATTGGTTGCATCTAAGACTGCTTTCAGATAATTGTAACAACCGGATTATCTGTACATCACACACTGAACACTTTCAGTAGCTGGCAGTAAATATATCAGTAAAGTTATACATTGTTTTCTATTCTATCTAGATGACACATTGCAAGATGTCATTGACATTCAGAGTGTTGTTTGTAACTAATTAATATATATAGGATCTTACATAGGAGTGTCACATTCTAAATTCGGGTACTCTACTATATTAAGAAATATGGCCCTTTGTTAATTTTTTATACCAAAGTTTGTCTATTGGCTAATAAGGGGAGACATATGTTTTTGTTCACAAAACCAAGTTTCTCGTTTACTTTTATGCTTTTTACAGGAAAGAAAAAAAATGTTACCTTCTCCAAAGAAGCTATTCAAAAGAAAAGAATTGTTATCTCTGAGGACAAAACATGTAAGTATAGTTAGTTGTGCTCCAACAGTATGTTCAAATGAACTTCAAGGTTACTTTGGTAAAAGTATATGGACAAGCAAGTGACCACATTTACCTTATTTACATTATACATTTGACAGTTCAAGACATTAACTGAATTGGTCGGATAGAAATTGAAAATGTTTAGAGATGAGTTTGTCTGAAACATTGTCTAAGGCATATGGTTATATATTTTATCCAGTAATATTTTCTGGTAATATTGTATATACAATGGTCATATAAAAAAAAAAAAACTCTTTATAATTATTTATTTATTTATTGTCATAATTAGTCAGCTTTCATGTCAATAAAGCGCCATTATTCTGTAATGGGTGACATCAAATTGGCATCTCTCAATTAACAGAAAACAGTACTGATCTCTGTTTCCAAATATATAAGTAAGGCTCTTAGAAGCTCTCAATTTTTTTAGACGCATTTATTTTCCTTAAATTTTATTCATTTTCCTTTTTTTTTCCCCATTTCAGCTGCATTTCCCGGTGGAGGATTGCAGAATCTTCCCGGACAAAATTTGTGTTTTGCAGACTCCCTTCTACAATGCTTAAGGCTCAAGGATTTTCACAAGATTTTACTGCAACACACATGCTCTGGTAAAGCAAAATATCACAAGAATACAGTACATCTCATCCTGCTAATATTCTGCATATGAAACATTCCTTGTGTTCTGAATGATTACCTTATTCATGTTATAATGAAATAATTTAATCTTGCTTGTAACAAGCATTTTCATTGGCTTAAAAATTTATGTATTAGCCCATAACGTAAAGAAATGAGGTCGCCGTTTGTAACGTCGCTTTTGATTGGCTGATACAGCAGCGCAATAATTTCTAAAAGAAAATTAGAGTCCATCAATAAAAGGGATTGTGTAAAGGAGATTAAATTATAATTAAATTATAAAAGATTATAACACAAAAAAACGGAGTTTACTCTAAATAAACCGCGAAGCGGTTTATTATGAGAGTACTCCGGTTTTTTTGTGTTATAGCTCCATAACATGAAAAATATATTCAAGTTAATCCTTAAATAGCACTCTTGTTTTGAATATTACTGTAGCAAGATCAATTCACACTTAAGCTACTATTTACCTAATAACAGTGAAATGTAAACCATAAATGGGCATTACATTTCATCTTATCACAATTTTATTTTGTAGAGCTGGGATGTTTCATTTGTCAACTTCGAAATTTTATTGAAGAAGGACCCCTGTCAACAGAAGTATTATGTGGAAATATGAAAGGTAAAATATATGCATGTTTTAAGTGTGTATATATATATATATTTGCACTAGGCAGTTTGGAAACATATATGGAAGTATATACAGCTTATGATGGAAGAAAACTTGGAATCCAAAATGTATCACTTATGACATTTACTTGTACATGTAAAAGAACTGTTATGAACTCCATTCATCTGTGATTCTGTTCTGAATGACCAAATAATACTGATTTTAGCAAAAGAATAAAACCTGGTTTAATGCTAAGGGAATGTATTTGCTTTAGTCTGAGAGTGTAGAGATTATATTGCTGGATTATCTTGCATCTTCTATAATTTAGAATTCTGGCCAGACTATGCAGTGGGACAGCAGCATGCAGGATCCTCATGAACTCTTGCAAAAGATCATTGGACAAATTCAGAACAAGTGTTTTGGGTATTTTTATTTTTTCAACCTCTATGTACCGTGGAATTTTTTAATGAAACCGCTTAACGCTCAATATCAAATAAAAAGTCCTCTGCTTCCAATCAATAAGTAAATTTGGTTCTGGTAGTTTTTCAAGAAATTACTACTGAAATTCACACTACTCCTAAAGTAATGCACGGATTTGAATAATACTTGGTACAGTTGTACATAACACTAACATTGTTCTTGGCGAAGGAGGGGGGATAATTAGTCTGCCATTGTGGTGATAGTTCTAGTTGATATCATTGATGCCATATTTTGTAACAGAAATATGTTTTGCCAGGGATGGTAGTGGTGAAACAGCTGCCCAAGATATTTTCTATGGACTTCAAAAGAGCACAGGTATGGTATGAATAGCATTCTTAAATTTTATGAATTACATGGTTCATGATGGTGTGGTAAACAAATTTGCAGGTTTCTAGAGATTCATGTTGATGAAAAATATAGGCAAGTTTTATGGTGGCCATCATGATCTCATTGGGAAATATTCTGTACCCTTGTGTGATATGAAGGTGGACGTTTTTGACCCCTGATGTTTTGTTGTCACTACCCCAATTCTCATTTTGAGAACATGAACATAAAGCAGAAGACACTTACACCTTATTCTCCTTGTACTTTTTCAAGGGTCTCCATGTAAATCATACCTTTGTTCATATTTTCCCTAGTTTCATCGATTTTGAGTTCGGATTTTGGTTTTGTTCACACTTTGGTATTGTCATGCTATTATTAGAAGAGAAGCCATACATTTTTCATTGGTCAACATTTTATTTTCAGTAAAATGCAGTAGCTGTCAGCAAATGTCAACAAACCTTGAAAGATACACTGATATCAGTGTTTCCATTCAGAAGGTATGTAATTACAGTAGTTGATATATAATCTGAACTTGTAAAGATTATAAATACAGCCGAGTGTTGAATGTTTAATGCACCACCACACAACATTTGAAAATAATGGTTCAATTCTAATGCATTATACCAATGAATTATTCATGAATGTCCAAGCTGTCAAACAATGTTGTGTTGGACCTTTCCATATTGCATTATGATATGTGGTTGTCAGTTCTTTATAAACCCCAAAATAAACAAAGAAATGTGATATTAATGACAAATATTTTACTTACACTGATATTTTACGAGATGGGTTGTTTCATTCTTTTTTATGTTTGTAAGGCTGAAAGCATTAACCAAGCCTTGAAGGAACATTTTGCTGAGGAAAATGTTGACTTTGTTTGCGCAAGGTAATTTTTTATTGATATCTCTTGTTTTCACATAACTTGTTCTAATAATGAGGGACATAACATTGACACATTGTTCTAATTCAAGTTAATTACTAAACTTTTGAGACATTTTGTGAAAAATACTACAGTTGTACCATAAAACAACATCACAAACCTATAACATGCAACCTTTCCTTAGAGATTGAGATAATGAAAATATAATGTAAAATACAAGTGTATATTCTCCAATTCATTCCAATGTATATAGCCATATCAAACTTTTCTTAGATATTTAATCCAAAACTATAATTAAGTTTGGTTAGGAGCATTTTATGTAACTATTATTAATTGATCAATTCCTGTTTCCAGATGCAAGAACAAAACCATGGCTATAAAGGACACCAAACTTTTAACCATTCCAAAAAATGTTGTCATTCAACTCAAAAGGTAAATTTTATATGATTAAGATATTATGATTTATGGAAAAAAAACTGTTACAGATTACTCTACACATTCATTCTTCTGAATTTTAAATCTTACTCTTAATCGACATTTAGGGAATTGCATGGATGGAAAGATCATCAGAGGCTTTGTTAAAATTGTAAATTGCAGTATCCCCGGGCCATCCGTTCTCCCTTGGGGAGGGGATAAAGTTTACTTTAGTTTATATAGGGAAATAACATATTTTGTTCATTTTCATTTGGAAATATTTCAAACTTGGTTGGAATGATTATGATGCCAGATGGCAATTAGATGGTATAAGAAAATAATATCCTGCCCCATCCCCAGGGGCTGGATGGGCGGGGCCCAAATGGGGATTATGGTTAAAAGTTAAAAAATCTTCTTCATCAGACTCAGATGTTTTACTATTCAGGGAAAGAAAGGTCCTTACCTAAATTACCATTACCTAAATTGTAAATTTCACCCTCCCCCAGGTCATCTGCTCTCCCTTTGGGAGGGTATAATTCTCAATAGCAAAACTATTTATTTGAATAGTTTTAAAATTTCTTATACTTTGTCGACATGACAAGTATTGTATTTCACTTTGTTTACATGTTGTTTTTCACATTTTGTACATCTCAACAATGAAACTGAGCTACTGGTACCTATAATATAACTCGGGTGACCGCTAAGGCCCTTGGGCCTATTGTTTATATTTCTTTTGTTGCTTTTTTTGTTTTGAAATGTATGTTTCCTTGTTTACATCAATTGTATTGTCTTTCATCAGATTTAGTAGTGCAAGACGGAAGATAAACAAAAGGATGCAAATCCAGACAGAAATCTTGCTGCGAAATTATACTGCAGACGAAGTGGTAAGAGGACAAATTGTTACATTAATTTGTGTCTGTATTGAAGTATTTAAAACTTCACAAGATACCACATGTCCATTTAATATAACCTCCACCCTAAATATATGATGGAGTGAAAGAAATGAAATGGAAAATGAAGTTAATTCTCATGAACTATAAACTTAAAGTAATAAAACATACCAGAGATTGAGCAATGGTATATTTCAAATGTGATTACATCCAATCCTATGTGTCAGTAAAATATTTTTTGTTTGAAATTGTTTAGTATTTCCTTCTATTGCATTGATACAGGAACTTGAAGACAAGTGCAAATTATTCGGGATAATAATTCACCAGGGCTCATCACTTTCAACTGGTCATTGTTATTGTTTCCTTGAATTTGGTGGTCAGTGATTCAGGATTGATGACATGAAGGTGTGGTTTATTTTTTAACATTTCATTATATCTCATTGTTATGGAAGTTTGAATAATTTCTTTGAGGTACTAAAACTATTATAACATTTATATTGTGAATTTAATAACATTAAATTAGTCTCTTGGTTGAGATATCCACCCCATAATCACATATACGGTGTCTAGGCTTGGGGATACTCTATCAAATAAAAATGATAAAATTGATGACAGGTTATTTGCCTTTTTTTCTTAATTATTCTCTTTGTAGCAAAATGAAAACAATTATATGCTCAACTGCCACATTTTTCTCTTTATTTTTAAAATACTATTGTCTTCTTTAATTATGCATCAGCTTATATATTCTACTAGTATTACAGATCACAGAAACATGTCATCAAATCATACACAATCATATCAATGTTATACTTGCACTAACCAATAACATATGTCATGGAGTCACCAGTGTAAAGACTATGTTCAACATGATTAACAAGTATTACTTGTGGTGCTTTATTTAAAACCAGTAGAACTGTATATGATTTCTGAAGAATAATTAAATGATTTATGATTAATTCCTCTACATTTTGATGTCTTTGTTATTTGTCAAAGTAAACTGCAAATTCATACAATATATTGAATGATCTTACCCTACTCATATTTCCAAGATATTTAAGCTTTATTTGCAACACTGCAACAAACTGAACAAGAAACAATCCAATCAATTTAAGACTTCATTAGTGTCTTTCCCTTTTCCTACACAGTGTTGTAACAACTGAAGTTATGATGTCTTAAAGATATAATTGAATGTATAAAAAACATAAAATAACACAAAAACAATGACAAATGCAAGACAATGGAAAGGCCAAAAAAAATGAGTTCTGACATGCTGACACTACTTTACTACATTCATATAATACCCTATCCCATTGATCTGGAATCCTATCCCAGTGATCCGGAATTATAAAATAGTCTGATAATAGTATAATCTAGTCATCTAGTACCCTATCCCATTGATCCGGAATCCTATCCCGGTGATCCGGAATTATAAAATAGTCTAATAATAGTATAATCTAGTCATCTAGTACCCTATCCCATTGATCCGGAATCCTACCCCAGTGATCCGGAATTATAAAATAGTCTGTTAATAGTATAATCTAGTCACCTAGTACCCTATCCCGTTGATCCGGAATCCTATCCCAGTGATCCAGAACTATGAAAATAGTCTGATAATAGTATAATGCATTCATCTAGTACCCTATCCCATTGATCCGGAATCCTATCCCGGTGATCCGGAATTATAAAATAGTCTAATAATAGTATAATCTAGTCATCTAGTACCCTATCCCATTGATCCGGAATCCTACCCCAGTGATACAGAATTATAAAATAGTCTGATAATAGTATAATACATTCATCTAATACCCTATCCCGGGGATCCGGAATCCTACCCCAGTGATCCGGAATTATAAATAAGTCTGATAATAGTATAATGCATTCATCTAGTACACTATCCCATTGATCCGGAATCCTATCCCGGTGGTCCGGAATTATAAAATAGTCTAATAATAGAATAATCTAGTCATCTATTGCCCTATCCCATTGATCCGGAATCCTACCCCAGTGATCCGGAATTATAAATAAGACTGATAATAGTATAATACATTCATCTAATACCCTATCCCGGGGATCCGGAATCCTACCCCAGTGATCCGGAATTATAAATAAGACTGATAATAGTATAATACATTCATCTAGTACCCTATCCCATTGATCCGGAATCCTATCCCGGTGATCCGGAATTATAAAATAGTCTGATAATAGTATAATACATTCATCTAATACCCTATCCCATTGATCTGGAATCCTATCCCAGTGATCCAGAATTATAAAATAGTCTGATAATAGTATAATATATATTTATTTAATACCCTATCCTAAAAATGGAAAGGAGAGTAATTTTGCTTTTCAAAATCGTCTTAATCTATCTTCTACGATTTTTTTATTTTTTTTTGAATGTAGGGTTTTTTAATATTTATGAAATGAGACGGCAGAAAATCCGGAAATGGTTTGATTTCTGTTATTATAACTACTAGTCATTCGGAACACCTCCTTACTTATTCTGAACTTATTCTTCCGAAAGCACGTTTTCCCGGGAATCTGGCTCAACGGGCTAGGTTCTAGTGGTGTGCAGAACTTTCCATAAGTACCACAAATGAAAGGAATTCCAGAGGTGATTCCAAGAATAATAATTTCCGACTTAGTCTAGGTCCATATTCAAAGCTCTTTTGCAGTTAAAGGTATCTCGCGCAGTATTTCTTTCGGATTTGAAACTTGACCTTGTTGCAGACGACAACTACTTCCACCAGTGACGTAGCAGGCAAACTTTACCTTTGATACCTAAAAGATATATCTCATGTCCATTCGAAGATATATCATAAGCATAAAGCTTAACATCAAAATGTGATGATAATAATAAACATTATCATACCGTTATATAGAATGTATACGTTTTTAACACATTTCTATAATTCTATAATTGTATGAAAATAATGCTTTCAAAAAACGAAAATCAGTGGGCACCCATCTTTAATGAATAATCGCTGATGTGGCATCGTTGAAAGCTAGTTCAAGCACTCACTCGCGACTCACTTTTCCGGTTGCAGTATCAAGTGCACATTCGTCTTTTGTATTTATAAACATCATGTATATATATAATGATTTGTGCAGTGTCCCTGCACCTGGCGACACGGCCCTGTCATCTGTATCAAAAGATATCTTACAACCCAGTGTTTATTTAACCAGTGGAATATTCACAGCTCATATTAACTACGAAGTGACGTGCAACAAAAACAATAATACAGGCTGGTTTCAATAGAATTCTCTAGGCCTTCGCCGTGTTCATAATTTGACATTCATCAACAAACATGACTACTTTCATTTCTAGTGTTAAATTCTTTTTTAGGCAGAAAAAAAGAACGTAACACTCGCACAAGTGACTGCACCTTTAAGATTGGTAATAGATACAACACGCAAACAATGAATTACACGGCACCATTCAGCTGTTTGGGAGCAGAGGTTAGTTAAAGTGAATCAGCCAAGTTAACCCGTTTTACCCGGTGCTCCAAATAGCTCGGGGATCAATGTTAGGCCCTTGGGTGTTTGTAGTCTTCATCCACGATACACCAGGGGCTACGCTCGCTACACGTGCAGCAAAGTTGTAGGAACCTGTTTGCCGCAACTATGTGGGAACTTTCTGGCAACCTGGTGTTTTTTTTATAAAAACTAGCTATGCGGCAAACAGTGTGCGACAAAACTCTGGCAACTTAATTAGTATATATATAAACCATCTCACAGCCATTTGGTCAATATAATGGAAATGTAATCTGTTCTACGTCATATCATCATGAAAGTATTATAAGGTTATTAAAGTTAACCAATCATAACCAATTTGTGATGGCAGTCGCAAAAATATACACAAAGGAGGGGTGCCAATTTGGGCCCCCTGGTGGAGTGGCGTCAGACAGCTGTGCTGTCTCTCACTGGAACCGGGGCTGAGCAGGACCGGGGCTGGTGAGGACCGTCAAGATAGGATAACTCGTCCGGACTTGGAGCATGATATAACAGTTGGATATCTTATAACTACATTTCATAGTGTATACGGTCCTCATCTGGGACATTCTTATCATGAAATAGCGTAGATATTTTTCATTTATACATTTATAAACTAAAGGAAGATAATGTTCAGTGTATATGGTCATTTAAATGGTTGTATTAATTGAGGAAATAGAACCACGACTTATAAGAATGGTTATATGCCGTATAGTTTATAACTTAAGCTGTGAGCGTTAACGGTCCTGAGCAGGGACATCCTGATCAGGAAATCTAGTACTAATTATATCTGTATTGATGGAGCAAATACATGAAGGTGGCAGTGTTTACAGTCAAAGAGAGGAATAAGATGGTTTAGAAATACAAATTAAACTATATTTATAATATTTTATCTTTGTTTTCCACGATATAGTGTAAATATGAAGGCAGCAAAGTTTGCAGTCAAGAGAGGTGATTTTGAAATAGAAAAAAAGCATCAAATCAATCGTCAATCTTCTTAATTATATGTTGATATTGGAACGTAACCGGTAACAGGTAACAGGGACACCCATATCAATATATCAAGTACTCATTATAT